GGTCCTGCAGGCAGAACCACCCTGCGACGACCGACAACAAGCTGAGGATGCAGAGTCCCGTTAAGACGAGCAGCGGGAAGGGGCGCTCGCGCGGGGCGGCGCGCGGCGCGGTGGCGGCGTCCATCAAAGCTCGCGCTAAAACCTGTTGGTAAACCCTTCCTGCTTCCCGTTCGGATTTGCTCCTTCTTGGTGCTTCTTTCTGGTGAAGCAGAGTCCAGACGCTTGTTGGACTCCTCATCGGCGAGGGCAAGCGCTTTGTTTTGCTTTCAAACTATTCCTAACCATTGAACGTGCGCTCATTATTCTGCTCGAGGATCACAGCACATTCGGCTTCAAGCAAGCGGAGATGAGACAACCTGCGCGCTTCTGCTCCAGTGTCGCTCACGATCTGGCGCACGTGTTTATTTTCCGTACCCCCAACATGCGAGATTTGAGCTGCTCAGGAGAGCATTTGTCGAAAGTGGAGAGGTCTGCCAATCGTATTGCGCGGTTGACCTGTGAGACGCACGGAATTTCCGCGGCCGCTTTCGGAGTCGTCGCTCGTAAGAATTCCGTCGACCGTTTTACAACCTGCCAGCTGTGTATGCAAATGTCATGTCTTGGCTAAAAGCAGCTGATCACAATGCACACGACGACAATGATCGATGTAAATTCCTGTTTGCTTCGTCACGGGTGCATCGTGACATAAGACGGCGAATCGCTCGCAACATCGCAAAGCAGGTCCACTGGCAGGCAGCATCAAAACCCAGTCTCTAAGGCGTCGGGGAATTTCTGACCGATTGCTGAGGCACTGGCGTGTCGACGTTACTCCACTTATCATTGGCAGCCCAGCACCATCGCTGATAGCTGACGAAGTTGAGCCGTAAGTCTATTGCTGCATCAGGAGTCGCCGCCTCCTGAGACCCGGCAGCTATCTCGGTGGTTTCAATGGGCGCGCGCGTTGATGCAGCCTAGTGATGTTAGCCTTGATGTTTTTTTGATGCCTTATGTTTAGCATGCAATCGTCAAACTGCTCCGATTCTCCTGTTCGAACTGATCTGCTGAAAGCGTCGTGCTTTGGCCATGGCCAATCCTAGTGAGGATCGGGGATGTGATATTCGACATGCATGATTTCAAGTTTCCATCATCAACGGTAGAAAATATGCTTTTCGGAACCGCCGGGGGCCGCCTAGTTGATTGCAGTGACTTCGTACGCTGGGCTCGAGCAAGGGAGAGGAGCAGCGGGACTAGTGGAGCAGGTCAGAGTCGAGCTACTAATTGTAGATTTGCGCTCCTTCGGTAATACATTCCATGCGGCAAAGTTTCCTTTCATCGATCATTTCCCGGCGATGCGAGGTCGAAGTCGCTTGCACCTCGGTTGCTCGTTGTAGTGCAATCTTGGCTATCTATTCGACGACCCATGTCTATTGGATACAGATGCTTCTATTACCATATGAAGAAGGAGCGCTTACTCTAATGGTGTGTTTGAAATCTTCTAGCCTTGTAGGATGAGCCTAGCTCATCGCATCTGGCCGCCGCCGGCTCTCCCACCGTGACTGTACCTACCATGGCGCCACGGTGACTGCACTGGCATGTATACAGCTGGGTCGGTGATTTCTATGACGATCAATAATCACGAAGCGTTCTACTTTTGCAGCTCGATGCCGCTGTAATTGAACGGCTGGCAGTGGCAGCCGTTGGATGACTGCATTTTGTGTTTATCGTACGGCTTTGGGCTGGTGATACTGCCGGCGCGACCACCCGGGGCCAAACCCAACATCTGCCGAGCTTCACCGGGAGGTGTACACTGTTGTTTCCCGCGGGTCGCCAGGGCCGGTCGGTTACAACCGGGGCAGTTCAATATTCCCAGCACTGTCTGCCAAGTGTCAACTCCGCACTGGTGGACTGCCGTGAATGCCAACATGTTGTCGATTGGTATCTTGCTGCTTGCACGCCCGTCGACCACTGCCCAGTAGGCTAGGCTCTGGAATATTCTTTTCAGCGTGCAATCAGAGCAATTTTCGACGCGAGGCCAGTCGAAAGCTGTATTCATTTCTGAGATGAGGGTTCCAGGCTTCCAGCTAGCAAAGCACACTAGCTACTTAGGTACCGGTAGCGTTGACCACACCATCTATGATCTAACTGACTCCTGGGGCATCGAACGTCGAAGCCGCGAATCACTGAAATTATGCGGGATCCCTTTGCTTACATCAGTCTGCTCTCAGCTAAAGCGAGTTATGCCTTTCGGCAGTGAGTGCAGATTCCATCTCGCTTGACGGAATTTACTGCCAGCTTTGATTGGGACTCTCTTGGCCACGGAATCGTGATTGCTTTATCGCTTGGACTCCGCTGTGGCATCTTAATATGGGCTTGCACGGACCTGGGGTTAGCAACTAGAGGGTTTAGTTTTGGCACAGGCCTTGATGAGCAGGTAGCTAGTCAGCTAGCTAGGTAGCAGATCGTCGGGTTAGCTTCATTCCCATGTTAACCTGATCTTATTGTTCTTCCAGCTGGATTTATACAGAATGGCTTACACTAAATGCCGCCAGCGGATCTTGTATACCTATTCGGGTGGAGCGTTCTGAGTGGCTGCGCTCGCATCTCGGGATCTTGTGCCAAGCGGTACGGACTGTCAACACACTATACAAGGATTGGCCTGAAATCATCTGCATTGATGACATTCAGGCGCTAGACGACAAGACATTTGCAGAATCTCGCATCTTCGGCACTGATTGCAAGCACAGATGCCTTAGGGACTTACCCACGTGAGTTCCGGCCACAGCAATCTTTGACATAGCAGTCACACAGACTTGAAAGCGCCTGTGCATATGGCTGTCAGCGGAAGATACCGAGGCAGGTACGGGTGCCCCAGCAGATTGTTTCCTGACTCTGACTGACTCCTGATCGACGACGTTGAACGAGTACCTACGACGTCCTTCAAGCTATGACTCCTTGATCTGCAGTCAGGTTTCTAGGTAGATCAAAACCCCCCGAATGACCTAGAAACTTGCACCAACTCGCAGTCGGTTTGAATTGGCTCTTGATCAGCTGCGAGGCAGCTTGTTGACAGTCAAGAGCTCGATCTCATCGGAATCTGTTGGCATTCCGTTGGACTCGTCAAATCACTGCCAGCAGTGGGCTGGCGATCTGCACATTCACGGTGAGTTCTATGAGTTCTAGGTCGCCCTTGCAGCTGGAATGGAACAGGGTTTGCATGCCACACCGCATGAGCTGCAATTGCAAGCATCCCCAAGCTTGTGATCTCTTCAGGCAAGCTCAGTCATAAGAAGGGAGAGGGTGTGTTTGTTGAAAGCATAGACGCGCCTTCAAGCAGAAAGAACTTCCTGAGAGCGGAGTGAATGCTGTTTTGGATTGTGTTTGTCTTTGCTTGTGTAACGAATCAGCCGGTTGCATTCCTTTGAGAGCTTTTCCTTCTGAAATTTGATTGAAAGTACTGGATTGCTAATCTGTTGCTCTAGAAGCTCCACTTCATTCGCTGCATGAAAGGTTCGACTTTGAGCTGCTGCCACCGCTAAAGGTCTTGAGATGCTCATCTTCAAATAGTTGTGTACAACAGATTAGTGCAGCTCTCTTTTATCTTCAATCTCATTCACTGCCCCAGAGTCGTCCTCAATGACTGGCCAAAGCTCAGCCAGCAACGTACTGAACCTATGAGATAAGTTAGATTTGCCCGACATTACATAACCAAGACGCAACACTGCCAAGTACTTTCACCTGACAAAGTTACCTCCTAGAATGACTGACTTTTGGAGTGGTGTTCCGCAGATAACTAGAGATGGCTGCCAAGATGATCGCTGTTCTGCTCTTCGCTTCCCTGGCCCTTGCGTCGGCACAGTCTTCCCAGCAGGTTGTGCACGTGCCTGGTGATGCGCCGTTCTACTCTGCGGAGGTGAGCTGCCAAAAAGCATGCACCCAGCTTGCAGGACGTACCTATAGAACCGTCAGAAGCTCCTCCTGTTGTATGTTAAAGCTGGCTACTTGGTTGCACTAGCTGCTACTTTTTGGCTAGCTTTGGCAGGAAGGGTCAGGCCTGGAAGGACATGACTTTCCTTGGTCTTGGAGGTCCCCTTCTCCAACAAGGAAGGAATATGCAACATACTCCACTAAAAGTTCAAGGAGCTATCTACAGCAGGGAGAGGCATGCATGCCCATGCACTGATGGACTTGGTGTATGGAGTCAGCACAAAGAACGCCTCTACTGAGATTGCCTGTTCTCATCCACTTTGACAAGTAGTCCCGCGAACGACATGCATTTAAGACCTGTGCAGATTGGGACTACTTGACAAAGTTTTAGAAAAGCAGGGCAGTTTGAGCTCTGTTAATGGCCAAGATTATACATTCACAACTTCCATCATTCTGCACCTTCACTTTCAATAGCTACTGGTTGGCTAGGAGTATCTCACTTTCAATAACATGCAGCCTTTCTCCCGGAGAACGGATCAATAAGTTGCTCGGTTTCTGTCCAAGTCTGCTCTACCTCTTACAAGCAGCAGCACTACATAGCCATCCTAGTCATCATAGTTTTCTTGCAGCTTCCTCATTTTATATGTTCCCTCTCTCACTCTCTCCTCGAGTCATTTGCCCCTCGGCGTTCTAAACTGGTCTCCTCTTCCCCAGAGCTCTCAGTGTCTCCTCCATGCCTACTTTAGAAAGATTAATCTGCCTTCCTATCTACCTTCACTAGCTTCTATCATGAGCGGGTATTCGCAACCCTCTCTTTCTTCCCCTCCTAAGAGACGTTCCCTTGTCTTGCGCTGCTCCTCACTTGCTCGTTTGTCTTGGCCTGTTTCCAATTCACCCCCATTTTCTCACGTCGTCCCCCTCCCTTTCTCCCCTGTTATGCAGACCCCCAGGGGCCGCAGCTTTGCCGAGGTGGGCCTCCCAGGAGGGTCTGAGGATCTCTCCTTGGACGACCCCCGTCTGCAGCCCCTCAATCCCGACCTCTCCTTCCCCGACCAGATCAACCTCAACTACCAGTCCCCCACCACCATCTCCTTCAACTGGGTCACTGGTATGCTACTTTGCTACTCTTGCTAACTCTTGCTAACTCTTGCTAACTCTTGCTAACTCTTGCTATTTCATGCTAACTTTTGCTAACTCTTGCTAACTCTTTGCTACTCAGATTCCAGAGGAGCACTGAAGCAGGGGAGAGCATTGAGCTTGAGGCTCCCTCATAGACAACAATTAACAGCTGAATAGAGCATAATAGCCTTGTAACCTTCGAAAAAGGCTTGTGGGTCTGCATGATTGAGAGAAAATACTCTTCTTACTGTCTTGTAAACCTCATCCTCTTACCATTCCTTCAATATTGTTTTCTGAAGCAGACCAACTCATGATCTTAAAAAGCTCTGTGGCATGGGGAACCAGTTTCGAGCAGAGACTTAAGAACCTTCTTCCAAGGCTGGCAACTCCCCAAGCTTTACACTATAGCACGCTCCTCGTCTTATTGCCATCCAAAAAATCGCATACCCGCTAAGACATCACTCCTCAAACTCCCTATTGCTCGAAAAACGATCGTACTGCCCAGAAACAAGTATGTTCCACATTGCTCTTCCCCCCAACCCCAGACAAGTACACCCGCGCAGTCCAGCAGACCCGCCTCCCCAGAGCTGGACCCCCCTTTGACCCCCACTTCCCCGCACTGGTCCTGCCGATCCCTCCCCATAGGAAGGTAGCTAGGTGTCGAAGCTTAAAGACCGAACTCAGAGTTTCATTTTCCCTAACCCAAATAGTCCAACTAAAACGTGGACTGACACATACTTTAACAACCCCGAATTCAGGCAACTACACCCGCGCCGCCCAGCAGGACAAGCTCCCCGAGCTTGACCCCGCCCTTGCCCCCCCCTCGATCGTCAAGTTCGGCCAGCAAGCGGGTCTTCTCACGAGCTCCGCAAGCGGCGCCGCCACGAGCTACTCCCAGTTTTACACGGGGCCCATCGCGGTGCAGTACGTCAGCGGGTATATCCACAAGGTCACCGTCTCCAGTGAGTGCCCGACATTGCTGACGTCACGGCTCCTCGCCCGACGTGAAAATCCAACGGACACTTCTGTTAAAGCCCGTGCGTATCAAAGGCATGGGGCGGAGTGCGGGTATGCTGTTCGCAGGGACATGTTCTTACAACAACTCCTCGACAACCTAAGAACCAAACAGCATCCCAAAGTCCCCCCCCCGGCAGATTGGCGCCTAAAAGGCACCTTCCATGCCCGTACCAAACTAATGTAATGTTATCCGCCCAACAGTCCCCAAAGCGTCACCAAGAGCACCAGATTGGACCTGAAGAATATTTGACGTCCAAAAGGCGCGCGGCAATCAGGCGTCACTTAGTCCCTCGAAGCATATTTGGTGCCTTCAAGGTGTCAGAGTGTTGTAATCTTGGTTGGCTATCTGGAGCAAACCGAATTGGCGCCTTTGAGGCGCCAGTTTGTCGGGGGGGAAATTTTGTGATTGGCAACAATCAATCGATGATGTCGCGACTACCAAGTGTGCGGATGGCGACCCTCATCGTGGTGCTTCTCTTTTGTGTGCGTGACAGTCTCATACGGGGTTGCAGTTAGTCGGTCTGCCAGCGCCCATGCATTTGGTTCATCCTTCTTTTCCTGTTCGCGTTCTCCGGCGCAGTAGAACAGACTGTGATCCTCTCCAGGCCTTCGTCTCCGGAAAAGTCCTATTGCTCTTGTTTTGCAACCAGTTTGCTTGTAACCTGTCTCCGTTCCTTGAAATACATGGCTCCTGGTAAGGCTGCTTGTCAAAAAGGCTACTTCTCTAGAGGTCGGTCAACCTGACCAGAAATTCGTGCCCCTTGCAGACCTGTCCCCCGACACAACCTACTTCTACACCGTTGGTGACGGCGCCACCAGAAACAGCCCGCAGCTGTCCTTCAAAACGCTCCAAGCCGTCGGGCCCACCTTCAGGCCCTACCGTATCGCGTGAGTATCCTTTCACACTGTGCATTCCTAGACGCGCGATTCCTGACGTACGCATTTGGTTCGATAGGAATACGTCCTTTATGATCTGACGTACGGATCCTGGTTCGATACCAGTTGACGAGAGTTTAACTGCGTTTTGGGGTGATCTGTCTATTTTGTTTGTGACCGATGAGTTGTAAAGGCGGTGAGACCTGTGCAGTGGTACAGTTTTCGATCATGCGGTGAAAAACAACTTCGCAGCCGGTTAGATCAAGGAAAACGCAGACAGCGCCCTGCTTCCGGGGGTAAGGATTGACGGCCGTTCTTGCCCCCCCGCAGTGTGTACGCCGACCCCGGCGAAACCGCCAACACGACGGTGACCGTCGATCACATCCAGCAGAGCAACTCTGATCTGCACATTCACATCGGAGATTACGTCTATGCTGACAACTGTAAGCACGTTCCGTTGTTTTCTTTGACGGACTTTTCTATCGGAAGTCGCTCTTTGACGGACTTCGTCCATCGGAAGTCGCAGTCAGGCAATCTTAGAAAACAAAATTGCATGTAAACAACACCCGCAATCCAGGGGGCTTTGCATCTGAAAGGAAGTCTCAGTACGAAGCTGGCGCCTCAGCGCGTGATTCGAGCGCAGATTACCTGTCTTTGTATTCTTAACGGCAGACAGTTTCGGCCCCAGTCCTCGGCCTCATGCACCATCCATCCAGAGTGTCATAACCATGACAAACAAAAGTATTCTCATTAACCAAGTTAATGCTCTTCAAGTCTTGGACTCATTCATTCTTTCCTTTGAAACCTTTTGACGGTTGCCTCTTCCCCATCACCGGACCTAGCTCCGCTTCCCCATACACCATTGTATCTGGTTCAAAATTCTGTCCATTATCCATCTTCCTTCTGGGTCGAACTCCTGTCACTCCTTCATCTGCTTTCTGGTTCGAACTCCTGTTACTTCCTTGTCTTCTTTCTAGATCAAGCTCGTCGACTCTTTCTGGTTCCAGCTCCTGTCACATTCTCGTCTGCTTTCCGGTCTGAACCCTCGTCCGTTCTCATCTCCTTTTGCAGACTGCAGCGACGGTACTTTCAACTGCCGCCAGACCTTCCAGCCCCGGTGGGACTCCACCTTCCGCCTCTTCCAGGTGAGTGACGTCAGCAACCCTCCCGTGCTGACGTCAACGGATTCGCTGACTCCAGTATTTCCTCGCCGCGCCATCCAGTCTAGAAGCATGGACGTTCACAAAGTTCGAAGTTGCTTCGGACGCGCAATCGTCGGTCAAATTCGTTCAGTAGGAAGTCCTTAAATAGGTGGCCAGAGTTTCCCGGCTTTTGATTTACAAAGTAAACTTGACCAACTCTGCGCCCTGGCCTTCGAATCCGGTAAAAGGTCCTGCACCATTATTGTCTGAGAACATATAGATCTTGTTGTGTGCAGAAATTGTGGTCCAAGGTCCCTTTCGCTAGTTTGCCAAAGCTTCCCACCATTCGCAGTACATAGTGATACTCGACCCGCTTTGCGCCCTGGCCTTCGAATCTGCTAAAGAACCAATAACCGATTAGACATTGAATATTTGAGAATATATCGGTTTGTTGCTGTGCAGAAACTGTGGTCCAAGGTCCCTTTCGCGGGCATTGCCGGCAACCACGAGATTGAGACCCAGTCGGACGGGCGGACCTTCGTCTCCTGGAACGCGCGCAGCAACTTCGCCAAGAGCCACCAGGGCGCCCAGGTGCACAAAATCCCTAATGGTTTGAAAACAGTAGAAAACTCCTCAAGTCATATCTGTAAATGCCTACGATTATTGGACCGCCCAGATGCTGTTCCTGAGCGGTCCCGACTTTGAATTCATGTCAATCTCAAAACCCGACGAGAGTGTTTCGGCCTGCCCTATTGACGTCTTCCGCACGTGAAAGGCCCGAAAATTGCTGAAAACAGAAGTCACCACTTTTTCTTCTTTCCTTTCGCCGCTTCGAGACCGAAGTTCCCTCTACGGCCCTGTTCTCCTGACCCCTCCCTGACACTCAAAGAACTGACCTCGAGGGACGCTCCTTTTAGTCGCTCGAAAAACTCATTTCGTCTGGATCCTCAGAAATGGTTCCCAAAATTCACGCTGTTCTGCGTTCGCATTCGTCCACGTTACGAATATCGTTGTGGCTCATCTCAGATCCTCGTAAGAACACTCTTATGGATTCGATCGCCCATTCTCCTTGCATATCCATACTGAACCCGCATGTACAGCAATCTTCCGCTGCCTAAGCTCCCCACGTAGGGTCTCAAATAGTGCCCTTAACCCCTTTTCATTAACCTGGTTACAGGACTGGTATGCCATCAGCGCCCCCGGCGTGCGCATGATCTTCATGAACCAGTAAGTGTGGCTCCTTACAAAACCCCGTTTTTGGTTGCTTTGATTGTTTCCAACGTCAGTGATAATCACCGCCCTCTTATGGGCCGGGCGTCAGTACCTACGAGCCCTTGCTCGTTTGATTCAGGATTTTGGCAAAAACCCATTGGGAAAGCGGAATCGACTGGCAGGGCGTAGATTAACGCTCTCTACGGGGTTCAAAACTTCGTCTTCATCAACACCAATCGCTGGTTAAGATGCTATTAAGACACCCAGGCTCCGCAGATGCTCTCTGCAATCGCAAAGACAGCGAATATGTTTCTTCGACGTTCCAGCTTCGTTCTGTCTACTTGAGAACGGTAGTCTAGAACCTAGAAAGCCGTGGCAGTTGCTCTTACCTATGACCGCTATGTTCTGCCTACGTTCTCGCGCGAGGAAAAGATGCATTTTCTAGGGATACGAACACGTGGCTGAAGAGTAATAAAAGCGCGTTTGCAGGTACCTACCGTACACAGCTGGTACCGACCAGTACAACTTCGTCGTGGCAGAGCTCGCCAAGGTGGACCGCAGCGTGTGAGTGGTTATTTGATTCTCATGATAACCCAACAATAAACCCAGCCGCCTCAGGTCTTTCTGAACTGCGAGGTTCTACGACTTATCGTCTTTGACGGGTTTTTATGAGCTTATTAGAAGTCGAGGCCTTGAGAAGGGTTTCAGGTTTTCAGGTTTTTGGAACCTGCACTAGCGCCGTTTTGGGACCGACGTTGTCATTTTGAATCTATGGTTTCGCCTTCTGTTTTCCAGTGTTCTTACAAGTTTTAGAACCTACTACTTTTCTCGTGAGGTTCTGAGGGTATTTTTGCTGAGTTCGACGCATTCTGAGACCCGCCAGGGAGTTTTCCGGATGAATGGGCAGTCTCTTTGTAGACACGGACTAATATGAACTGCTGGCGCCTTTGAAAGCTTGCCTTGCTTTGAGGAGTGTTCAGTCTGCTTGTGATGGCCCGAGTTCTACTTTCTGACTCACAGCCCCCTTGTTGTAAAGCCCTGCCACGTGCAGTTGCTTCTGCTGACGTTTTTCGTCCCCGCCTCGCAGGACCCCCTGGCTTTTTGTCCTGTTCCACTCCCCGTGGTATGTGTCTTATATGGTGAGCTCTCTCATTCTGGATTCGTTTTTGAGCACGACAACTTTGATTTTGCAAATCGCCTGGGTGTCAGTACTGCTATTCTAAAGTTTCTTACTTGATACGCTTTCTACCGGGTAGCTTCCCTCCTGACTTCAGACCCTGAAACGGTAGCGCCGCAATAGCGTCAGCTGCCATTTTCTGACGAACGTCGGCCACGATTAAACTTTAAAACCAATCTGATAGCCTTTGAAGCGGGTTCTCTTTCTGACGAACGTCGGCCACGATTAAACTTTAAAACCAATCTGATAGCCTTTGAAGCGGGTTCTCGTCCTCGTCGGGTTGTATCTTTGCTTCCTGAGAGGATCCACCTCAGCTCATTCTTCTGCATTTCATCTTGAGCTGAGAAAAGCCCCGTTCGTCCGGCCAAGTCAGGAGCTTTGAAGATCGAGTTATATTCTCCTGCTTGAATCACGGTCTCGTGCTGATGCCAAATTGATTGAACTGTTTCCCCGGCCTGACGTCACCTCCCCGCCGCGCTGCAGACTCATTACAAGGAGTGGGAGTGCCTCCGTGCCGTGTACGAGGATATCTTCTACGCCAACGGTGTCGACATCATCATGCATGGTACGATCTCTTACTGCGCGCCCTACTCCGAAATTCACCTTTGCTCTCAACTTACCTGAGACTCGTTAGTCCTGATGGGCTGGAAACCACTAAAGTGTCGGGACTACTTATTTTCTCCGCCTCTTTCAAAACCTCGAAATCCTAAAACCCTGAACCCTCTTGTAACTGCGAACCACTTGAGTTCAATCAAGCCGTCCTCACGAGCATATCCTTACGAGTTCGACGAGGCTTCGGGCGACAGCTTCGGTGAGAGTAGTGTATGGCGTCCGATATAAGCGTTTCCTCAAGTATCCTGCAAGCCCGTAGGGAGACGCTCCAATATGCCCCTTGCCGGACGTCCGTGCATGGGTTCAATCACAGGAGTTTTTGGCTTGTAACCGTGGACAATTATGGGCTGATTTTAGGCTGGTCACATGTCCATTAATCAACTTGGGCGGTAACCAGCCCTCGAACAAGGTTAAAGCAACGATTAGTTGTCTAATATCCTAAGACCTAAGTCTGGTAATCAACCTGGTTAGCAGCCTGTGAATTTCCTGTGAATCAAGCCACCCAGAAATTACCCTCCTAACTTCACGGATAGTATCGTCCGTAGTACCGCAGTACACAGAAATATTATTCTTCTGTCCCACGGAGTCTGCACGGACGTCGTAGCCCAGAACACACAGGAATCATGTTCTGAATGTTTCATGTCTCGCAAAATCTGTTCGGACTTCCGTCGTCCACAATCCACGCAAGCCCAGTCGTAAGCTACTGAGGACTTTTTCCGGACGTCCGCAGGGCACATCCATGCGTACGAGCGCATCCAGCGGGTGTACAACTACAACCTGGACGCCTGCGCGCCCAGCTACGTAAGCGCGCGAGCGTCCCATAAGCGATCAGCGATCGCCTGCTCGTCACGATATGACGTCCGCAGTTCACGCGTAACCGTAACGTCCGCAGCAAGACTGTATTAGGTGTTAAAACGTGTGGCGTCGCTGGGAGCGTTTGTGGTTCAGGTTCGGTCGATTAGCATTCATACGTTCGTTGTGCCAGCTAAAGTGTTGCGGGGGAGTTCAACCGTCCGTCCATTGGGTAAGGCGGCTCTGAAGATTGGTTGAGAAAGCATCTGTCCCTTCTTCGGAGCAACCTTGATGGAGTGACAGTTCCCGCATCGGGCCTCGCTTCGGTTGCGACTTTCATGTGCTTTATCCATATCTTTTGCAGCTCTTAACAAACTTTATGTCAACTTCGCTAGGTTTGTAGAGCGAACCTAGCTTTCCAAAGGCGCGGTCGTAAACCTGGGTACTTTCGACAGCTTTTCTGTCGTCTGTCGTCATCTAAAGTTCCGCCTCTCCTCTGTCCGCAGCTCATCATTGGCGATGGCGGCAACAGGGAGAAGCTCTACACCACCTTCGCTGACGTGCCCCGTGAGTGTGCGCGCCCTGCTGACGTCACGCTACTCTATTACCTGCTTGCTGGCGGCGACTGTTTCGGATCAGAGCGTTCAATCGACTTTGTTGGCAGTTCTGTGAGGGAAATGTTCTGCGAGGGAGAGGGAGACTTTGGCAACCTCTTTTCCTTCTGGTAGAGTCTCCCGCCGCAAGAGAGAACACCATACCAATCGAAGCACCTGTTTGAGGTCGCAAATAGTGCTGTGGGCTTAAGAATATTTTGTTCTGTTTTCCAGCCAACTGCCCCAGACCCACCGCCAACTGCCCTTCGTTCCAAAACGGCTCCTACTGCTACGACAGTCAGGTGGGGACCTTGTATCTCTTTTTGGCTTTCCTTTAGCTTTGCTCGTTTCGGGGCACGTGTCGCCTCTCTAAGAGCTTTCTTATGTTCCTTCTCTTGCTCCGGATTTTCTAAATCCACTCCAGATCTCCCTCACTTCCTTCCTCGCCGGTTCGCTTCTGTTACTGCACCAATTTAGGTCGGCCGTTGCGGAATCGCAAAGCCACTGGAAGTCGAAGTCATCTCGAAGGCTCATGCTCCGTTCATGCACCGTCCGTTTGCAAGCATGTTGTCGAACGCAGCCATGGGCGGCCGCCCAAGCAGCAAAGAGGGAAAAACGTCTTTTCAGCTGAACTGATGATTTCAAGCTAGCCAAGTGATTGTATTTGCAGCTTCGTCTTCAACTTGTGGCCTGTGATCACTTGTTCGTCTGAAGCGGGTAGATTCAAGCAAAGAAACCTTCTTATTCTCACAAAAATCTGAACGTATCCGTGTCTGAGCGGGCGAGGTAGACCCTTCGCGGAGGAAAAGATTATGTGGGTTACGTTAACCCATGTCCGTGCTTCCTGCAGCCCCCATGGTCCGCGTACCGCGAGCCTTCGTTCGGACACGCCACGCTCGACATGCTTGACGCAAACACCGCCGTCTGGCAGTGGCACAGGAACCAGGTCAGCATCTAACCCGCTTGTAACCCCTGCGCTAACCTGCACTGTAACCAGCATATTCTTTCTCAAACTTGGCACGCGCTGTAGAATGTTCCGAGCTTCTTTGTACCTGCGACGTCCTTAAGAATTGAGGAGTCAGAGTTTAGCGACTGCGAGTAGTGGCAATCGGAATTGGACACTTGACAAGAAACGGACACGTGTCTCTCGTTGCAGGATGACGAAGCTGTCGTCACCGACAGTTACACTTATAAGAGGCTGAACAGCGCCCAGTGCCCCAACCGCGGTGAGTAGAAACTGCGCACCGATCCGTCTACCTCTTGTACAACCGTTTGCGGATTCGACGCGTTCAGCCGCCATGCGTTTGCTCAAAACAGATCTCAGACATGCTTTGCTTGTTTAGAAGCGGCAGGTAAAGTAAAGGCGGCATAGAGACGCCATCTGAAGAGGGTGCACTGCTTGGGTAGCTCAAGTGTCGGTAGCACGGCAGGTTTCTCCGAATCTGTGTTCACATATTGGTTGCCCCCTCCGTGGTCATCTTGCCGTTTAGACGTCGATATCTGACGAGGGACCGCTTTACAATCCTGACCATGCCGATTGTGAGGGTCTACAAAGCAACTTAACGGTGGGCATTACATACAACGAGTTCGTCAGAGCTGTCCGGAAGTATTAAGTTGGGGTCCGTTTCGCCGTACAGCCCAGCGCCCCGGCTCCCCCTGCTCCGACCCCGCCTTCCCCAACCCCGTGAGTGCCTTTATCCTTTCTATTCTTGTGCAGAATGGGCCCATGATTACAAAGTCGAAAAGGCGCTTGAGTCCTGGTAGAGAACAGACCTGCTTTATGTTTCTACAACTCGCACTTGAACTGTGAACCCCTCCAAGATTCACGGCTTGATGCGATGCGTTTTGTGGAAAACGATTTCATTTACATCCGGAAGCTGCTAAAAAGACGAGACCTTAAAGGAAACGTCAAAATTGAACCTCAAATTTTCTCGACTTCATTTCGTTCCTGCAAAGAGACCCTGCTAGCATTTCGGCATCCTTGTGTTCTTTACCTTCAGCCGTTCGGAAGAGTCGCAACGATGGGGCGGGTGAAGTCGTAGTCCCGCCTCATAACGCCTTATTTTCACCAACATCATAAAATTGAACCGGAGCCTTTTCAGGTCCTCAATGTTCGGATTCCTTCATCCTTTTTCAAGTTTTGCACAGCGCACAATCCCCTCGCCATGTGCTTTAAACACAAGTTCACCGGCGAATTGGTCGTCCGCCCTTCTTCGCAGTGCTTCAACGCTTTCGGCGACTCCCAGGCGTGCTGCTCCACCGGTTGCCCCGCCATGCCTGGGCCGGTTCCGTACTGTGGCGGCAACCCGGAGCCTATCCCCGGACAGGACCTCATCCTCGGGAAGCAGTACGCCCGGGTTAGTGTCTAACCGTCTTTTTCTTTGTGTGAACGTGCTATTGTCGTGGCAAAGTGAGCCGATCAAAAGGTCATGGGGACTACTACTTCCAAGGACTTTCACTAATTGCAAGACCGGCCCAAGGACGGGTGGGGTTGGTAAGGGTGTGACCGTCTGATTGAAACGAAACGAGACATCTCTTTGAGATGGTGTACAGTTTTTGAAGAGAAAGTGAAACCTGATTGGTTTGCAGGTTATCACCACCTCATCCCCGGGCCCGGTTCCCTCCACCCCGGCTCCTACCGCTGGCGTTCCGGCCCCTGCCCCGGGCGCTACTACCCCCACCGGAACCACCTCCGCCCCCACCGGAACCACTTCTGCGCCCACCGGAACCACATCTGCCCCGACCGGAAGCACATCTGCCCCGACCGGAACCACCTCTGCTCCGACCGGAACCACCTCCGCCCCGACCGGAACCACCTCCGCCCCGACCGGAACAACTTCTTCTCCGACCCCGGCGCCTACTACCGACGCCAGGGGGATCCCCCGGGGCACTACGTGCGACCCCTACTCGTCGCTCCCCAACCAGGTGGGTTACGGAATGGGCTCACTCGGATTCACGAGGGCGCTTTCCTGTCTCAGGAAGTTTTGGCCGAACCATTTCCAAACTTCTTGAACTGCCTTCGCATCGCTGTATCAACGTTGAATGTCGAGCATGCTATAGCTCAGAGATTTTGAGGAACTCAAACATTCTCGTAACCCTACGTCTACAAAAACCTTCTTGTCTAGGTATGTTACGGTCTTAACATCAACCTACGCTAAGAAATCTAGTGACTATGAGTCTTTAGTCGCTTGGTTGCCGCTTAACCGCAAATGACTAACCACGGTTCTGATCGTGCTCCTTGCAGTGCTTCAATTCCAACGGCGACTTCTACGTCTGCTGCGCGGGCCAGTGCCCCAGCGCCCCCGGCCCCAACGCGTCTTGCTAGGTTTAGTTCCCGGGTTTTGCTGGTAATCCATTGCAAACCAGTTTGAGAGTATTTTGACATGGCAGCGAGGTTCATTTCAGCCATCGAAGAGCCGCGATGATTCGCTCTGGCGTTAGAAAGTGCCTCCAATTCTTCCGTCGTCTCATCTTCCATCATTCATTAAAGAATAATCAGCAACGAGGGTTAAGTACCACGTTTTTGACGTGTTATCCGTTGCAGAGTGGTTTCTGGTCTCTTGAGAATAAAACACAAGCCCGTAGGCGTCTAGCCAGTTTTGAGAAGGAGCAGCGAGCATTGAGAAGCTAGCGAGGAAGAGTTCTGGAATTTCAATCATATAACATCTTGTTATGGTATTCATTGTAAACGCAAATTGAGAATGCTTCACATACTGTTGTCTGGGTCTGAACCCCCTGCATCAGAAGGACAGTACTCACACCGGTATATCTGACGCATTATCATCAGAAGTGCACAAGATTTGTCGACGAAGGTGCCAAGTAGTACCGGGCACCTTCCCGCGGGCATGCTTGGACGAAATGAGCTTGACTGCAGTGCAACGCTGGATCTCAGTCTCCAACCTTTTCAACGTTTCTATATTGATGAGCAGGATTAAAGGCACGGTAACGTTTTCTTCGCCCTCAGCAAGAGGTTCTGCATAACTCTGATGTATACCGCGTGACAACTACTTCAAAAAGCTTGCCGCTTGCCTGCACAGACTCGTGGAGCTTCTTTTGCATGAATCTCCTGCATGATGTCGAACGCAGTCTCAAGTCGGTGAATTCGCTCAAAAGGGTACAAGGAAGTGCGCAGCATGCGCGGTTATATAAAATTATGGACGTTCTCGGCGAATTGTAAATGCTTGCACGCGAAACCAATTAATTGTGATTCCCCCGGATGCTTCATCTGAAGAAATGAGGCTCCGACTTCGATTGGTGTATGCATGTTGCGTGTCGCATGAACCGACGGCATGGGCCTCACGATCGATTTGCAAGGCACTTGCATGGTTCACCGTGAAAGGGCATCATCATCGATCATGTATTGCACGCAGACCCATACTACGTGCCTGCGACAAATTACAATTCTTTTGAATTAGATCCGTGCGCTTGGCCTGCTTACTCGAGCAAGCCAGCGCAGACTTGAAGACGCGCAAGAATGTACATAGGCTCATGCGTGGCACTCTGAACACCTTGACCGTCAGGTTCAAGAGCGACTTTCTTAAGTAATATCCGGGACCAGGTGATTGTGACTACGAATTAAGAACCCAGCTTTTGCTACCAATCAATTAATGCCGGATAGAATCTGAGGAGGCAAGCTGTGGTCCAAAAGAATATACGCGGCCGATTTACAAGAGCACACAAGGTGACGTTATTCACTCCACTGAATATGGGAACAGTTACAGTAACTTGTGGCTAAGGCGGACATAGTTTTCCAGTCTTTGGAGCGCGGCCCCGCTGTCAATTGCATCCTTTGCCCTTTCAATCGCGACCATCGGATCGGAGGCCCCGTTGCAGCCCAGGAGGTGGTCCTGCATAGCGGCGTTGAAGACGATCCGGTCGTACGCAGGGCCTTTCTCGCCTCGCAGAGCCGCCATACCTAGTTCCACGTTCTTGGCCGCCTGAAGAAGGGGACGCAGGGTGTTACTCAGAATATCTTTAGACTTCAAGCAACTCCTCACTCTCCGTTTCTGCTTCAGGATGCTGACTTGGATTCTCGCTTGTCCTTGGCATCTTCTTTCTTGGCTTCTCACCTTCTCCGACCTCCTTCTGCGCGTGTCGGCTCGTCGACACTGAAGACCTCAAACTATCCCTGTTGACTTCGTGGCTTTTGGGAGGAGTAAAACGCTACCTTTCTGCACATCCGAGCGGCAGGAACATGTCCTCTCAAAGTCGCTATCGCCCACTTCAAGGATCCAAAGCTTCTGAGACCAAAAAACGTATGCATGATGGGAGCAGTATCCGAACCTCCAGTTCGCGTCCGCGCCGTCCTTCTAAAGCCGACCCTCATTAAGCCGCCCCCAAATCGGAAAGAATGGTATTCCTATCTCCGCTCAGTGAGTACACCCACACAATCTGTTTCCTCACAAACATCACGTCCGCTTGAATTCGAAAATTCGGAAGCTGACACCCGCAATCGCGTTTCCTGGCAGATGCACACCCTGTCGAAAGCTCGGCGACATGCTCACCGATCTGTCCGTTCGCGGGGTCGCCGTCGACTTGAATCCAAACCGCTCCGCTTCCACATCCAGTGTGAAAGGCTCCCGGTGCAAAAGCTCCCCCGGAACGTCATCAACCGGGCGGAATCCTGACACGTGGTTCACGGCTTGCAGCTTGCGTTCCCCGGGGCCTCCACCCGAGTCGGGGGAGCGTGACTTGGTCGTTAACGAAACCGCGCCCTCTTCGCCCTGCGGAATCGAAAAGCACAATAAGAGCTCGCCGTTTTCATTGTGAGCTTGATAATTGAAATAGAAGTGCCCTCTCTGTACGGGGACACCGTGCCTATCCCGCCAGTTGCACTACAGTTCAGCGCAGAGATGTCAAGATTTCTTTATATAACCGAGACATGCCTCTGGAACTTGAGGGGCTCGCAAAAGTAAAAATACAATCAACGCCGTTACGGCAGGGGCAGTCGGAAGAACCTAAAGCAGCTTCAGGGTTGCTGAACGTCAATGCATTCAAATCTGGTGGAAGTCAAGTCAACCATCGATAGAGCGAGGGCCGACATTCAGTAGCTGACTCCCGCGCGCCTGTTTCCCAAAACAGCGATAATCATCTGGTGGCTCAAAACCAGTCCAGCCTATGAGTGATGGTGCTTTCTGACGGATACCAAGACTGCGGGTGTACCTTGACCACCATCCCTGCGTCGACTCCCCTCCTGCGTATGAGCATTAGCAGCGGCTCCTCGTAACCCTCGTGGTAGTACCCAGCCACCATCGCCTCTCGTCCAGTGGCCTGCAAAAGCGTAGAGAACCGCTGATCACAACCTCTGCTTGAAAAGCATGCAATTTTGAACGCCTCGATCGGCATTCTCACGCTTCAAAATTTGCCGCTCGACCTCTATTCCGCCTCCGGATGTTGTATGCGCCTTTGGCCTGAGAGAGAAAACAACTTCCAAGTCTTTAGGCCAAACCTGGAGCTATCTCAAGATCGTCGAATTTGAACTTACGACACCTGGGATGGCGCTTCGGCCAAAGTGAACTTAGAAACGAAAGGTGCGACCGCATATCCGACTCGCATAACATATGCTTCCCAAAAAATGCAGAGAACGCGAGGTCGACCAGAGTCACCCTGAACGTATGCCGCCAAAGTGCACAAACGTCCGGAGTGCCTAATGTCACTTGGAACAAAGAGCACTAAAATCAGAGGCTTCAGGCCCTTTTCTTTGCATTATTTTGAGCGTACGGGAAGGGCATCTGTATCTTATTCCATCCGCACCGCTGGCTCTCGTCCCCGAGTCGTCCCTTGAGAATAACAGGATGTTCATCAAGTATGCTTTGGTAAAAAGCGATGATTCGTTCCCTGTACAGAAAACTATAAACCTTCCCTAGCCTAGAGTCCAGCATCCACTGCAAGACCCAAAGCCCCAGCTCAAAAGCCCATTGATACGAGAGCCACTCAGAGCATTCTGATCTCAATGGATAAACTACGTAGGACGAGCCAGCCAAACCCAGTAAAATTACCTCGGCTCGAGAAGCGGGGCCCCCAAAAACTTCTCGACCTGCACGAACCGCTTGCCTTCTCCGCGTATCAAGATCTGGGAGATTCTCTTTTTCGTTCGAAGAGCCACCAGAACCCTTCCGAAGCTGCCCTTGCCGTCACATCTCTGACCAAACGCAAAGAGCAGCCCCTCAAGAATCAGACTACTTCGTTCCACAGCCCACCCAAATTTGTAAAATCCTCTGTACGAGAAGAGCCGGCCAGAAAGAGATCTCCTCACCTGTACAAAGCGTTGCACCTTCTCCGTGGTCGCAAACGGCGGCCGCTTCTTAATGTGCAACCGCATGTCGTTGAGCGAGTAGGCTGACGGCTGCACCTCCCGCTGGCTGAGGTAAGCAAAGGCCACCCGCTCGTCTTCCAGAAGCGTCACCGCCGCGGGCGCGCGCAGCGTGGTTGCCGCGCCTAGATGCCGCAGCATGCGCTCCTCGGTGACGCCCATCTGGTTAGACACGGGTCAACTTTAAGCACTGCATCTTCATATCTTAAACCAGAGTTGGGCTGATCGACTCTTGATTAGAGACTACGGAGGGCATGCATAACTTCTATTTTTTCAAAGAGAGGAAGCCCGGACAGGCTTTCCGGGGGTTGCGGTCTGGACCAGTTACCGTACCTAAGCGACACCTGGATTTGCGTTAAGGTGCCACGCCATCTGAAAGTGCTCTTCGTGTTCCAAATCAGAATAAGATAACAACAAGATAAAAGGACCGCAGACTCGGGATGCAAAATGTGCGTGCCTGAAGCAACAGGCACGTAATTCATGTCGGCCAGTTGACCATACGAAATCACAATCATAAATTTTCGGTCACCGCAGCCAACGGACGGCCACGTATCAAAACATGCTCAAGTCAGGAAGTCCAACCCTTGTGCCAGAAGAAAGACGACTTCTGCCGGACTCCTGTTCCTCGTTTTATGTGGTCCTACCCTCCTCGCAGTACCAAAATTCGACTTCCACAGTCCAATCTTCAAGATCCAACACCGGCATACCTTAGGCGGGGTGTAATGGACTCCGTGCCGTAGCCCGGCTCGCCATTGTGGGCGCGCACGCACGAAACTTCGCTATTCCGCCCTCAAAGAGCCTTCCAAAGAGTCAAGAAATCAGAAGCGGCGCACCTTCGGCGGCATGTAATCAATCCCGTGCAGTAGCCCCGCCTCGCCGTAGCTGGCGCGTCCGCACCAGACTGGAAAATCTTGCCTTCAAGACGCCTTTGACAGAGTCGAGAATTCAAATGCAAGCGCACCTTGGGCGGCATGTAATCAATCCCGTGCAGTAGCCCCGCCTCGCCGTAGCTGGCGCGTCCGCACCAGACTGGAAAATCTCGCCTTCAAGACGCCTTTCACAGAGTCGAGAATTCAAATGCAAGCGCACCTTCGGCGGCATGTAATCAATCCCGTGCAGTAGCCCCGCCTCGCCGTAGCTGGCGCGGACGGCCATGACGAACAGCGTGCTCCGCATGAACCGCGTGTTCCCGTCGTACGGCTCCCCGTAGTGCGTCAGCGACCGGACGTCCGCGACGGGGGGCTGGCCTGCGGACATGTTCAAACGAAGTGGTAAGACCAACCGGATGTTAGATCCAGTTTCAATGTACTCAATGCTGTTACGAAGCGGCTTAGCCTGCTTAGAACAGACAACGAATGTCTGAACCAGAGTAAGAAATTTGAACATTTAGTGCGCTACTAACGGTGACGAACAGGGCCCAAGCCAAGAGTGTGGGCGGAGAGATAATTGCAACCGCGTATCGCACCGCTGTACGGGGTTTTCAAATGAGATTAACCGCAGACTCATCTCCCTGACATCTCCAGGTCAAGAAACCAGTCACTACTTGTCTTCCAGTAGGGCCATTTTACGCCTGCAGTTGTTTCCTTAATGGTTGGCTGGCAGATCTTAATTGCAACCGGCAGAGCGTGCTGACTGACTCAAAAGATTCTCCACCCAACCCCTCGTATCACTGTAACCCCGAGCAGAAGAACACGATTCCTTACCAACCTTGACATCCACAGCCGATCATACGCCTTCCTATCACTCGGTCTTCTTCTTCGTCCACTTGGCGAATCAGACACGCGGCCTCAGGTCTCCTCCGCAAACCTACTCTGCCGGCACAACATCAGAACCTCAAAAGGCACGAAAGCTTACCAACATCGTCATCCAGTGCCAAATTATACGCCTTCAACTCCCGCGCCGTCTCCTTGTTCATCCGTTGGCAGATCAGAAACGCGGCCACCAGTGCGTCGCTGACAGACCCCTCCTCCCCAAAGCCCTCCCGGCCGGAACCTTCAAAACCAGCATGCCCGTGATCGAGCGGCAGAATCTCCCGCAACAGCCCACAGAGTTCCTCGTACCCCAGGTGCTCGCCCGATAGGATCTGGGGGTTCAAAAGAAGGTTCTGGTTAAGTACTTGACCTTCAGAGATACGAAGTTCAGAGGAGATCAACTGTGCGTCAGTCAGAAGTTGTAACGCACTCGACTCCTTGTATTCTTGGGGGACTTGAACGAGAGGACAGTCGAAGGCAGGCTGGTCTGGTCAGTCGAGTACCTTCAGGAACTCTGAAGTGAAAGTCTTAAGAAGATATGCGGAAGTTTTTGAACATCACCCAACGAAGTTGGATGTTAGTGCTGATGAGCGAACCAATCGGAGTAATCTTTTCAAAAATACCTCGCGGGCAACCAACTCGTATGGATGTGCTCCCGACCCCCTTAACGGAAAGCCCTACGATTCAAGTGTACACGCACCTGCCGCAGCTTTGAATGGCAATCTTGCAGCAAAACAACCTTATGATGCACCCGAACACGCTAAGTTAGGTTCTTCGATGCTGAATATGTGTTCACCTGTCGTAAGCACCTGCAAACGCTTCAGTCATCCAGGCGAATTGTGAACATCAAGGGTGAATACACCCTCCAACACTTGTCCAGTAGAGTAGTCTCCTCAAGAACAGGGCTTATTCTCACCTCCCTCAGATCGCCCACCAGCCGCTCCTCCGCCCTGCCCGAGTGCCCAGTGTAACCAGGCCCCACAGGGCTCAAGCCTTCCAGCAGCGTTCCCTCAGGATCCGCTAAGAACTGGACTTCTGGGGGCAGGACTTTTTGGAGCTCAGGCCACTTTTCCGCCATCGCGCGCTTCTCGCCCTCGGACCATTGCGTTGGTGGAGGGAACGTCTCAGCGCGCAGCGTCATGGCCCCGAAGAAGGCGCCCATTTGGGCGAGCGATACGCGCTCTTCAAGTGGGAGCTCGCCCTTTGCTGAATGGAAAGAAAGGGGCAGAATTCGCAAGCCTAATCTCTTCCGACCTATCTGGTGTACATGTTCTATTTGTCTTCTTGCAGACTTCCAATTTCCAGTTCTGGGAGCTTGGAAAAACGTCGAAAATGTATGCCTGATGACAATTGCAAACCAATCTGCGCAGCTACCAAATGAAGTGGAGGCATGGATGAAGCTGCGAGTTCAACTCAACGCCCCACAATAGGAACAACGGAACCTCACGTGGCAGCTCTGATCATCACCGTACCATTGACTGATTTGAATGCACCCACCTGATCTAATGATTGCATCAAGCACGGCCCGACACTGCTCCTCATCTAACGGCCGCGTCTGGGTTGGCCCTGTGCACACTTTGCCCTGCGCCTCGAGCACCAGCGGATTCGGTCCCACATCGTCCATCAGATTGTACCTGGCAAACGATTTGCGCAATTATACAATACCCGCGAGATCAAGGAGTCTTGCTCGAGGGCAAGCGGAAACACCTCTCCGGTAGGGGATCAATGTGCGGCACTCCTGCTACAGGGGAGATCAGAGAGAAATATGGAAGAGGAGTGCACAATCATTGCAGCCATTCCCACTGGAGGCTTCTCAATCAGGCCGGATAAAAGTATTTGACCTGGTTGCAAAGCCCTGCACTTGCTGCAGCACAAGTGAAGCGCTGACGGTAGAACCGTTTGATGGCGAAGCACACTTCGTACCACTAAGCGCGCAAAGGTTTCTTGAGGCTGAAGGGATCTTACAAAACTGATCATTAAGGTGGTCAACAACCAGCATCAATCACAGTGGCAATCATGCATGCCCACAGGACATTCTTCACTAGCGCGTTATCCAATAATCACAAATGTGTATCGCTTGTACAAACTCCCCAAATTCACCACTCTAGAGTGATTTTTGAGGCTATTGCATGTAGATCCTTGTAAAAAATGGAGCAAAATCACCGATCGGAACGATCTGGACACAGACCTCTCAAGGCCCTTGTTGAAAAAAGGATGCGACAATTGATTTTGGCTGAAGCCCTGGAACAAGATGCTTCGGACGTAAACAATCGTACTAGCGGTCAACTTTGGCTCAGCAAGACAGTGTGCCGTTCTGTTGACAGCTGAAGGATTCTGCTTGCCGGATCTTCATGTACCATCTTTTCAAGCAATGCTGTATGTCTGATACCGCGATCTGAGAAGATCAATGATTTGGCTTGCAGCTTCTCAGCTCGCAGCTTCTGATCCTTGTCAACAGATACAAGTCCAAGGAAACGTCAGATAGCTGTATGAGGATTCTTACCGCCGCCTCTGTGGAGTTCGATCTTCCTCCGTTGGCTCCTCCGTTGCCACATCTACAGCAGTAGCTCGCCGAGCGCCGTTTCTCGCTCTGTGTTGCTTCGTCTTCCTTGCTCCCAAAACATTTGGTTCAGTCTGAGATCTGTACCTCTGAGTCTCGGTTCTCCCTGAGATGGAAGGAGACTGATTAGTGTCATGGTCGCCAACGTACGGGACAGCTTTTGGCTGTTTCACACGCTGCTTGCGACTGACAGCTGGAGGTTGGAAGAATGAAGATCTGTCTCCCGCAGGTTGGCTGGTGCTACATAGACCTGTAGTACTAGGTCCGCCTGCAATCCTAGATTCAACCAATGCTGGCGCGCTCAAATGGGGCACTACAGCATGGCAGTTCATGGTTACACGCGCCCCTCAAAAAACTGAATCAGCATATCTACCTTCTACAGATCTTATTTCCAATTGTTCTCCAAACAACGAGACGTACTTATGCGCCACCTTGCAGCTGCGTCGGAGAATATGCTAATGAAAACTTTGCAACTTTGGAAGCTTGGTCAGCTTTAGCCTTTTACAGCTTGCCCCGAAAATGCTGTATTATTAAGGCCTCCCTTCCCAAATCTTCAAAACGCTGCATAAAACAACGAACATTCAAGATTGAATTTGACGCATGCTCATGGATTCTGGCGCCATGACGGTACGTACTATTGGCAGAAGATAGCCACGTGATTTGTGCGCCGTGGAATCTGGTCAACAGCTTAATCTAGAGGTAGAGTGTAGAACCAGAACTCTATTTTGCACGACGATTGTGGGCATTGTGAACCTGTTTCTGAATAAGCTTTGGATTTTAGAGAGCTCAATCGGTGCACAGAACCCTGCCCATGTGACACCGTTGGCCAATCGCAAGGGTCGCGCTGCGCGCAGTTGCGCGCACTGAGAGGAGTCCGATGCCAACCGTCGAGTCCGAGGACTCGCAGTGTGACCGGCGGCCACGCGCGCGGACAACGCCAGCGAGCAACGGTACGCAGTGTACTTTTGATGCATACGTCGCTCCGTCCTGCTGCCAGGTGGCAGCTTTCAAAACATGACAGCTGGGCACCCAAGCCTATCTGTAACCTGTCATATGCGACTTCAGTGCCAGGTGTCAACCTTGCGACATTGCCAACTGGCAACTAGTCATCAAAGGGGTCCCGGGCCTCCTCCTTTCTCTCTTTCTCGGTGTCTGCAGCAGCAGCGCGCTGCAGGAGTTGGGAGAAAGTTGCTTCAGGACTCGTCGAAGCCGGACTTGGCGCATTGAGCTGCCTCAGAAACTTTGCTTCTTTGTTATAAAAGTCCTGCTTGCTGACCTCGTCATTCCAGCAAAGTCGGTTTCACAAATACGCTCCCTTACACCCGTCAAGCAACTTGTGCAGTTTGCAGGCCGCCCAACAGGAGAGTTATTGTGCAAGCAGGGGAGCTATAAGTATCAAGGACACCGCACCTGATTCGTCAAGCTTCGCTAGAGGGCTCGCATACTCTCAGGCATCATGGGCGCTTGCTGGTCTGGTTTCGCCAAGTGCATCGCTGACATCTGGTATGGCATTGGCAACTGCTGCTCGTAAGTGGACCCCAGGCCTGTCCTCTTGTCCCTCATTCTTTACCTTCAACCTATGGGGAGCCGCCTATTCTTATGTTTCACTCTCCTTCTCTGACCTCTCTGCCAAAGGATCTACGAGCTTGATAAAGGTTGAGCTTCCTTTAAGGTTGTTACCTCTATTGAAAAGGCTGGTGGTGATATCTGTCCAGTATTAGAATGTTCCAGTTAAAGAAACCTGAAAGATGGTCAAGAGGGTGCATGGTCTCTGCAACTGGGGGTAAATGGTAGTGCATCATTTTTACCAACTATGTTTGGCCCCTGTTTGCAAAGATTCACAGGAGTACTCCTAGGAGTACCTCTAAAACAAATCACATTGCTTTGACTTCGCGTAAAAGTCTTGGTGTGACCATGTTATAGCCTTACTGAGAACTCAAATCTGGGTAAAAGAGTTCCTTCAGCCTTTTGTCAACCAATTGTCAGTTGGAAAATTGTAACAAGACACGGTTATTGATTCCACGCTTCTTGGTAAGTGGAATATATTTGATGAGCATAGTACTAGTTGAAACCTTGGGAAGTCTTTGGGAAGCAATGAACAGAAGAACTGTAGCAAAGGCAAGAAGTGCATGTGAAGGCAGCAACAAAGCTTTCACGTTGGCTGACAGCAGCTTGTCAGGCCCCATAAACAATGCACTTCTCCAATCGGTGCCACCAAGTGATTGATGTTTGTTTTATCCTCTTGCAGATCCATCTGGAATGGCATCGGCGCACTGATCATGGGCATCATCGACTGCATTGGTGACATCCTATGCTGCAGATGCTGCACAGGCAGACGGCGAATGGGACGACGGGGCACAGCCGTTATTTAATCTCCTTAAGGTGTGTTCTAGTTCTTTGTTTCTGCACTTTGGTGATATTCCTTGACCAAATGCTCTGGGAGACGGATCTGTTCATTCCTTGTATAGACTTTGATTCGACGAGAAAAGGTTACAGTGCTTCGCCAACTGCCACTACATTCATGGTTTTGGTTGCACCTCTGTTTGACATTTGTTGCACAAAGTCTGACAGCTCACATTGCTGATTGCAGGATTCCGGACCAGCAGAATAGGACGATGTCATCAGGACAAACTTAGGAGTTGGATGTGTTTATCGGGCTGATTTTCTGTCGAATAGATGATTAAGTACAAAATGAAGACGAGAAGGATTGAAAGCATTCTTAGCCTTTCGGACAAAAAGCTTAGAAGGCTCGCGCGCGCGCACGGAATTAAGTAGAAGGACTGATGGATTTGGCAGCTTAAAGTTAACTGGACTACAGAAACGTCTTATATATAACGCCTTTGTTGATAGTCTCTACACAATCTGTCGAAGCCTTCAGTGAATACTCGATTGTTTTCTTTTTTCTCAGGTTGTACGTTTTGAAAGATACACATGAGGGAGACAAGTCGTACGTGTCAGTTAATGCTCAATTCTTGTTCGCATCATCGGCAGGTATTTATGTAATTCCATACTTACTTCAGCTCTGGAAGTATATGAGATTCGTGTGCAAAACCTCAGCAATCGCCAAAATGCACTGTTGCTCTTCAACCTTAATAGTGAAGTTTGTTTCTATCAATACATGGGCTTTAAATGCATCAAAACATGTATTTCGCATTCGAGTGCCTACTGATACAATCTCATGTTAGATATTGATTATCAATTCACAATCGCTACCTTCATTCTGATCGACACAAACAAGCTGTTTCCAATTTCTCGATTTGATCGTTCCCAGTAGCTAGGTCTGTCTGCTAGAAACATTTCACGATCTTGTATTTTTATATATTGCATCATAAACTGCAAGTATCATCCATTGTCTTCGTCTGTACATTGCAGTTGAAGTGTGTCTAATCACTTACATCTCGGACTTGCACACACGCTAGAAGGCATAGCGCTAGAAGATTAATTTCAAAAGAAAAAGAAAAAAAAAGCTAAAGCTTCACAAAACGTGCCCAACTGCCGACACTGCAACATCATGACCTCTCCAAGTAAAAGGGAACCTTGTACATCATTTTTGAGCAACGATCCCTTCCAAAGTAACAGACTCATCTAGAAGATACTGTATAGTATGCCATGATCACTTAGCCAATGATACATGTGACTGCGGCGTGTTGGAAAAGGAAGCTAAAGGATCATGTCTGCACAGCCTGTGCCACTAGCTGGAGCACCTTTTCTATAGTCAAACTTTTCTACGCGTGTGATGATATGCCGCTCCGCCTGGCTCCGCCCTACATTGGGACGATGTTGAGGCAAGCAAACGGTCGGATCGGCCAGCTTTCAAGCTGCAGTTGGAAAGGAAGCAAGGACTGCAGAAAAACTTCTCTGTGCTGCTGGCAGGTGCAGCCCTGTCAAGCAGGATTACTACTAACTACTTTTGGCAACCGTCGGGCGGGACTGGGCGGGGCTCCAGTACGCCGGCTTGGCGACTCCGAAGCTCCCAACGCCTCTTGTCGGTCGCCCAGTGGTCGTGACCACATGCGGGAGTCCGCAGCGACCGTGTCTCGGATGCTCAGGTTTGCTTCGAATCAAGTCCTATACATACGTAGCTCAGACGATCATGCATTGTCACAACGACAAAGTCGAGCAAGGCGGGAAGGGCGAAAAAAAGTCGACGTAACTTTTTCGTCACGACTGGGCCCTTCGGCTTCGAAGTTCCAAGTCTTTCTTGAAGCCGACTACGGTGCAGTGTGAGCTGGCTTCCTCTTTGTTTTAGACCAGTTCGGCTCCAACAGCAACGAAGCATAGCGCCGTCTCTTCATGATCAGACTTTTCCAGGTCTTTGAAAGCGCAGCTGTAAGAGGAGGCGCATCTGAGCCATGGGCGGTCATGTTTGAAGGTATATGAGAGAACCTGCGCAGACTTCTGGGTTGGCGCAACCAGATGTCGAGAACCTGAGATGGCGTGCAGAAACACGTATACGCTGATCCACGAAGAAAACGCCCCTGGACAGAAGAGTGCCGCAAAACACAGCTCTTGATTAGAAGGTGAGCAGTCATGTGACCATGCGCGAAGATTCTTCTCGAAGCGCTGGTCTTGAAAACTAGAAGTGCTTCGTCCCAGAGATTTTTCTCTATGAGAAACTCTTCAACCAAGGAAACTCTGAGCAAGCCTTACAATTCCTGCGAAGTCATTTTCTGCTATTTACATCTGGGAGCCTCTGAAGTTGGTTATGATATTCTGGACATCCTTCTTGTGGATTGGCGAGTTTGCAAGACAGCTGAACCTTCAGCCTTCAGACCTGACTCTGCTCCCAATCAGGCACAACTACATGATGGTTACCATGTGGTCCTTGATAACAAATCAAGACGAGATTCAGCTAGAGACTAGACAAACTCATGAAGGCCCTGGGGTTTAACAAGGAAAAGTTGGCTCCAGGTGCCAAGCTTTGCTATGCAAGAAGGATTGAGTTGCAAAGGTTGTTGGAAAAGAGGATTTATGTTTTCGGATTGTAGAGGGCAGGAAGCTTGAAACTGATCATGGTGTCCGGATTGATGAGAATGTAAGGATTTACCTGCTTCGATCACGAATTTTTCAGAACCTATATCGTAGTTTGGGTGCCTAAAGGAATCAAAGCCAGCCACCGGAAGTGCAAAAGTTGGAGAAAGCATCAAAGTAAGGAGACCCTTCCCTGCTGGTGAACATGCTGCATCCGATAAAAGGTGTCAATTATGACATCCGTTATTGAGAGGAACGTTGACCTCGAAGATTGCAAGGGTCTGTTACTAGGTCTTGTGCAGAAATCCAAACTGCTGATAAACCACACAAGTCTGGATCAAAGATTGTGCTCTAGCAGAATAGGCAAGGCAAACATACAGCGGTTCTTTTCAGCAGGTCCTAAGCATGCTGCTACGAACAGGTGAACTCGCCTTAAACAGATGACTGCATCAGGAATAGGTATCCTGCAGTAGTTCCCTGGACAAACCATTTTTCTTTTCCTTTTCAGGAAGCTCCATCTCGTGGAGAACCTGGTTTGAGTGCTTCTCCTGGAGCATGGAAGAAACTTAAGAGCCTGGAGCAGCTCTGCAGTTAAAGTGGATCCAGAGACGCTAAGAACCGCATACGGTTGGGAGCATGATCCAGAAGATCAAGGATCCTCGCTTCGAGATGACTTGAAGGTGACCTGATTCCGTTTCAGTTGCAGAGGTTTGGTTGCTGCGTTTCCCAGCGGAACCCTAAGTCTAGAGGACTTGTCAGGGAATGTGATTAGGGCCGAACAGAGTCCGCTGAAATTCGCTGAAGCAAGGTCAGAGAGCTCTCGTGGAGGATTTGCAGGGGAAGAAGCTGCTCAAGAAGGGCCCAATATTCAAAGTTCTTCACAGTCAGCTGTTGCATCCGAAGCAGAGCAATATGGCTACAAGAGAAGGTGCTGATGACGAAGAAGCCGAGCAGAGCAGCGAAGCTGACCCAGACCTACTTCCATCAAGAGTCCGGCCTTCTGCAGAGGACTTTTCCAACGGGGTCTTTTCGAGCGAAGAAACTAGCAGGCAGCAAGCGGGATCCTGGAGGATGTACTCAAACTCAGTCTATGACAACCATCTCCGTCCTGTCGAGGAATATCGAGGGGTAGTGGAGAATGGTGACAGATCCTACGAAGGAGAGCTGCGCCCTGGAGAAATTGCTGCTGCTGAGGCTAATGGATTTGTCACAGAAGATGGCCGGGCTGCGTATTCCAGGGAAATCGTTGAAGTGGCAGATGACAACGTTGGAGGCGCGTCTTACAACTTGAGTGAAGCATCCAGCGAAGCATCGTCCGCGAACGAGGAGGGTGGTAGCGGCAGATCGACACCGGTTGGCTTGTATCCAGGGCTTGTGCCAGGACTTCCGGCGCAGGTAAGCAGAAGGGTTTGCGTGCGAATAACGTTCCTTTCGGCTTTTACTCTACAACCTTTGCTTCTCTAGGATGAGAATCTGGATTATCTCGATGCAGCACGATCGATGCGATAAAGACGCTTCAACAAGAGGTTTGCTTTCCGAGTCTCACTTGGCAGACCACGGAACCTTTCGCTTCTGCTCTAGCAGCTGGACAGATTTCAATGACGATCAGGTGTCTTCCAGAGTTCGTAAACTTCGGTCTGCTGAATGATAATCTTCCTTTTCTCCAGATGTTCATGTCCGGATACCAGTACCCCTTCTTCCCAACCCCCTTCTTCCCAACCCCTGGACTTCAGCCGGGCATGGGAATCCCCATCGGCTGGCCAGGGGCCTCCCCTTTCTTCAACCCGTTCATGCAACTACCGATCCAGCCGGCTTCTCCGTCGTCGTCAACGCAAGCTTCGGAGCCCTCCAGCCCGGCCCAAAACCCTCCAGAGGCGCAGCCTGAGCAGCAGCCAAAGTCTACAGCCACCCAGCCCCCAAACCAGCCCCCAAACCCCGGCTTAAACCCTTCGGCAGCCAGCTGGTCTCCTCCGTCCCAGATTCCACCGCGGCCGCAGCAACAGCCGCAGCCGCAGTTCAACCACCCCCCCCAGATGGCTGGCGAAGCCTACCCCCCTGACTGGCAACGTCACCCTCAACAGCCGCCTCCTGCTCGAGGGCAGCGGCCGCCTTTGGCACCACAATGGCCCCCCTCTGAAGCACCCCAGTTCAACACCCCCGCGCAAGCACCCCAGTTCAACGCTCCTTTCCAAGCGCCTCAGTTCGGTCCGTACGGACAGTTCCAGAGGCCTCCCAGGCCGCATCTTTCCCCTGCTGCACCTCCGTTTGTGGCAAATCAGCAGTTTCCACGTGGCAGGATGCCAGGAACTGATCAGCGGCCTCCTCTGGCACCTCGTGGACCCCAGTACTTCACTCCTAGACCGCAGAACATGTGGTTTCAAAGACCCCAGCAGCCTCCGCCAAGGCCAGCGCCGGTCCAGAGAGCTCTCCCGAAGGTCGACTCTACGAAGCTGCGGATCATGTCTCGTGAACTGCAGTCGAACATGCAGGTGAGAAGGGTCAGCTTACTGGTACCACTTTATCGTTCTCAATCTGATCAAAGATCTGTAGCTCGTATCTTTTGAAAGTACACCGTTCTTTCTTGGAATATGCGGACCACTTTACAACGAAGATCAGTTTCGCGGGGCGCAGAGAAGCTTTGAAGCGATCAAAAGAGATTCGGCTGAAAGGACGTGCGTGCAGGTGAAAGATTCAAGATTGTATGCGAGAAGCGCTAATGTTTGCATTTCGACCCGAAAAGTAATCTCAAACCGAGTAAAGTTGAGCTCAACTTGCGTGCCCTGAAGCGTGTGAAGAGGAAACGACCCTCAGAGATTCTTGTCAGAAGGAAATGTGCTTTATTGGAACTTGAGAGTCTGAGAGGCTGGATACAAAGAGTGAAACTTACCCACATTTTTTTCCAGACGGAGTTGCCCAAGTCCCGAGCAGCCGTAACCCCAGAGGTCCCCACAGACTCTGCCAGGCGTGAAACGTGGCAGAGGCGTCCTACCCTGGAGGCGCTGAGCGAAGAGGGCAGCGAGGTCGAAGAAGGCCAAGCCAGATCAGAAGAAGCAGAAGCTGACAGCGACAGCACTGGCTGGAGTGGGAGGAGTGTCACGAAGGAACCAAGCGCTACAGATCTGGTCGCTTTCGCCAGCGCAGACGGAGAGGAATCAACTGAGGCTGTGAACGGAGCGCCGGAACCGGATGCAGAGGGGAAGGACAATGGCGCGCCGACGGAAGCTGCTGAGTCTCCAGGGGGGAAGTCTGAGGCCAAGAGCGAGCCTGAAGAGGACGAAGAGGTTCTGGAGAGGGAGAAGCCGGCTGATTCGGTAACAGATAGCCAGAAAGCGGAAACAAGTCAAGAACCTCAAGGGGCGTCTGATGGTGACGCTGAGGACGCGACCGCTTCTGAAGTTGCCGCTGGGGAAGAAACGTTGCTGGATGGAGCGGAGAAAATGGCTACGGAACAGCAGGAGAGAGAAACGGAAAGTGACAGAACGGAATCTGACCGGGGGGGCGATGCAGCTTCGGAGTCTGCCCAAGCAGTCGTCGAAGTTACGGCGATGGGGGAAACGGACATTCTCCCGGCGGAGAAAGCATCCGTAGAGAACTCAGAGGCGTCTGCGAACCAATGTGTCGGAAAGGAGAGTGTGACAGGTGAGATCGAGGGCAAAGAGGACGCAGCAATTGAGAGCTCCGAAGGTTCGGTTGAAGCCCGGGTAGAGGGCGCGCCAGACCTGCCGGAAGAGGGTACAAAGGAAGACGTCAAGATTGTGGAAGCGTCTTCGAAGGAGGAGCAAAGAAGCGCCCAGGTCGAAGAAGCCAAAGAAAGTCCACCGGAGAGTGAAAACAGCCTAGAAGAAGAAAGGGCAGCTGTTCGGGAAGGGGGAGCAGAGGCAGCGCCTGAGGTTGGGGCGGAGCGGGCGGAATGTTCGGGAAGCTCAGAAGAGTCAGACGCTCGGTCAAAGCCGTCGGGAGATTGCAGCTCGAACCAGCAGGTGGAGGCGGAGGTCGTTTTGGAGTCGCAAGAAGGTTCAGAAGAAATTAAGGAACAGACTGAAGCGGATGGGGAAGCAGATGCGGACGGACGGGAAACTGAAGAAGCGGGTTCGGCACAAGAAAAAGGGGAGGAGGAGCTGGAAGTTAGAAAGCAACCGCGCAAAGAGGAGGAGCAGGGTGAGGATCGTTTGGAAGGGAGCGGTTCCGGAAGCGAAGTCGCAGAGGGGCCCAGCATCGAAAAGGAGGACGAGAAGCCTTCCAGCGCTCAGGCAGAACCGGGGGCGGCTGCTAAAGCGGATGTGGTTCCTTCGGAAGGGCAAACCGCAGAAGCTGCAGAAGAGACTGAAATCGAGAGTCCGGTCGCATCCAGTCTGAGAGAACTTAGCGAAGGAGGCGTCGAAGCAGCCAGCGACTTTGGGCTGCAGCCAGAAGCTGAAATGACGTCAAAGTCCGAAGAGGAGAGCCGAAACGGTTCGTCAGAAGCTTCACAACTTGAGCCTACCGACGTGACCAACAAGCCGGAGCTGCCATCAAAGGACTTCGCGGGCGGAGAAGCTGCTGAGGAGACTCGCAGCGTTGATGCTGACGCTGACGCGGACGTCAGCAATCCGGAGCGGGGAAGCGAAGTAACAGCGGAAGTGGCCAGCCGTGAAACGCAAAAGACCGCAGACACGCAACCGGAGGCGGAGAGAACATCCAGCGGAGGCATCCCCTCGTCGGTCCTGTCGATGCTTCTTCCCCACTTCGGAAAACCTGAGGGTGTGAAGCTGTCCTTCGGTGAACCCAGGGGCGATGAAGTCAGCAAAGAAGCGTCGCGGCCGCCGACGCGGTTCACTCCAAAGCTGGGGCCTCCGCCAGGATTCGAGATGCACCGAAAGACGGAGAACGGCTCTTCCAGTCGAAGCCGGGAGATGGGCGGAGGAGAGGGTGAGATAGACGACCTGCTAAAAGTTCTCATTGGTGGCGGCTCTGGCGGAACGGACGAGGGTCAGAGCGGAGGAGCGGAACGGCAGAGTCTGTCTAAAGCCGGGAAGCTGGAAGTCGCAGCTAAAATTGAAGCGCAACCGGGGCAGTCTTTGGAACATTCTGAGGTCTCTGAAGCGTCGGTAGTAGGTCCAGACTTCTGGAAGGAGATGCTAGGCTTGGCGACGGCTAACGGGGAGGAAAGCGGCTCCGCGGAACCGGACCGGAAGGCGGAAGACGGTGGAGAAGCTCCGGCGGGGAGAGAGGCAAAGGAGGCCCGCGAAAAGACCTGGGAGGAGCTTTTCGATGAGATGCAGGCCAAGGCTGCACGGGGAGAGCCTCTTCTAAAGCCCGACTCGGAAAAGACCTGGGAGGAGCTCGAGGCGGACGGGAAGTTTGTTGGAGGGATCCCCCAGAAGATGAAGACCGGGCGGCAGCAACTCCCACCGTCGGAAGATGACTGGAAAGTGAAGGTGGGCCCTCAGATGGAGTTCGGAAAAGGCGAGAAACCGGGGGAGCGGCTCGCGCGCGCGGTGATACAGGAGGCTTTCAAGGCGAAGAAGGCGGAGCTGGAGAAGGTGAAGATAAAGGCCTGGTCGAAGCCGGAGGTTTTCGCCCCGGAGGAGTCCCCCGACCAGTCGGAAGCCCCGAGGGGAAGAGACGGTACCAGGCGGGCGGAGGACTTACAGAGAGAAAACGTCTGGGAGAAAAGGAGGAAAGAAGCGGAAGAGCGGTTGACGGGACGGTGGGGAATCTCTCATCAGTCGGAAGGAGAGGAGGGACCGGGGGAGCTGGATAGGGCGGTGTTGCGAAGCAAGCTGAGCGGTTCATTGCCCCCTAAGGAATGGGAAGAAGCGGGAACAGGGAGTGCCAGAGAGAGGGGGTCAATAATTTTCGAGGGCGCTCTCGTGCAGCTGAAGAGGCAAAGCTCGAAAGAGAGGCGGGGCTCTGAAAGTAACCCAAGTAGTCCCGAAAGGCGCCAAGGTAAACCCGGCAGGCTGTTGCTCGACGATGGAGACAAGGGCGCGCAAGTCTTTGCTCCCCTCGCGAAATCAAACGGGCGGCGGCAAGAAGCACCGGTGGAGCCACTCAAGAGTCCGAAGACGCCCAAAAGTGGACAGTGGAGCGAGATGGTCGAGCAGAGTGAAGACGATCTCCCGAGCCTTCCGGACGTGCTGAAAGAAGCCGAAGAGCTACAAGATAGCAGTCCCCAGCCTCCAGAAACGGAGGGAACCGAGCACGCGACCGGGAGAGTGATCCAGACGGGGCACGTGCCCCAGAACAAGGCTGTGGAGGCGGAGGTTGCGACGCGGGCCGACGGCGAGAGGACCGCCTTTCGCGCGGCCGCGATGGGCGCGTCCGCGACGATGTTCGCGGGCCTTGCCGAGCGGAGCAGGGCGGCCGCGCGCTTGGCGCTGGGTGGGGCGCACGGTGATCGTCCCCCGACCGGAGATTCCGCCCACGGGAGCACCCAGAGCGAACCTTCCGGTTGGAATGTGAACCGGCCGACAACCGGGGGCTCGGCGCACGAGCACGTCCAGAGTGGGCCGTCCCGGTGGCCAGGAGCGGGGAACGCTGGGGGGATTGTGGCGCCAGATGATCTTGAGGAAGATGACAGCGAAGCCGAGGAGTTCGCCCGGTTGAGGAAGCTCAGGAAGCCCGGGGCGAACCAGCGGCAGGGCAGGCCGGTGGTTGAAAGACCGGCTCCGCAGCCGGCGCAACCGGTAGAAAGCAAACCCAAAGCAGTCAGGATAACCGCCCCGCACGAGATCGAAGACGAGGAGGCCTCTGACGTCGAGGAGGTGGGGAGGGCAACCCGCAAGGGCAAGCGCTATTCTCAGAAGCAATTCATCACCGACTTAGAGAGCGGCGGCGGATACTACGACCGGACGTGGGTCGAAGCTGAGCAGGGGATAGCCAGCCAGAACCGGGGCCCTCCGCAAGCTCTCGGTCAACGAAACTTCAACCAGAAGCCCGGCCCTGCAACTCAATCTAAGGGACTGAAAAGAGGAAGTTCCGGAAGGGTAGGGGAGAGGTTTGTGGGACCGGGGCAGTTTGAGGAAGCGGATCGAGTTAGCTCTCCTAGGCCAGGCACCGCGCGCGAGCGCGCAGTTCTGCACGAACCGGGGGGTCTGGGCAGGCGCAATTCGACTCCCCCGCAGAGTCAAGAATGGCGCCCGGTGGGTGAAGACCAGAGTGCGACCTCCAGCCGGACCCCAACGCCCGAAACCCTGCCCAGTACGCCCAGCGGCCAGCGCGCGCATTCACGCGCGTCGCCGGTTAGCCTGAGCACCGAGGCCTCGCCCATCGAGTCGGTGAAGAGCTCCCTGAGCGTAAAGAGCCCCCGGGAGAGTCTCTCAGACGAGGAAGGCTACGAGTCGGCGACTAGCTCGGTTTTCGACAACAACGACGACAAGTGGTCCACCGAGGACCAGTCGGAAGGGCCCTCCAGTCAGGCGGCTGCTCCAATGGCGGGACGGGCGTTGCCTGGTAGAGGGGGGGGAGAAGTCTCTACCGGGGAGCAGCAAGAAGAAGCCGAAGCGCGCGTGGAGGGAACTGAGAGCGCACCATGTGAAGAAGAAGGCGGCTTTGTTGCGGCTGTGAGAGCGGCCGTTCGCCAGATAGCTACAGGGAACGGAGAGGAGGAAGCGAGAGAGGGGGGAACCGATACCGGATGGACTGCTGCGGAGAAACCGGATGAGAAAGAGCAAGGTGGGGCAGGAAAGGAGGAGGGAATCGAGGAGCCGATCGAAGATAAGGGGTGGGCAGAAGGGGAAAAGGGTGAAGAGGGCAACGCGGCTGCAGTACCGGTGGGGAAAAGAGAAGAGAAGACCGGACCGCTGAGCGAGGAAGAACTCCAGCGGAGGACTATCTGGGTGGGAAACATTCCAGAGAAGCTCTTTACCGAGAAGAAGCTGTGGGAGCATTTCAGAAACCTAGGGCTCAAGGTTATGTCCATCCGGCTGATCAACTCGCGCACCCTCACAACTAGAGACGGCGTTCGAATCGAGGGGGCGGCGTTCATGTGCCTGAAGGACGAGGACGCGGCCATGGACGCACTGCTGCTATTTAAGAAGGACAGAGCCCCGTTCAGGTGCGTTTCAGTAAATCTTGTTTCCAGTGCAGTTCGCATGCAGGGGCCAGTTGAAAACTCTTCACAAAAGATAGTCGAGCTACCTTTTGCTGAATTCCTCTTCCACATGACAGCTTGAAACGTTCCCCACCGTTTAAAAGTTCATAGCGAGTTTTGAAGGTACACTTTGCATTCACAGGGTTACTCTTTCTTTTTATCGTACATTTCGTGTCCTTTCATCTTATCTGTTTGTTTCATACTTCAGGCGCCCTGGAATCAGCATTTTTGATCCTTGCTCAGGGTTTCAATTGCCGACTTGTTAAATTGTATTCTAAGCAGAAAGTCTTATTTAGACAACGAAGGAGGAGCTCGATTCTTCGTCAAAATGCTGCCCATCTGACGCAATCACATGCCTATCCAGGAACATGCTCCTCAGGCCCAGGACCCCGGCGGTGTACGAAGCCCGGGGCTGGGTTCCGGGCCCCGGTCAGTTTGCTGCTCCCCCGCCCAAAGCCGTCAAAACTTCCCTACCAACCGAGAAGGGCCCGCCGGGCAGGACGCACCGGGTCCAAGAAGCGGCAGAAGCACGGGCGTCCAACCGGATGCCGGGGTCTCAACAGGGCAGGATGAATGGGTCGGAAGACGGTTTTAGCGAAGCTGAAGAACCCCAGTTCTGGGAACTTCCCCCGACCAGCGCCCAGGTAGATGCCCCCGCCAAGAAGGGTCAGCTGCCGGTCAGACCCGCGGGGCCGCCGCCCGACGAGGAGGCGCGCGCGCGCGCGCGCAGGCTCGAGAAGGAGCGCCAGATCCTGGCGGACCACGTCAAGTTCCGGGACTGGGAGGAGCGAGTCCGCCAGCAGCGCGCGGAGGCGGAGCGCGCGGAGGCTGCCGCGCGGCGCGGCCGCGCGAAGGCCGGCAAGAAGGTCGGGGAGAAGCCGGCTCCGAGGCGGGGGGAAACAAACCCGGTAGATTTCGCCGACAGCCCGCCGTTCGCCCGGTTCTTCGTCGCGATCGGGAACAGCAGGGAGGATTTGGAGAACAGCCTGGAGCATTCGGCGTGGACGAGCGTAACTAGAACGGGGAACAAGAAGATGGACATGGCGTACCGGAGGCTGCAGGAGGGGGAGGGCGCGGGACCGCTGTACCTGTTCCTGACGGTGAACGCCAGCGGGGTCTTCTGCGGAGTGGCAGAGATGGTGAAGACCGCTGCAAAAGTTACATCGTATCTGCCAATCTAAAAGGCTTAGCTGACAGCTGAACCACTTTCGCTATCCTGTCATAGATCAGCGTCACTTATTGGCCTTGAAGCTATCACAAATGTCTCGCTTTCTTGGACGCTGAACATACCTGCGCGCTGCATCTACTCAGCAGATTCTGGGGCTATTTTCTGGGTGCGAGTGTTCGATTGGCAAACGAATTTTTCAATGATTTCGAAGCAATAAAGTTTCATTGAATTGAGCTTTTTCTGCTGTCTGCAGACGGGTCGTGTGAAAGACGAGGCGCTCGACATCTGGCAGGAGAGTCCCTGGGGCGGGCACTTCCCCGTCAAGTGGCACCTGGTGGTAGACGTCCCGGGCACACTTCTGGAGCACATTCTGCTGACAAACAACGACCGGAAGCCGGTAACCGTCAGCCGGGACATGCAGGAGGTAGGAACTAACAGTATTCAGTTGAATTTTGAGCTGCTTTTGAAGTACGTGTTTGCTGCCGCAATAAAGGCCGCTATGTCCTTGCTTCGTAAGCTCCTTCTAGCTTTAGATCGATCGTGTCGTGCAGCAAGTCAAGTTTCACAACATTTCAATCCTTAGGTTGATCTTTCCGTCAATGTCCGTGAACCGGAATACTGGAAGCAAGTTAGACATTGTGCTTGCATGCATTTTTATCGTTTATGCATGCATTTACGAGTAGGGCCCCGGGGACTCTCAAATCCAGTACTTCCAAACAGGCTGGTGGATGCAGGTGACGCCCTTCAATGAAGTCGACAGCTTCAATTGAAATGGTACCCAAGTGTTCCAAAAATTGACCGCTCCGTTTTGCTGTCCTTGCCAGGTGCCATTTGAGCAAGGGCTCGAGATGCTCCAGGTCTTCAAGGCCGAGGCCATCAAGGCTGCCCCGCCGCCCCCTCTGCCGGCGCCAGAAGAACCAATCCCCCAAACCGCGTCAGCAGAGCCTACCAACTTCGTTGACTGGGATACACTGGCCGTCCCGACGCCGGAACATCTCCCGACCGAAACGGAGCCGCAACTCCCGGATCCCGGAACCCCGGCGCCCGCGGACCCGCACGCTGAAACCGCAGCAATCCGGGTGCTGACACGTGTCAGAGAGACCAAAGGGATAGCCCCAAGACCTGTTCCTCCAAAGGCACCCCAGCCCAAGGACGAAGCAAACAGGAGGGTGGCCCAGACCGGGCGCATTCGGGTCGACACTCCGCTGAAATGGTGGCCGGCAGCGGAAGCGAGCAGGGGGAACGCCGAGAAAGCGCACGGAAAGCAGAAGGGGGCTGAGACGGACGGAACGCGGAAGGATGAGACGAGCGGAAAGCGGAATGCAGCCGCAGGCAACGGTGACGAAAAGAAGACGGGCGGGTTTGCGCTGCTAGAAGTCGAGTCGCCGGCCGCAAGCGAATCGTCCAGCGACGAAGAGGGGCCGCGGCAGCCGACTGAGCCGGAAGAGAAGTCCGTTCCGGTGGTGCCGGAACAGACGGCGGAATCGAGCGGAAATGGGGCGCAGGAGGAGTGGGACGAGCTCTTCTTGGGCGGTGCGCAGGCGGAAGACGAACGGTTGGGCGACGTACCGAAGGAGGAGCGGGAAGAAGCGCTGGCCGAGCTAGCGAAGGGCCTGATCGGGCGCCTGCCTGCGAAAGGGGTTGACGCTCGGTAAGAAACAGCTTCGACTCCCCCACTATTGTTCAACTCAGAAAAAGATATCAGATCGGGCTCTACCAATCGCTGTAAGATGGCGGGAGAAAGAATCGTTCCGAAGTCTGGATCAGGGTGGCCTGTTTGTTTGTAATACGAGCGACTTTCCAGAAGCTTTGTCAGCCAGTAGACGCCAGGAACTAATCTGGAGGCTGAAGAGGATACTCGCAGTGGAAGTTGTACGAAAAAAGATGTTCCTCTTGATAAGCTCTCTTTTCATTACAGGGACGCTGACGGCTGCACCGCCCTGATGCACGCCCTCCTGCAAGGCAGGCTGCAGTTGGCCAGCTTTTTGCTCCAGAGCGGTGCGCGCGCGGACTACCCGACGAAAGACGGGCTGAATGCTCTCCATGTGTGAGTATCGTCTGAACCCCTTCATGGACGCAACAACAAATATGAATTATTGACTTGAAAGATTTTGGAAGCCGTTGTCGAGACATCTCCGCAGACTGCTCTATAAATGTATTGCTTCTACTTAATGGCGAGTTCGTGTTCGGTTGTAGGGCCCAGCTCAAAGCCACGTAAAACAGCTTCAGTTTTTGACCTGTCTCCTTTTCGAAACGGTCTGACTGCCTAACCTGTTCCTCTGTCCAATACACGACCCATCTGGTTTTCAGAAAGGAGAAGCCAATTCTAATTGTCCATGTCTCTCCTTCTCTCAGCATCGCGCAAGTCGGCAGCTCGGAGCTGTGCGCGCTCGCGCTCGCGCGCATTCGGGAGAGCGGCGGTCAGCAGGGCCTCGCGAAGGCGGTCAACAAGCCGGACAACCGCGGCCGCAGCCCGCTGACGATCGCAGCCCAGTACGGGTGGGCCGCTGTCGTCGACCAGCTGATCGAGAGCGGTGCGCGCGCGGACGAGAGCCAGCACCGGGACGGCGCCACCGCGCTGTTCAAGGCTGCGGAGCTGGGCCAAGTGGAGGTGAGCCGGGGCTAGTTCGGAGCCGAAGGTTCTTTGGAGTCTGGGCATTTTGCGGCCCCACGTTGGCTTCCTCAGCGCATAGTTTAGGGCCAAATATCTGCTCAAACACAATCTCGATAGCCGTCATCCTTATTACCTGTTTGAAGTCACCGTTATATTAAGCTCAAGATGGGGAATCCTGGCCGAGATTTCGTCGAGATAGTGACACAGCCCTGTCAAAAACCTGGCCTTTTTCGATCGCGAAATGGATGTGCCAGCTCGACCTGAAGCTTCCAAAAAGGGACCTTTCGTACAGGAAGTAGAGAAACCTTGCTTTTCCTTCCCTTCCAGTCGCTTGCCTCAAACCAGTCGCACACTATGCCAAAATACACGTCCTCGGCAATTCCCGACACTAGTTCTCGCTCAAATCTCGTCTCAATATCTGCAGGCCGTGGCTATGCTGCTCGCGAAGGGGGCCAACCCGACGCCGCCACCTGTCAACGGCCTGACGCCCCTGGACGTCGCGAAGCAGTACGGCCACAAACGGACGGCGGCCACGCTCGCGGCGGCTGGGGCGATCGGAGAGCTCCCGAAGAGGGTCGAGGCTCTGTGCAACCGCGGCCTGGAGAGCGCGCGCGCCTGCGACAAGAAGGAGGGGCCGGGGCTGAAGTTCCGGACCTGCGGACGGTGTCGCGAGATGCGCTGTGAGTACGGCGGCGGAGCTCCGCTTTGAGTTGATCTTGGCTTGGCTTCTCAGCTAGTCTGTTGAAAGAAGTGTGTGTTCTGCAGAGCCTTCCGTCTTTTCAAAGCGATCCATGGCTTGGCCTGCTTGGAAAGCTGAGGTGGACTAAAAGGGTCGCGAGAGATTTGCTTTCGAGGCCTAGAGCAGTACCACGTGCTGCTTCACTTGATACGTAGAGGCATAATATACGAGTTGGGTTGATCAAGTTGATGGCCCTCTTAATGGCACGCCCCCGCGACTTGTACGTTGAATGGGCTACTTATCAGACCTTTCGTTTGCAGATTGCTCGAAGGAATGTCAAGTCAACGCCTGGCCAGAGCACAAGCCATTCTGCCGAGAACGGGAGTAGCATGAACATCCACTGAGGCCGCCAGTCGTGTGACCTCCTTTGCGTGCTTCTGTTCGACGCTGTACGGGACGCCTCTTCTCCTTCGACGACCTTTTCCAGCGTTCCGACGATGAATACGCATGCCCTCCACTTGTTGCCTTACAATAGCTAATCATTGCATGTTCTTTTAAGATCGCAAGTAACATCAAGAAGACAGAGATTGTATGCACATTCGCAATGCTTTCTCTGCACGATACATATGATCACCGGAACATTTGTATGCATCATATTTTGCTGATGGGGCTTTGCCCCGCAACCCGGTGATCTTTTAGGCTTGCCGGGAAATTCAGAGCTTATGAATTCGAAGTACGGTGAGTCGGTCATAAACTTGCTCCGTTGTGTTGATAGCCATCTCGACGAGTCCTGTGAATGCGAAATGCGACTTGCTATTAGCTGCCCAGTGATGAATGCACTGGCATCAAAAGTTGCTCTTACTGACAGCTGAATCAGGTTTAACGTGGCCCACTCTTTGCGGTTGCCAAACGCGTGTCAGTATATTGGCTTGCCTCTTCCTTTGGAAGAGGGCAGCCATGGGAATGGGGTTTTTTGCTACTGTACGACGCCGCGGCGCGGACCCGGCGATCGACCTGTTTGTGCCGACTTCGCTTGCCTGAGTTCGACGATAAAACGTACGGTACGGCATAAAAATTTGCCCAAATAAGGCGACAACCCCCCGCCTCGACTGGGTGCCGCGTTGCGGTGCGGATTGCGGTTTTCGAATCGAACATTTTAGACTCGGCTCAATCTGACGCAAGTCGCCGTCGAACGGGGCTCAATCTGGGTCATTGCGTACTGTTTACTGCGTACCGACTATCTACGTACCTAGCCAGGCTAGCCGCTAGCCTACACTACTTGGTACGTACCTACCTCGTATAGGAAATCGCCTCGGGCTTCTGTGAGTCTCGGTATCGTACCGGATCGAGGATTTGTCGCAGTAAATGAGCTGATCGGGTACGTACCGCTGATATCAGTGATATATCTGCGTAGCTTCGTGCTTTTGCGTGAGTCGGTATCGTACCGATAGGTCATACTGTTGCGTAGCATGCATACTGTGCATGCTACCCCGCGTGCCTGTGATTTCGACTGCGGCGGTGCGTACCTAGCCATTCTGTATAGTATGTCGCCTTATTAGTACTAACGGTGCGTACCCGATCGTTGGTCTTTATTGTCACAGTCGTTCGCTTTAACGCGGCCGATCCAGGCGGCCTCGATTGTCAATGCTCTGTTTATCCCTCGCATCGAGCTGCTTCGCATGACAGTCAGGTCGTGCTGGCTTTCAACTTCGTACGAGTGCTGCAAGTCTTTCTCTGTGCATGCAGGCTGCGTCTTAATCTGTGTCTTCTGCTTTGCTGAATTCTGTTTGCTGCAGCATACTGCTGACCGCAATAATGGCTTCTCCGGCTGACGACGTGGATAGGTACGGGCCGCAGGTTCTGCTGGGTGTTCATGTTCGAGCAGCCCCTCTTGATGATCGCTTTCAGCATTGTGTGGGCAAAGTTACAAGCTGGGAAGGAGACGAAGCTGGTTTTTCAATTGTAGTCATGACGCCGACTTCTTTGGAAGGAGCAATGATGAAAGGTGTACAAGCATGGGAGATGAAGTACGTAGTGCTTGTACGGCGATATGCGCAGGACAGTTCTGGAGGATCTGTAAGCTCTGACGACCGGGATATGCCCGCTGAGACCGCTGATTATAGCCAGGATGGTTCAAACGGGCTCAGCATGATACTCTGCCCCTGGAAGATGCATTGTACCAGCAAAGTACTTCCCAGCGCTCTTAGCTGTCATAGTTGCGGCGGTAGTGGAAAGAGGCGTTTGAAAGAATGCCCAGGGTGCACTCAACGGGTATTTAGCCAAGCTCACGTATGTGGAAACTGTAAGCATAGGTTTCAGCTGCATCATCGTGAGAATGTCTGCCCGCAGTGCCAATTGCCGAATCTACAGCGATCTAAGACCTGTAGTTCTTGTCAGTTTCGTCTAAAGTCGGCTGCTGTAAAAAGTGGTGCTGGTCAATATAGGGGAGTTCATAGGTCGAAGCGCCTGCAACGGCCGTTCGAGATTAAGTGTCAGTTTAGCCGCAGGCAGTATCACGTTGGTGCCTTCGAGTCTGAAGAGCAGGCCGCCAGGACTTACGACTACGTTATTCAAGCTCTCGTGGCGGACGGCGCGTACCCGAGGCCGCTCAACTTTCCCGACGGAGCTGGTGTGGATGCAGCGGAGCGTGCTTATGCTGATGAATGCTTGATGCTGCTCAGAGGTAAGCTCAATCAACGCAGTAGTGCTCCCAGAGAAGAGTCTGCGACTCAGGCGTCTGCGGCTCCAAATGAATCTTCTCACCCGCAATTCTTCGGCGTTTATGAAACACGGTATCACGATCGAATACGGTTCCGAGCTCGAATTAATGTACTATGTAAAAGCTACGACCTCGGCTATTACGACACTGCTACGGAAGCCGCTCGAGCATATGATTACGTGGCTCGTCGAGTTTCTCGAAGACATGCTCTTAATCTGCCCGTCTCTGATTCTCTACAATTGTCTCTGGCTGTTAAAATGGAGCTCGACAGAAGCATATCAGCTATGACGTCGGAGAATGTGTCCCCGACGAATGATGCTGATACCGACGATCTTGACGAGATCGTCCGCGAATTTCGCGCGGCAAGTAATGAGGGTCCGCTCTTCGTCTGCACTTCTTGTCGACGTTCTTGGTTCTCGCACTCTGTGCGGGAGGTTAACGATAAGCTAAGGAGTCGGTTAACTGATGCTGAAGCGCTTGCTTGGTTGTCTGGGCGATGTTCTGTAGATAACAAAGAATGGATCTGCTCTACGTGCGCTGGATACGTAAAGAAACGTCGTTGCCCACCAGGCGCGCCAACTCGTCAACCGGATTTTCCGGCTCTGACTCCGGCGCTGCAAGGGCTCACCAGTATGGAAAATGATCTACTTGCTTTACGTTTGCCGTTTATGAAAATGCGTGGATTGCCTCCTTCTGCTGCTGGTGGGCCGAGAAGGTTAGGACAGTTGGCTTTAAAAGGCATGGTTGTCAACGTGCCCGCCGATCTCAGCAAGATACAACTTGCATTGCCGAGGTTTGTAGACTCGGAGGGAACAATTGCAGTCGCCATCAAATATAAACTTCGCAATAAAGCATGTTATAGGGCGGCAGAAAACGTGCGCCCAGCAAAATTACGAGACGCCGTAGTTGATTTGACGTCGCGCCCAACGTTGTGGCGAGAAGCAGGTGTATCTGTACGTTCAGACTGGCTAGCTGATGCGGATCTGCGTACTGATGCGCATCACGTAGAGTCTTTCTTGTTTCGTGATCAGCTAGGCATTGAGGGTGGAGTAATAACACTGGATGACGTGTCGTCATCGTCATCTTCGGAGTCGGATTCCGGAGATGAGGACACCGGTCGATTACCGCCAGAAGAGACTATGCTTCAAGATGTTCCGTCGTTTGTTTCGTTCCACAATTTCGGTGTCAACGTTGCTCCAAGCGAAGGACAAACACCGTTGGGTATGTTACAAGATCCATATGCAGAGGAGAAGGCTTTCCCTTCCTTGTTCAACGGTTGTGCTAGACCTACTAGTCAACTGAGTTACAGCAAAATATGCAAGTTTGAACTAACTAATGTAGATCGTCGTTTTGCGTATCATACTAGTAATATCTTCTTCAAATTACGGAAACTGCAGGCTGCTATGGTTGCCAGTCAATCGTGGGTTCATCTACGTAAGAAAAAGTTACCCAGCCTTGCTTTTCCGACGGTCGGTGAGCTACGTAATTCTGAAATCAAGTCCTCGCTTATGGCTCAAAACGTAGGATATCGCGATTTCAAAACGCTACGTGGCAGTCCTGAATACAACCGTCAGGGCAAACAAGAAGCCTTCGCAACAATAAGGCAGCTCGGTCCCTTTCAATTTTTTGGTACTTTCACGATGGCTGAAACTCACTGGGGAGCTTTAATACGGAATCTGCATTATTTGGCAACGGGAATTATGGTATCAGAAGCGGCTGCGCTTGAATTCCCGTGGATCGATAAAGTTCGTTTGATTAGAAATGATCCCGTTACAGTTTCTCGATGCTATGATAATCGAAGGTCCCGTTTGGTGCATGCAATCTGTAAATACTCGTCGTTGATCGGACACGTCACAGATTTCTTTTGGAGGGATGAATTCCAGCAGCGGGGTACGCCGCATACGCACTGCGCCTTTTACGTAGCAGATGCGCCAAAATTTGGCATTGACGACGACTCTACAGTCGTCGCGTTTATAGATGCGCACGTTACGTGTTCGTCGACCGCGGCTGCGCCTGCTAATTTAGCGGGCCAATTCCATCACCACAGTCGTGGTTACTGTTTAAAACGTCGCAGTCCTAGCAATAAGAGGGTCTGCCGTTTCAGCTTTCCGCGGCCCCCTTTGCACGAAACTATGATTCTTCATCCTCTGCCGGAAGGTCTTTCAGAATCTAAAAAATTGGAATGCGCCGAATATCATCGGCGGATTGCTGCAGGTCTGAAAGATCTGGAAGATAAAGATCCAGGTGTACGTGAACTGGATACTCTTGAATTTTATAGTCGCCTTTCTTTGACGCCTTCGGAATATGTGCTCGGATTACGCTCAAAGCTAGTCAAACCAGTCGTTTTCTTGAAACGACGTCCTTGCGAAGTTTACATCAACAACTATAATCCAAAACTCCTCAAACTTTTAGATGGAACTAACATGGACTTTCAGTTCGTACTGGAGGCATACGCAGCAGCCAACTATATCAGTTCGTATATGATGAAGACCGACTACAAAATGAGCAAACTATTAGATCAAGCATACGCCGATGCACGGCGAGGAAATATGGAACTTCGAAGGGCCATAAGACACGTGGGAATGACGCTGTTAAAAGGGCAAGAAGTTTCCGCGCAAGAAGCTGTGTACGGTTGCATCGGTATACCGTACAGACGTAGCTCCCGTGATCACATATTCATTCCAACTGGACCCGTCGAGGATCGCACTTTTCTAGTCAAAAATGACCATGCTTTACGTCTGCTCCCGGAGGATTCAACTGAGTGCGTGTATACCAATATTGTCGACAAATACGCCATGCGCTTACGGAATCCGATTTTACAGGGTACGGAAACTTTGACACTAGCCGACTTCGCTGCTTGGTATGAGCCTGCGTCAACAGCTCCAGTTGCCGACGAAGAAATAAATGACGATACTGTTCCGAGTGCAGAAACTGCTGATCTTACAGTAGCCGATGAGCTTGATTCTACACAAAATTCTACGGGTATGCGCAGATATCGAAAGCGCAGTAAAGCCAAGATTATCCGATATGTTGGATACAGAAAAAATTCAGATCCCGAGTTGTTCTTCCGAGAACAACTTCTCCTGTTTCTGCCTTGGCAGTTCGATGGCGAGGATCTGGCGACCTTGAACGCGCAAATCGACCGAATTTTGCTTGCATCGTACACGGATTTTGAAACCAGGTACGATGCCAATAAAGACTCGATTGAAGCTGTAGTCGCATCATACAATTACAACTCATGTATTGCCTGGGAGGATGTTGAGCAATACGCAGAAGCTATGGCTGCTATGGATGTCGAATTATTCGACGAATTAGACGACACTGCTGCAGTGCATATTTCAGACAGCGCTTCAGCAGATTGCGCTGTGCCGTCAGAATTTACAGTTCCCCCAGAACTTCACCCGTCGGCGGATGCATCAGCTGAGGAGAAACTGCCGCATTCGCAGGTTCTGTTGGATGACCAAGATTTCCGCAGTCAGATGCGAATATTGACATTACCACAACGAGCATACATCAATCACGTTATTCACCGCTTAAAATTTCAAGGTGATTGGCAACTCGTGGAATTCTTAACCGGAGGTGCAGGGACTGGAAAAAGTTTGGTGATTCGATGCCTTACCCAGCTTGTAATTCGTACGTTCAGCGGAACTCTGGGATTGCAACCAACGTCTTTAAAACTTCTACTGACCGCATTTACGGGGAGCGCTGGCTTCAACATTGATGGAGTTACTATTCATTCCGCCTTCAAAATACCCCTTTATGCGAAAGTAGAAACGTATATTCAGATAAGTGGCGAAAAAAAAGCTGCTTTAAGAGACAACTACGCAGACTTACGGGGCATTGTGATCGACGAAATTTCAATGACTGGGGCTAAACTCCTTCAAATAATAAACTATAGATTGCAGGAGATCTTCGAGTCTGCTGAGCCTTTTGGCGGCTTGCCGGTTATTTTCGGAGGTGACCTTTTTCAACTGAAACCGTTGTGGGACGGATATGTTTTCGAGGGTGTTCGTAAGCAAGGTGTGATTGTCAGCAATTTGTGGGAAGAAAACGTACGTATGTACGAACTCGTGGATATCATGCGTCAGAAAGAATGTCTTAACTTCGCGGAAGCGCTCAATCGTTTGCGTGTTGGCGCTCACACCGCTGACGATTTAGCCCTATTTCAAACAAGGGTAGTTGATACGCTGCACCTGCCGGCGGATTATTCCGCATTCGACAAACACATTTTTGCAACGCACAAAAAAAGGGACATGCACAATTCACTTGTATTACGCCTTACAGGAGGGCCCGAATTTTCTCTTAGAGCAAGAGATGAAGTGTTGTCTTGCAGCATTTCTTCTCGAGACCGTCAATACTTTCTGACGAAAGCGATCACAATGCAAGATTCTGAAACGGCGACTTTATATGCAACTCTACTTCTCAAAGTCGGACTTCTCGTTGAAGTCACTTGTAACATTGACATCCCAGACGGCTTATACAATGGAGCGACCGGCTATATCAGACGTTTTCATGATGTCGGGGGCGCCGATCCCCATGCGGTCTGGATAGAATTCGTTGACGAACGAGTCGGACGGCATACTCGCAAACAACACGTAAATCTATATCGTCTGTGTCCTTCTGTTAATCCAACATGGACGCCAGTGTTCCGCATATCGCGTAAGTTTCAGGCGAGCCGGCGAATTGACAGTACCATATTGCGGATGCAGTTTCCGCTACGACCGGCAACTGCCGGAACTTTCTATCACACACAAGGCATGACAGTACGAAAAGGCGCAGTCGATTTTCGCGGTGCCTCGAAGCGGCATATTGACGCCGGTCGTCATTATGTCGGCCTTAGTCGATTTCCCAGCTTGAAAGATGTCTTCATTCTAGATGCTGCTTTCGATGAGATTACGGTGAGCCATAAGGTGATAATGGAAATGGCTCGTCTTCGCCAAAAAGCGTGCGTTGTACCCTGTATTCCGCAGGTACCTTTCAGTCCTGGATGTGATCGAGAACTCCACCTAATTTTACATAACGTGCGTTCTTTCCGCTTACATGAATCCGACCTCTTTGCAGATCCTAATTTCAATCGCAGTCACATCATCGTGTGCACAGAAACAAGAACTTCACCGTCATGGTCTTTATCAACGTTGTCCCGCTCAAATTTCGAAGTCTATCGGGCTGAAGCAAACGCCAGCGAAAGAAGCGGATTTGATAACGTTCTGATCTACTTATCGAAGCAGGACAAAGCATTAACGGCTACGTTTCACTCCGCGCTATCTGATTGTCACTCGCAGGTACTTTGCATTCACATCCGGGGCCGGCCGTGTCCTGACTTTTACCTCATTGCAGTCTACAGATCACCGTCTGACTTTCTTGTCGACAACTTCTTAGAAACATTAAGACGTTTCCTCGACGATATATTCCGACGAGCACCGGGAGCAACGCCATCTTTCATTTGCGCTGGTGACTTTAATATCGACCTGTTGCAGAAATCTAATACTGCTCAAAAACTCATTAGCATAATGCATTCATTCGGAGCCAGCCTACTGAATTCGCTGCCGACCACTAATCAGGGGAGCATGCTTGACGCTGTCTGGGTGTCATCTTCCTTAGCAAGTACAGCTGCAGTCCGGAATCTAGAGGCGTATTGGAGCGACCACAGTCCGCTCCATATAGCGCTTCATTCAGTCAGCTGTCGATAAGTAGCATATTGTTTCGTTCGTCTTCGCTAATGTTTGCTTCAAAGTCTGCGGTAGGATTTTCTTCCTTTGTTTGAAAACTCAAGAATCTCTTCTTTGCTTTCCGCTGCCTGCCATCTTTCTCTGACCACTACAAGTCGATCCACGAAAACGAAAACCGTTCAAGCCATTACGCATGCCCTTAAACCCACCTAAGTTTTAAAACTAATCCTTATCCTAACCCAATTTCTGCTACTCTGCCGCTCGTAAGTTTTTGAGGTCTCTACGTTATCCGCTAAGTCTGCAGCATGCTCGTCGATTTCGCTTACTTTTCCGTTGAGCTGGATAACTACGGTCCAATCAGCAAGCGCCACGTGGCGCCGTAGCATGTCGGGGATGGCAGGTGGCGCAATGGAGGTCTGCTTCAGGGTGATGTCCCAGCCGGACTCGTCGGCGGACTTCTTGGACGAGCTGCACTTGGTGATGGAGAAGGAGCGATTCATATTGCCGATTAAAACAGCCGACGCGTGCGGTGAGGGATTCCCTTATTGTTTGTTGTCTTTCCTTCCTACTTTGATCAACGTCTACGTGCACAGTGAAGGATTTCTTCAGGGTTTTTCTCCCTACCTCTTCTAATCTGACCAGTTTTTGCACGCGTAGTAAAGAACCTCTTCAGTTTTATCTCCTATCCATCTTTTTATTGCACGCGCTGTGAAGAATTCTGTCGGATTCTTATCTGTCTTCTCCAGGTGTAAAATGACTTTGCTCTAGGCAAGCGGAGCTACGTTCCGTTCTCTGCAAGGTCATTCACGCTTATTTGATTTCCTTCTCTGTGCGTCGCAAGTTTTACACAAGCATTAAACTTTAGCTACGTACCCAGAATTTGATGACACTGGAAAATGTTTCAGCAGGGATCGAACTGTTTTCCTGATTCTTATGGCTTGCTGTTTTCTCGGTATCGTGCAATTGCTGACGATTTGTCCCGCCTACAGGTTTAAAAAGCTGCGAAGAAAGCTGCATTCGGCGAACGTGGACAACGAGGGATCAAGAAGCCAACGGTTGCATCAGATCCAGCTGAGAAGGTGAATACAGCGAAGTAAGTACCGGTAGGTGGAATTTTCTTCTGCACAGTCTGTCTCTCACTCGTACGCGCGCGAAGCCGTACAACTTTACTGCCGTACGCACGTGTCACGTATGACGACATCGAAACCCTTCGTCTGTTTCTGGTAACCAGCGATTTCGTCTTTCTAGTGCTTACGGTTGTTGAAGTCGTCGTCGTGTGCATGCTCACGAGCATGCATGTCGCATGGCTTATGACTCTGTCACTACAGCGTTTTGATTCACACGCTGAGGAGGCGCATTTGCTGCTGACGGTGTGAGTACGTGGATTTCTTCGACGTCAGCTGCTTCCATTTTCGTCGTCAGACTTAACCAGAACTATTCTCTTGACGCTCGAGCTTCGACTATTGCCCTTCCGGTCTCGAATTCTACGACACGTGCGCATGACATCGGCTTCTTCTACCGTTCGTTCGAAGTTCGCTGTCTTACACGACGAGTTTTACTACTGCTGACTCTTCTGCAATCTATAACTCTGCCTATTCTGAACGCTTTCGTTGACTGAATTTTTTCTGTCTACTATTTCCAAGCTGTCATCCGTTCGCCCACGTTCTTCAAGTCCACTCTCGAACTCTTCTAATTCTGATCATTTCGCGAGACGGCTCAATTCAATTCCTTTCCCCAGCAGAAGCGTCCTTCTGTTGCGCACGCGTAGCTCGTCTCCACAGAAGCAAGCTCCCATCTTTAAGCATGTGCGCACAAGCGGCTGCAGCAATGGAGGTGCCCACAGTCACCGTGAGTCAGATCGCAAACTTCCCAGTCGACTCCGATTTCTTCCAAGTGCATGGGAAAATAGTTGACCTAGATAGTCCCACGCAAAACAACAAGCCCAAAGTGCGCGAGCTGCCATTTGGACACCTGTTCACTACAGCTGCAGTCTTCCAAGACAAAGAAGGGAATAGAATCACGGTGGAAGCCACAAGCAGGGACAAGCATTCTGTGGAGTATGTGAGCGACAAATGCGCAAAAGAAAGCACCATACTCCTGTACCGTCCGACGGTCGCTTCATGCAGGTAAGCGTCTTGTTCTCTGCTTCTGACGTGTGCTGAATCTTCTGTCTGGCTATGTTTGATTGCTTGGTATGCAACTCAGACTGGGCTTTTGACAATGCTGTCTGAGTCACAAACGAAGCGTTTCTTGCGTTTAAGCGATAAATTAGAACGCCGGCTTCATTTGGAAGTCATGGCATTGTCAGGTCAGTAACGTCCAACCACCTCTGAGTTAGCACAATCTCCCGTCTTATTCAACGTCATAATCTTCTGTAGTGTCGCGCATCTTTCACCAGCCGTCGTAGTCAGTAACTTTCTATATGCGAATTTGACGAATTTCAACATCGTGGCGGCTGCTTAGCGTCGAATCCCTCGAATCTGCAAGTCAGCAAACCAAGCTGGCTCGTGCATGCACGACTACAAGCCTGCGCTTATGTTCGACTATGACAAATGTTCTATGTTCTCTCCCTTACAGGTATTCCCTGACGGATCATCCAACTTCCCTGAAGGTGACGGAAGGACGCACCATGATCATGAAGTCTGAAGAGGAGATCGTATCGATCGTGGAAACTCCAGTCAGCTTCGACGCTCTCCAACCTGGCGGCGTAAGTCAAATCCGACGCAAATTCATTCGTAGGATGTGCTTGCATGTCATCTCGTACTTTGATAATAATGACCACCAGCCAGAAGTTTGCAAAATAAACATAACTTTGCAATCCAGGTTAACAAAGTTTTTGAAACAGGACGCTCACTCATGTGCCAGGCTTGAAGGCTTGTATTCAGATCGATCCGTAGGAATCAAAGATTCTCTGTCACAATCTTCGAAGTCCTCCGCGCCATAGTACATGCAGGAAATCGTTGCAGTCGATCAGGTCTGATTGGTCTCTCCATGAATTGCGTTCTATTAAAAGATAACTGATAAAAGTTCGGTCAACCGAATATGGTTATTAACTAGAGGATTCTGTAACAGCAAGTTGCGTACGTGATCAGTCGTAAGATCCATCTGCAGAAAATACATACAGTTGGAAATCAGAGACTTCGAACGCCTGCTTACTCATCACATGAATTTACTCCAATACAGGTTCACAAAATCGAAGGTCTACTGGTCTACAAGAGCCGTGTGTGCAAACCGATGACGTCAAGAGGTGACCGCGAGGTCGTCAAAATTGTCATAAAGGACAAAAGCGGCATCATGGGTAGCATCGCAATCTGGGGCGACATGGCGCACCTACCTGAACTCAAACAGCTGAAGGTCCGTGCTGACGTCGTGGTCATCAGCGGAGTACAGTACGATGAAGACCAGGGCTGTTCGAGCACGCGAAAGTAAGATTTCTGCACGCAACTTACTGTGCGTTAACCGCAGCTACATATTCGCAGGCAGATTTCTTGAAAGATTCGTGAATTTCTTTCTTCCGTATAAGAATTCGGATCCGTAAAAGAACAGCACACTTATTTTGGTCAACCGGTAAGCCAATGATAGCACGCGAATGGGCGCCCACTGTACGGGCATCTCGGTCTTTGAATATGACAAGCCGAGACGACAGCACCATTCTGTGATGGTACTCTCCGGTTCAGCCAATCAGCACGTGCCACGTGTCAGTCTTCGTCTAATAGCATCGAGTCTTTTACATTTTTTCTGATTTTTCGTCGTTTTTTTCTTCTTTCAGACTTTTACGACTTCACCAGATGATTTACGTTTACCACATATGCAGAACTGCAAAAGCTTTCTATCCCGTAAAACTCTTATTGTGGTTATCTGATGTAGCTGAATCAGAAGTTGCTAGGAATTGCAAACTGAGATAACGCTCAACATAAGTTCTTTGAAGTCTGACTGTAACACGAACAATATCCGTTCACTATCGAAGTCGAGATCAGCTTAGATTTAAAACAGGTTTCACATTTCCGTCTGGCGGACATTGATTGACGAACTTTGAGATGTCTGCGTTTTAAGCTTCCGAGCAACCGTGATGTAAAACAGCAGATAACTGTTATGATGTCTCTTCTCGCAGCACTGTCATCTGCAAGAGTGACGCGTCAGCAGCTGCTGTGGCTGCTATCGGTCTGACCTACCGAATCGTCAACGAAGACAGAATCATGCCGTGGTCTCGAGTCGTCCAATCTCTGGCCGGCAACAAGTGGACTGCAGCGACGGTGCTTGCGACGTTCATCAACTTCACGAAAGTCGACTCCATCGCGTACGGCTGCTACGAGTGCAGCGGTGCTGCAAGCAGAAACCCGGTCACGCGCCAGCTCTTCTGCGAGCAGGGATGTCAGCCGGGACCGCTGACGGACGCGTGCGTAGAAGTCACCGTGTCAGTGGACATCCGGGTGGATGCAGGACGTGAGTAGTCGAATTTCTTTTTGTTTACTTGACTTCAAACTTTTTTAGAACGAGCATATGCGCGCGCGGCTACGTCACCTACACGTGTGCGCGCGCACAGTTCCGTGCAAGACAGCAGCCCCTGCAGGTAGGCCGATTCAACCTACCTGGATCGATAGAATCATCATGCAATCGCAGGATTCTGAATACACGATCAACAGTCCAAATTTTCTCAGAATTGAAAATTACGGTCGAAGTTGACTGAGCTTGAAGATAAAAGTAGAATTGTCTTACGCGCAGCATGACAGATTAGACACCACTTACAACAGTAGTATCGACATTAGCAACCGATTCATCGAAGTCATTGAATTCAGCTAAGACTGTAGTCGATACTGCTTCGCCGGAGGTAACCGACTTCAGCGGCAACTTATACTTCTACCGTCTCCTTGTACAGCGGACGTCCTGGCCGTCAAAATCTGGTCAAACGACTTCGTCGTCGTCACCGGCACGCACCTGACGAGCTTCAGCATCAAACCTCCAAACGAACAGCTGGACAACCTTAACACCCGTCTGAAGAACAAGCGCTTCGCGATGCACCTGCGCATCCGTGAGAATCCGAACACGCAATTCAGCCAATACCAAGCCAATATTGTGGGCATCGAGCTGCCGCCAGAGAAAGGATTCTTTTCGAAGAAGTACAAGGCAGAGTAAACTTCATCAAGTCGAGTAACTGCAAGCTGATATAAGCGGACCAGAAAATCTGTGTACATAGGCAGGCGAGAAAAATCTAATTGCAAGTCGAAGTCGTAGGACGAAAACGGCATGGAGCAACAATCCCGTGAAAAATGCGTCGTTCCTGAGTCATATAACTGTCAAATTTGTGGTGCTCGGTCTGAACTTCGCTGCGGCAGCTGTAAATTGGTCTACTACTGTGGTCAAGAACATCAAAAAAAGCACTGGCGTCAGCACAAGTCTGATTGTAACGTCGTGGCGGCGACAACGCATTCGCCGTCTCCTGGTAGTGCAGACAGATATAGACAGGTACGTTTCCTGGTATCCATAGGTGCAGAGAAACTAGTAAAAGCAGCGAAAGACGACGTCTTACCCAGTCAGGAGGTGTGCCGAGTCTTTGGGATTCCTTTTCGACAAGTGACCTTAGAACAAGCTGTCTTTTCATGCTACCAGTCAGCAATATGTACGTTCAGCGTAACCAAAGAACAACTTGTAGAGGCGCACATGAGCGACAAAATGAACGAACTGATTTTCGGGATCTCTGAAATACGTGATAGTAAATATGGAACAATAGTTCGAGGGAACAATGGAATCAAGATAGAAAGGTTTCAAACATAATTACAATCAACATACTGTTCAGAATCCCTTCAAATCATTGCGAACAGCACGAGTATGAAGCAGTCAGACATGTAAATTGAAACTGTACTTCTATGCACATTCACACTATGCTCTAACGTATCATGTTGGATTCCAAGTATGGATACACATGAAATCTTCGATGTCACTGTCTATTTTATCAAAGAAGAGGCAAGCCATTACCGTCGTCACGACGGTCAGTATATTGTCAATTGTCTCCGTTTACGCAACCGCTTCCTCAAGTTCTTAGTCACAACCTTCATGCCGGGTTCGCAAATTCACTTCGGCAAGGACCAAGAATGCACTTACTGTTCGTAGGCTTCAAACTGCCTATGTGCCTAGTGCGTCCGACTGGCCGGCCTTCCATTGTCGGCACTGGGCACGCCTGTCGCGGCCGCCATTGTTCTGGGTTAGAGCGGCCGCCGCAGCTGTGCGCTGGGTCGATTGACTGCCGTCGATTGAAAATAATCTGACGGTGTGCGATCCGGCATAAAGGTTTGAGAAGCAGCATATGTATCTTGCTGAACACTTGGCAAAATGTAGGGCGCCCAGCGCCAAGTGGCAGCAGCACCGAATGGAACTGGAGATTCTCCCTCCTCATTTTCCAGGCCATGTGCTTTCCTACAGAAAATTCAAGCCAGCTCCCTGACTCCTCCGTGAAGCGGCGAAGGGAGCGCCCCTACACGTAATGCATGATGAGTGCCCCCATCCACATTCGCATCCTGTATCCTCTTGATGCAAACAGTAACCTTACTGGATCCGCCTTTCTTTCTGAAATGATCATCAAACACCTCCCTTGAAACATCTTAGCTGATTCTTCGCCTGCAAAGCACTTTTCTGGAGGGTTGTGGGTCGCTGCGATCGCGCGCGTTTGCTGTGTTTGCCGTTGAATGCTGCCACAATGGCCGCTTGCACTGATGCTGCCGACAAGTTTGATGGGCGCCGCCTCAAGGCTCTCACCGGGGATCCCTCCAAATTCAGTCAGTACATAGACTCCAAGTTCAAGAAACTCAACGGATCTGGGACAGGCAGCCTCACCGCTGAGGAATTGCAGCCGGCGATTGCAGAGTGGGGGTCATTGCTGGGTCTGCCGCCGATGGGCTCTTCTGCAGACACGGATCAGGTGGGTTTTTACTATTTGAATCATATTGCACATAAGGTCAAGCGGGGAACAACAGCCATCGCACATTGCTGACTGTCTCCTTCGCGCGGATTGACGCTACCACATTGCAATGGCAAAAATGATCTGCGTTGTCCTCCCTGAGAATCTGCCCCTCAAAGTCTGCTGTTCTTCTACTATCCGACCATCTTTTTCACATTAAGGATGTTGCGCATCTGCAATAGACCAATGTATCAGAGCTTTTGCTTTTGTTCAGCATGTGAAAAGGATGCCCGCATTGCAGCCAGGATTCTTGTCCCTAGCTGAAAATGAATTTGAAACATTACAACAGTGCAAATGGCGTGCATGCAAAGGCTGGCTGAAAGGATGGTGTGGGCAATGCTGCCCTAACTTACTTTTGTGATTTTCATACCAGAACACGGACAGTATTAGAATCATGTCGCGGCAAGATTTCGGTTTTGGAAGAAGGATTCGGAGTGATCCACCTGTGCCCAGATCAATCATATACTAAACTTCTCGTGCCTTGAAGTTTTTATATACTCTTCTCCCAAATCTTTTTCAGTCTCCTTGACCCTGTTCAGAAAATGATGGGGAATCAGCAGGGTAGAATGAGTCACACACGCACGAGACACTTTGGTCGGGACACTGAATATTCTTCGCAGAGCCTGTTCGATGCAAGATTGGCTTTTGCAGGACATACGGGCTTAGTGGAAATTTGACAGGCTTGAGAATGGTCACATCATTGGGGAATGGATACTCGTGCCGTATGCAATGTGCTCCTCTTTGTTATCCTGAGTTGCAGAGTAGCTTGCACCACTGCTGAAGGGCTAACTTCGGCTTACGAGTGTTTGTGCCCCGCATTTTTCTGTAGATTGGTTGTAGATTGGTTGCAGGCAGTTGGAAAAAGGCATTCAGTGGTGTGACGACCTGTCAAATCAGTACTACGAGTTGGCGATCACGATTTGGCGCCTGAACAAAACCATACTTAATCAAGCTTCACCATGCTTGACCATGCTAAACCATGCTTTTCAAATTAGGCCCATGCGATAGTCGCCGTCAGAACAGCACCATTGACTCATGCACAAGGGGAAGGTCCCAAGGGCACGGCTGACCGTAACTCAACTCAACAACCTTTTTCTCTTTAAAGGAGTAGATTTGCAGTTGAGCAGTCTCCAGCAGCACAGCGCTTTCTCCAGCGCTCTTCACAAGTCCTCCGGCTCAATCTGAACTGTCGAACTCCTGAACAAAGCGAAAAAAATGTAGAAAAGCTCGTTGTTCCCTGCCACAGATTTACAAGGAAATCACTGGTCAGTACCTGGATGCGAGCAAGCGGTCTGGCCAGGTAGACAGAGATACTTTTGGGGTGGTCACTCGGGACATCCTTTTGGTAAGTGACAAGATCATGTTATTGCAGCTTCTCTCAAACTGAAGGGCTTGATAACAATTTTATTCTAGGTCTGCTGATGTGGGTCCTTCGAATTTTTGCCGTGATGGAGCAAAATACGGTTGGAAAATTGTTGGTTGCGTCAGCTTAGCACTCTGCTTCGTACAGAGCGATTGTGAGTACCCGACGCAAGCATGTACTTGTCCCGTCTGGTCATAGAGCGAAACTAAAGACAACCCCAGACATAACATAAATAAGCACTAAGAGGCTCGGCTCTCCTTCGGAAGAGAATCTTATGTTTGGAAACCTCTACCTCTGCCTGCCTTTCATTGTGGCACTTGGCTCTTTCAAATGCACATCCCTTTGCATTCAGGCCTTCAAAAGGCTACCAGGATAGAAGGTTGGAACCCAAAATCTTGTGTGTTCCGCTGGGCATGCGTCAAACTGAGAGTCCAATGGTTCCAGCATTGCAGAATGAGGCAACCGAGAGTTTGAAGGAGTCAAAAAGTTTTGAAACAGTTCTGTTGATTTCCAGTTTCAGCATTGGAACGGCCGAGCTTCAGGGACTTCTTCAACATCCTTTTCAGGCCTAGTTGATCCCTGCGATTTCCTCGCTTTGTTGGATTTGCATCTGCACGTATCTTTCTTAACTTAAGAGTCCCCAATTTCCAGGGCATCTCCGACTCGCTCGAGGCCAACCCGATCTCCATCGACACGATCGACGGCTCGCAGCTGCGCTATATCCTCGCCCCGGAACAGAAAGCCGAGTTCCAACTCATGGCCGACCGCGCTTACGAGGCCATCAACACCCAGGTCATCGACCAGCAATCGGTAACGGATACCGCCGAAGTGTCGGAGCAAGCCCCCGCCGCGAGCCAAAACGCGATGGGGGGCAATTTGGAGATTGGGGGCGCAAAGGCGCTTGCGCTCGCACTGAAGCAGCACCTGACGATCGAGGAGGGGGTGCCGCCCGCTAGCTCGCAGAAGGTAAGTTTGATTGTCAACATGAGCAACATCACCTGGGAAACTCTGTGGGGTTATTCTGATAGTAGGGGTAGAGGATCAGCGTCAAGGATTGGGGCTGCCAGTTGCAAACGTCCAATAATGAGGGCTCTTCGGAGTTCTGCAATTCTGGACCTGTGGCTCAGGTTATCAAGCACTGTTGTTTCAGTTCACTCCATTCACTCCCGCCCTGTCCAGTGGCTCCGCTCCGCTCCGTTCCGGTATCACGCTCGAAGCTCTTCTTGATCGATCAAGCAATCCAGAGCATGGCCGTTCATCCTTCCAGTCAGGTCAAATTCCTGTCCCTGTCCCGCTACGTTCCGCGTTCTTTGTCACTCTCCTGTACCGCTCTCGCAATCCAGGTTAAAGCGCTGACCGACCTGGCCGATCCAGAACGTGGCAGCGCCTGTTCCGCCCGGCTCTGATCCCGTTCCGTTCAGTCCCGATTGTCATGCTCGCGTTCCGGTCTCGTACTGCAGGTCGAAAGGGCAGCGCCTATTCCTGCTCCGTTCCGCTCCCATTTGTTCCATTGAAACGTTCATATTTCGGTCTCGCAACACAGGTCGAAGCGCTGGTCGACCGGGCGATCCAGAGCGTGGCCAGGGAGCAGCAGAAGGGGCAGCTCCCGTTTCACCTTTCCCTTCCGTTCCGCTACATTCCGTTCTATTCCGCTACATTCCGTTGACACGCTCTGATTCCGGTCTTGCCACTATAGGTCGAGGCGCTGATCGGACGGGCGATTCACAGCGTGGCAGGGGAGCAGCAGAATGGGCAGTGCCTGTTCCACCTTTTCCTTCTGTTCTGGTCCATTCGTTCCGTTTGACACGCTCTCATTCCGGTCTCGCAACGCAGGTCGAAGCGCTGATCGACCGAGCGATCCAGAGCGTGGCCGGGGAGCAGCAGAATGGGCAGCGCCTGTCCAAGGACGAATTTACCGACCACTTGCGGGCGGCGCTCGAGCGGCTCGCCGAGGGGCTGCAAACGGCCCCCGTGACCGTCGCGCACACCGAGAAGGTACGGTTTGCCAATTTGGTTAAGCCTGGGCTAATCACGGGCGCAGATTCAGGTTAAGGTGGGTTTACGCTGCTGACGAGGGCGTCGGAGATTGGTAACCGTTGCGCACATCGAGAAGGTTTTGCAAGTCGGGTCAAGCTCGGGCAAGATTCATGCGCTGTGCAGAATTCTCGTCAAGGTTGGGTTACGCCGTTAACGAGGGCGTCGGAGGATGAACCTCCTTCTTGGCGACTAGAAAACTGCCGATGAAGCTTCTTCGGTCGCTCGAGGCAGAGAAGAGAAGGGGTTGTGTTTTCGGAATCAATCGTCTTCCCTAGTTGCCCGTGACTGACGCCCGCACCGAGAAATTGGGGCTTACATATTTCGGTTGTCAAAGCGTGCCGTAAAGTTCGGACCATATCCTGATACATTCTCCTCAGAGTCTGCTCAATGGCTTCTCCTCTTCAGAGCTTGGACCTAAAGTCCCTGAGTGAACAGACGAAGGATCATTTGTATAAAGCCTCTATTCTGCCCAAACGTCCAACGGCTTCTTCTCCTTTGCACAAAGCTACAAAAGTGCACGTCAGTGCTCAGTTTACATCCCCTGTCCTTTTTCCCGCAGGACGTAAAGGGCGAGAAGATAAAGCCGCTCATGGGCGACAAGGAAGGCTTCTCTCGAGCCGTCCACCAGATCTTTGAGGAGCACTCTCAGAACGGCAAGGTGCCGCACTCTGACTTTTGGACCGCCTTCGACCGCATCGCGGGGTTGGCCGGGCTGCCGCCGCTAGGCGCAAACGAAAAGGTAAGAGGTGGAAGATTAGCGTGGACCTTTGCATTGTTCCGTTTTTGTCGAAACGAAGCAGATAGATTCCAATGCTGGCCCTGAAGGCAACCCCTTTGATCGCGTTGCGGGATTGGCCGGGCTGCCGCCGCTTGGCGCAAACGAAAAGGTGAGGGATGGCAAATCACCCTGAAACTTTGAGTCGTTCAATCCTGGTCGAAGGACGCAGATGAGCTGCGACAGTTGCCCTGAACACAACCCCTTGGATCGCGTCGCGAGGATGGCAGGGCTGCCGCCGCTTGGCGCAAGCAAAAAGGTAAGGGGTAAAAAGTTTAACTATGCATCGTTCAATTCTGGTCGAACGAAGCAGATAAGCTGCAAAAATTGCTTTGAAGGTGACCCCTTTGATAGCGTCGTGGAATGGCCGGGCTTCCTCCGCTGGGCGCAAACGAAAAGGTAAGGTGTGGAAAGTTACCGTGTAAGTATGCATTGTTCTATCCTTGTCGAAACGAAGCTGCGAAAGTTGCCCTACAGGGAACCCCTTGGATAGCGCGCGGGATGGCTTCCGCCGCTTGGCGTGAATGATTGAGCAAAGGGTCTCTAGTACCGGGTACTACCCACTACTTGCTACCCTTGTGAAGTAAGGAAGCAGAAAAGCTGTGAAAGAAGCCTTCAGGGTCTGACTTTGGAGGCTCCAGGCCCCCGGTGTGCCGTTGGTATTCATTTGTGGACGGTCATATTGCCTGAAAGCGCTGAAGCGGAAGCATCACCAGTCTAATAAGTGGCTTTTCTTACTTATCAGACGGGTTTTTAAACCAAATAATTGGCCATCTTCGTAAGGGCTTTAGCACTACCACCCTTCCATAGTTGAAATTTGGAAAATGGTCTATGTGGTAGGACGTAACCGTTTGTAATACCTTCACTCTTCTACTTTACACATTAGCCTTAATATTTGCGACGACAAGATCCGCCCCGCAGTCGATTTCTCTTTTCTTGCGCATCGAAAGAGCGCACGAAGCGCTGATTGAGAATTTCTTTCGCCTGCCCAGATGGACAAGGTGTACGACACCATCAGTAATTCACCGCCCTCTTCATCTACAAACCGCTCTTGCATAAGACCGAGAGGACAACCTTTTCACCGCAGTCATCCCTCCTTATCTTGCGTAAAACAGTCAAAACAAACAAGGCGCCGATGATCTTTCTTCCATCTCCAGATGGACAAGGTTTACGACACTATCATCGGTGACCGGGAGGCTTCCCCGGGCGCTTATGCCACCGAGGAGGAGCTCGCGACGCACCTGGAGGAGGCCCTGTTTCTGGTCGGGGCGCGGCTCACGGCCGAACCGATCTCCGTCAAGGTGGCGCAAGTCGTCGGCGACCCGAATGACGTCAGCAGCCAGAGCGCCCAGCGGGAGCAGCAGGTCGGGGGAGGGGTTACCGGGGGCCAAATGGCGGGAAGAGAGCGCCCGGTAGGTGACGTCCCGGGTGACGTCATCCAGTCGCAGGAGCAAGAGCTGCAGATGGCGAGGGGACCGGCGATGGTCGGGGTAAGGGGGGTGCCAGTAGCAGCCAGCTACTAAGTTGACTTATGGGCAACTCTGTACAGTATGTTCTGCTCTGCATGAAGGTCAGTAATGGCCAGAAGACCGAGACCGTGGTGCAACAAGGTATCGTAGAAAGTAAGTCCGAAGACGGATTTTGCTAGCGCCCACCTTCAAGCTTGTAAAGAAGCTTAGATGGATGTATTATAACGGCATGACCGTGACCTTTGTCACAAGTTTTTGCTCAACTAAAAAGCTCTTCAAAGCTGCGGTACTCGAATGCACTCACATACTGCGTAAGTAGATTTGAATTTTGGTCAGAAGCAATGAACCTTCTCTTGCCCTCAAAATCGCATGCGATTATTTGTACTTGTCTTTGGATTCAGTTGCATCTCATGGGTTCCCATGCTTGGCATCGCGGCACTAATGTAATGATTCAAAATGGCAGTGCCAGCTCGCATGTAGTAAGACGATTATGGAAGTATCAGTGTCTAACTGTCGACTAAGATAAGCGTAATTCCCATTGATAACCGTCGAGAATGGGTTTGTCTCACGGGCGAATGCTTGATTAGTGCGACTGCTATGTTGCATGCCCCCACCAATTTCGGCGCTGCAGTACTGCTCGACAGTAATCAAGGTTGATCTTCGTCAAGATTTACACGAGCGCTGATGTCACGCGGATGCATTTTCTCGCACTTGCCGTCAGCCTGTGCCTTTCCGTGGTTCTGCCCTTACACAACTTGGATCGGCTTCATGCACACAAAAAGAAATCCTCACGCGAGAATCAACATGTGGCGCGCGACGCGCTGAGGGATTTTGCATAATCCCGAAAGTGCATGTGCTCGTTTGTTGGGCTTGTTGATTTGAGGCGGCGAAGACTCCCGTCACCGCCTAATCTCACCCCAATTTCTCAAGCTGTGTTGAGGTACGGCTTGTGTAAAGCAAGCGTTTCATGACCAATTATAGAGCGTAACATCAGACTCAGAGGCAGGAACGGCCATCCACTCGAAAGCGCAACGTTGAAAGACCCGCCCTGCAAGCAGGCGCCGGCACAGAGGGAAAGTTTTTGTGGGAATGAGCACGCAAAGCCGTTAGCTCGACTTCTCTAGTCTAGAAAGGGACCAAGCAACGTCCGGCAGAATGGACGTGGACTTTGAGATCGAAGAATCGACGCCAGAGGATGAGCACCCGTGGGACCTTTCTTCTCCGTCCGAGGAGGAAGGACTGAATCAGCTGATGTGCCAAGAGGCGGACGCCTGCGAACTGCTCCACCGGGCAGCGGAAAGCCCAGGGAGGTGAGGGAATGCGAGTCTGCGAGTATATCTTTTTTGCATGAGGCAGAGAAAGCTCAAGGTATTGATTGGAACGAAAACAGCACTTAAAAGTTTGGGCCCAAACCATTTGACCATCATTGCAAATGTGCCCGCCGCAAACTTCCTCACTGCTCCTTCCTTTCCCATAAGGCAGGCTAACTTTAACTGACTTGGCCTATTTGCTTCATTGCTGACTTTTGGTAACTTGGCCTATTTAGCGCAATGCAGAGACTCGTCCTGCGGGTTTGCATGTTCTGCGTGACAGATGAATGGTCGAACGATGCTCCGGGTCAATCATTGGCCGGCAGCAGAGTAAGAGTTCTCGTCAGGAAAGGGCTGGGCGAGGGAGAACAAGTCTGGCGGGCTTACAGCAGTTGCTCTAAAGTCCAGCAGACGGGATAAAGTTATGGGGCTCTGTCAGGCATGTAGAAAGGAAAGACGATGTTCCAGGGCCTGTAAGTATCCACAGATTACAACCCCTCATTGGTACACACATTAGGCCCAGCGGACAGTGCTGGTTAGTCAAGGCGCCAGCAAGAAAAACTTCCATTTCGTATTCTCGACTCCCAGTTGCCAACTCAAGCTTTTAGGCGGTGAGCATGATCCAAATTCACACTCAAGGAGCAATTCCGACTATTAACTCTTGTCTTTGCCACCAGGCTTGGCACCCCGACCAGCGACCGTTTGTCCCGGGGAGGGGTACGGGGCCTATATGATCATATGGTTGAGCTAACGGAGAGAGCTGCCGCCTTGAAGGACCGGGTGGTCCTGGTCGGGAGGAGCGGCACCGGGAAGACGCGGCTGGTGGGCGATCCATTCTTTCCTCACGGGTTAATTGTAACGGTATAAGTTGTAGTGAGTAAACATCAAAGGTAGAAAAGATTTGGTTCTCTCTGTCTCGTTCTTTTTTGGCTTTTGTAGACGATTTGTGCTTCGTCGCGTCCGATCTGTGCTATTTGCAGAAACAAAGGAGAATCTTTGCGTTTGAAGGTCATCCGATTTTACAGATAGTGACAGCCGTTCCAAATCAGGGATGCCATCATCTACCTGCCTATGAGTTGAGTGCCAATTTCGGTGGCCAATTTCAGTGGCTTTCTGCGGAGTTCGAAACATACTGGACGAAATGAACCAATTGATATTAATGAAATAGACTTCCCGTTCGAAATGACTTTTCACATGATAAGATCTTCAATGTCTGCCGCACAACTGTGACCCGAGCCTTCAGAGAGGAGCCATCCTTCGTCGTCTTCTTGAATCGCAGTCCCATTTTCTTTCAAGTTAGGATTCCGCCATGTTCCCACAACATAGTCAGTTGCTCGGATACGTGAACACACCCTAACAAAACCTCCGACTCAGGGTTCTCCTCTCGACGGCCCTACTAAAACTCTCAAGAGATTCAAGAGAGTCTCCCTAGAACGTTTGCCTCAAAAGCCCAAGGATTCTTGCTTCATGGGCTAGTCGACACTGGCTTCAGCAATAAATATAAAATTGTCAGAGTATTGTCGGTGAATTCTGAGATTAAAGAATCGTTTTGGAAATAAAGGTCCCACCTCGCGCAGATCAACGACATCCTTCAAGCATCCGAGCCGGACGCACGCGCGTACCACGCGCGCGTGCGCGAGAAGGTCGCGCAGATCGGCGAGAGGGAGGAGGTCACGCTCGTCGACGCAGAGCCGCACGAGGTGCCGCGGCGCGACATTGTGGCGAGCGCGCGCGCGGGCGACCGCGTCGAGGTGTACTTTCCAGAAGCGGACACGTGGCGTGAAGGCGAAGTGGTTGGTGTCAACGAGAGCGGCACGAAGCACAAGGTGAGGAAAAGTCGTTCGAAAGAAAGTGCTGAGAAGAGACTCGGCTGAGGTTAATGAAGTTGGTCTCATCTATATGAATGAAGCCCGTATGAACGGCTGAACTGTGTGGTAGTCGAGACGAAATCTTATGTAAATGTCATAGCATGCCCCTTCTTTTTGGCCGGGCTAAGCTTCCAAAGTCAACACCGCTTCTATTGATACACGCAACATTCGTTTTCATTGACGGGTGAAAGAGCACTAAATCTGTTGAAGTGACAGGACCTTCTAATATTGATCGGGTCGCAATGCAGAGCACCCTTCCTGGTGTATGTTCGTAAAGTTATCAGACAGGTTGATCTGAAGTCTCCACATTGGTTCGCACGTGTACCCATTTTGAGAAGGGAGACCATTTGGCTGTCCAAGTCGCAACGACGGACTGCCAGCTTCGATCTTTCCTGGGTGACATTTTAAATCCTCGGTAATGGATGATTGATACGAGCTTTCCCCTTTTCAAACAGATCCTGTTCTCCAATGACGACGAACCGACCGCGAACCTGTCGCTCCGAGACTGCGAGGTTTCCGAAGACGATAACGAGACCGCGTTTTGGGCTCGACGGGTTTGGAACCTGCGCTTTGGGAACGTGAGTACAGACTGTTTCAGAGCGCATACGTTTTTGATGGATGAAGGAGATACTGGGATCTAAATCAAATCGACAAATTCTCAGAGATTATCGAAGCAGTCCCCACCAACTTGTTGATCTGTAGCAGACCGCTCACGTTTGGCAAATTGTTTTCCGTGCCCAGAAAAGACTTGCTGGGTTGTTCAGACTGGTTGGTTTCAGAATCTTCGCCTATAGCTGAATATCTACAGACCCTGTTATTACCTCAGATATCCTGTGCTCTTGAGGAAGAAAGGTTTGGTCCGGCGGGTTGCTTAGAAACTTTCAAAGATTCTCAGCTTCAGTTATTTGTGTACAGTAAGTTCTGTCGAGTTCCATGCACGATCCATCCGTGAGACCAAGTGTGCTTTCGGTCGGCGACAGCGCTCATCCACAAACTTCGCCGCCTGCCTTTGAATCTCCCACTGTGTGAAAAGCTCTAAAGACTGAAAATACCTCCGCGACTTCCAGGGGCGATCGGAACCGGAACCGGACATGCGGGACTATTACCTGCTGCCCGAAGGGGGCGTTTCGGACACCACCCAAGTGAAGTGCGCGATCACGGCGGGCTCGCTCGCGCGCGTGCGCATCTATTACAAGACTTTAGAAAATGTGGCGGAACCACTACAAAGGTTGGGATTACTCCTTGACAAGAATCTCGTATGGAAGTTGTGGGCTCTGATGAAGGACAAAAGCCTTGAAGGTTGCAATCAATCACAGATTGCTCTGACTTCCGCACTCAAACTCGATCGTTCAAAAGATTACAAAACTCAACTCAAGATTTTTATGAATCTCTACTTCTCTTCGGCAACAATTTGGGTCAACTGATGTGAGAATTGTCACTACTGACGAGGAATGCTCGGTCACGACACAGATTCGCCTTCGTCTCTCTAGAGCTGGATGAGAGCAGCAGGACTGTTCAAAAAGCTAATCAGGCGGACAGTGTTTGCAGCCAAACTTGTTACCGGTGATGAAAATACTAGAAAAAGCGAAGTTTCTCAACCCACCCACAGAATGTGGTTCGACAGGAAGCATTCCTCGAATCCCGAAGTTATTACAGCAGGGGCAAGTTTTAGACCCCCTTCTTGGTCTTTCCTCTTCTTGCAGACTCTGGCAACTGTGGAGAGAGACCAAAACTGCCCCTGGTGGAGTCACTTCCTTAGTTGGACCTCCAAAGAAGAGTGCGCTTCTCGACGGACTAGACCTGGGGGAAGGTTACGAAAGCGATGGCGGTGTGAATGCGGACGAAGACGCGGAGATTCTGCGGGAGCCGTTTATTCAGACGGCGCTGGCACTGCTCGGGAAGCCTGTTAACACCCCCATCTGCGAGCTGGTCGACGGCGACTTCAAGCTGCCGGAGCGCTGCCGCGCGCGGATGAGCTCCGCCGGAAAGGTGGGGCGTGTGAACGGAACGGAACGGAATGGACCCGTCGGATTGTGGTGAAATCCAGAGGTCGCTTGTGTCCACGAAACGCACTATTTTCTCGTGCACTCATCCTAGATCTTGCTTTGTGAAGAGTTGATGCCAGAGTGCACCAGCATCGAAGCCCACTGATTACGTCAGCGAGTAATGTTTGCCGGTCCGGTAAAATGCGATCACAAGTAAAACTAATTGAGCTTTGGGTGTTCTCACAGCTCCGTGCAGAGTTATAGAACTTCGTGCTGGGCTCTTCTCACGAACGTGCGATTGATTTGACATAAGGAATGCACAGTACTGCTTTCGGTGAATCATCAAGTTTCAGGGGTGAAATCGAATTTCGCAGGTGGAGGTGTTTGCGCCATGCCGCACCACGTCACCCGACACGACCCTGGAAGAGCACATTTGCCTGTGCCGAGACTTTTCTACTCTGCGGATAATGGGATGCTACACGCGAGACGGGCGGGCGCGGAACGAGGTGAGGTTCATCGTGCGCGGTCGAATGCCACATATCGAGGACCCCTCTAGATCTGGTAGCAATCAAGATAAAGGGAGAGCAAAGGCAGCACGTCTAGTTCGCAATTTTTGGGCGCCTCTGCTCTAACGCAGGCGCGCATGCAAGCTTCAAGGATGATCAGATCGGCCCCGTGAATGAGCCAGCGCGTAAATCTTGATCAACCGGCCCGAAGAGGTCTTTGCCAAGCCACTGCGGGAGCCTATGCGAAAGCGGCAAATCATAACCAAAGATGTTCTGTTCTTTCCTTTTCCACTGTTCACCTAAAGTAGCAGACGGGGCCCGGGGACATTTTGGTATCTACCGACCAAACTTCTGTACTTCGTCCTTTTACACTCTTACACTGCTGAAACAGTCTTTGAGCCTCCAGATCTTCCTCATGACCGTCAGCTCAAATCCACCCTGTTAGGCCCTGAAGTTCAGAATCTCAGCTCTCCTTCGTCACAGAAAGTACATCTCAGAGTCTCTCCGCAAAACCTAAATGTAGAACACCTTACCCTCCCTACATCGCAGCCTCACTGGCCTCTGGTCTACAAGGCGGTTTTCGAGATGCCCCACATAGCGGTGCAATTTCACGACTTCGTGGACCTGCCGGGCGTGTCGGACGACGCCGGGCCGTTCGGCATCGACGCACTAGCGGTGAGCAGCATGATCTGCGCCAGCTAATCGTGCCTAGGGATTTTCGAGAAAATTCAGATATTTTGCGCGCACCTTGTTGCCCTGTGGGGTTTTCACTTTTGCTTCGTTTCAGAAGAAGAAGCCGGAGGTCTGTACGGTAGATATCCCTTCGATTGTAGCTGTGTCCCATGTGTTGTAGAATGATTTTGGATTGGACTTTAAGACCAAATTTCCTTTTGTTGAAATTGAAACGCTTCTTAGAAAGCCCGTTTCAGGGGGTGGACCTCAGCATCTTCAGACCACTTCGAGGCACGTTAGCCCGTAGAATCGATGAAATATGGTGCAACTTTGCTGCAGGAGATGAAAGCCGCCCAGAAAGTTCTGGTCACAATGGACCCTCGGAAGGATCAACAGGTGAATGCCAAACGTTTGTTCCAAGCCGCCTCTTCTCTAAAGCTGTAGTTTTCTGAATCTTGCGCGTTGTCCTCTTGAATCTGCAGTTGCCTGGAATCATTTTCAACCTCTTTTGCCTCTTTTGTCCTCTTTTGCCTGTAAAATTCGCGAATTGGTTCTTTTTCCTCCAAATAACCCTTATCCGTAAATCGACACAGACGAACATCAAGTCAGTTGTTTCCATCAGGCTGCCATCCGCCGCCTCGCCGAGACGCTCCTTTTGTGCCGCCAAGGGGAGGGCGACGCGCACGGGGCTTTCCGGCAGAAGCCGGTCGCCGTCATTTGCGCGGGAGATCTTTGGTGGGGCGAAGATACGTCTGGAGTTCACAGCACGGCTCTGGTTCCAGGGTACGGATAGAATGCTTTTCTTGGATTGACCACTTTCGTTTACTTTGATAGAACAAGGCCTCCAAATCAAGGATTGATCTGCCGTCTATTACTCAAAAGAGAGCACTTCTGAGAAGACTCTGCGCTGACTTGAATACCTGTTTACATCTCCGATTCAGTCGCCTCTGCTCTTACTCATGCACGAGAAAGTGCACTTTGCAGCTGGCCCATCTCTGACTGGGTCGGCTTTCTGTCAGAACGCTCTTGGGGTTTGTTGTGCCGTATTGTGACTCAAAAAAGCGTTTTGAACATTTGGCTCCATCTACCAGGCACCATCACAATAACCCCACCGAGCGAAGGATTCTCCAGCAAGCGGAGGCCGACTGGGCCGACGCGCGGCGGGACGCGGTCGCGGCCGCGCTCGAGAACCTCACGATCGCCCGGGAGAACCTGCCCCGGCGCGCCGCGGAGCGAAGAGCCCAGGAGATTGTCGCCCCAGTCGAGTTTATGGTCATCTACCCGCGCTTGTTGTATCACCCCAGATCTGTGCCGATCGAGTATCTGGTGAGTGACCCGCTGTGAGGGAACCCTTTTTATATACTTAGAATTCATCGAAGTGCTGCTGAGTGTGCTGATTGTGGGCCAGGACCAGGGGGTCAGAAAGAGAAAGTAGAGCTCCACTTGCGGCTGGTTACCCTCGAGCTCGAAGGCCAGTGTGAAGTAAACTTTTGATTTTGATTGATGACGTTTTTTTTAGCCAGTCTATGAATCCAAGATATCTCTTGCGTACAGAAATAAGTTAAGTAGCAGACACATTCCTGCTAGTTGGCGAGGACGTCAGAGACTTGTTATATGTTGCACAATTCGACACTTTCGACGCCCTAATGCAGTCTGCAAAGTTCCTCTGTGCCTTTAGTAACGCCCTTTCTTGAAGTACGACTGTTCTACAGTAGGTAATTCCTACATTTTTCATCGCATGCTTATGCACTGTCGCAAGTTTTCTAATGTTCAATTCTATTCTATGCAGCCCATCTCCGAAGCCGACTCCCACATGCCGCAGCTCCGCAAATTTCTGCGCAGCAGCAGCGCCGCCGCGCGGAGCTGCGCATTGCGCGCGATCCTGTCGGGCGCGCAGGAGCTTCTCCGCGCCCATCAGGACATGGGCGCGGGAACTTTCAAGCTTGCGCGCGCGGTCTTCCTTCCCAAGAAGCAGGGGGAGTTCCGGGCCGCGCTCGCGCGCGCGAGCGCGCCCAGAAAGCTCAAGCTGCCTAAGATGGTGGCGGACCTTTCAGTGGAGGTGGCCGGAGACACCAGACGAGAATTGCAGCCGGATGCGGAGGGTTGTACGGCGCTCCGATGCGGAAAAGAGGTGCGAAAGCGCGCTCGGTTAGAAAACTGCTTTCATGATCATGTTGGAGGCTTTGCTGTGGAATGATATTAACTTTCCTAAGAGCTCAAATCCGTTGCCAGACACCTCTTGTTGTGGGACTTCGCGTATTTTCATCGTTTGCAAGTAGGACTTCAAAGGAAGCATTGTCAACGACCGTGTAGAGTCAAGCAGAACGCCCCCTGGTCACTTTGGAGGATAGTTGTGTCTCTTCGATCAGCAATTTCAAAACCTCTGACTATTTGTATCACACATCAAAACCAGCAAAAGATTTTGAAGGTATCAGACTTTAAAACATAACGAGAACAAACCTCTGCTCGTGATACTCATTGCAGCTCGCCCGGCTGGTCGAATTCCGCTCCGACCAGCCGGAACGGGTTCCGCCGTCGCTCTTCACCGGAGGCCTCCGGGCGGCACTCGACAGGGGCCCAGTCCCCGCCCTTCTGAACCACATGGAATGGGAGAGCACCCATCTTCAAGACGTCATGATCCGGCCTCTTCTACTGTACCCAGTGGAAAAGCTCTACGCGGCATTGGGGATCGCTTGCGACCGCGGGGCCGCGCGCGCGCGGCGGACCGGCGGCAAGCTCCCGGGGTTACTGGAGGGGTTTGTGGGCGCGCTCGCGGCCGCGGCTTCGGCGGCGCTGAGCGACCTGGGCCACGCGGTGGAGCGCGGCGGGTGCGAGCTGCTGACGGAGGTGCGCGCGCGGTCAGACGTTGGGAGCGCACTTTCAGATACTGAAAGTGGTGCTCCAATCAGTTTGGGGGCGGTCGAGCCGTGAGATACTTTCTTGTCCCCGAGAGGCGTTCGCAAAAATTTATCAGCAGGAAAATCACCTCAGCTCACTTTCTGAGGCTCCTGAACAACAGTTCTAACATCTCGTGTCATTCAAAAAGCATCTGCTTGGAAGCGTGAAAAGTCTCGCCTCCTGACGCAATGCTGTAATGGGCCTGATACCGTTTCAAACGAGATCCCTTTCCGTTCCGTCCAGCTGATCCGCCTCAACTTCGACCGGATCGTCTCCCGCCACCTCGACAGCCTGGCCGCGATGCGCGTCTTCGAGGTGATCAAACACGGCGCCGAGCAAGAGATCGGCGTCGAGACCGCGCGGCTCTGCGTGAGGCTGACACGTGGCAAGCAGGCCAAGTGGGGTCGCCCCGCCAGCGGCCAGAAGTCGAAGCTGATGGTCGTCGAGACGGCGTGCCCCAAGCTAGCTGAGATTTTCGTGCGGAAGGTGGGGTGACCGGCTCTTTGTATTTTATTTTTCACCGCTTTCATGTTTAAGAAGTTGCTTCACAGTGCTTCATTATCGTGCCTATTATCGCATTCCTTCTAGTGCTATCTTGTCAAACGGGGAAAAAAGCACAATCTTCTATGCAAACGGCTTCGCCAAACTCTCTTATGGTTCTTCTGGCGTCGCGACGTCCGCGGATGTCCTGCTTACACCTTCTTCTGAAAGCTGTGAGTGGAACTCGTCTCTATTTGCCAAGTTTCCAGGTAATTTACCAGAAAATCAATCATGTACGACTTCTAAGCAACTGCCTTTCTCTAAAGGAACCGTGATGCGTTCGGCGCACGATATACTCGTTGGCAGCCCCCCCTGACGGCGTGCACTTACCGTTAAGTCTTTGGAGAAGGGACTCAAACGGAACTTCTCTCAGCTTGATCTGCGCAGATGATTGAGGGTATCTCGTCCCGCTACACACAAGCGCTTTCCTTCGTCCGGAACGACTGCAAGCAGCTCTTGCGGACGGATTTCGTTACGGAGCTGTCCGCGCTTCTAGACCGCGGCCGCCTCGCCGCGCTCGCGCTCTCGCTCGCGCGTGCGCAAACCCTGCACGAGAGGTTTGGCGAGGTGCTTCAAACCGAGGAAAAGCTAGCGGCCGAGCCAGACGACGAAGTCGCCCAAGAGTCGGAAGACATACAGTGGACGGCGGGCGAGACGCGCGCGCTCCTCGCGGCTCTAACGCGCGCGCGGTTTCGAGGTTCACTGAAGGAGCGAATGGCGGAGCTGAGGCGAGCGTGCACGGAAGCGGGAATCGATCGGAAGGAAAAGGAACTGACGGCGTATGTGCGGCTGTTAGAGGAATGTTTCGGGGACGCAGACGACGGAGGGCTGAGATTTGCGGAGAAGTGCTTCAGAGAAGGGGAGAAGGGAAAGACGCAGAAGGATGGGAGCCGGTCTGCGAAAGACGACGTGAAGATGGGGCTTCCGTCGAGGAGAGACTCGGAGATACTGCTCCTAATTAAGGTGAGTGGCTTTCAGGATCTCAGAAAGAGCTACGTATACTCATTCTGTTCTCGATGATTCTCACTTGATTCCGGCATCTTGAGAAACAAAGCTCCATACGTACACTTAAGACTGGATCCCCAGTCTCCAATGGTTGTAAAGATACGTTCCGCAAAACCAGCACTATCGAGGTGAAGACATGACTATGGAAGAAAGATTCCATTACTTTCAAAAAGCCTGCCGCTTTTGTTATCAGAGACCTTTCAAAGCACTTTTTGTGGGCAGAAGAGTTGACAAGATTCACTCTTATCTTTCATCCGGCCACGATAAAATCGTACAAATTTGACTTGAGGTTTTGTGAGCAGGAAACATTTTTTTCATCGTTTGCAGGCCCTCGCCCAATACTGGCAGCGCTCCAGGTCAGGCGGGGCTGGCCCGACGCTCGACGTCAGCAAGACGTCAGACCTGGAGCAGGTCGCTCAGATCCTGAACCGCCCATCACGGCGGCTTAATCCAGCCAAAACCTCACCCCCGCGCAAAACGGACACGGACTACCACAGAGCGGAAGAGGGTCAGCAGCCGATCAGAACGGGCAGCCAGCATTCGGTGCCCTGCGCGACGGCGGCCGCGAGCGCGAAGCAGCCGGACCGAGGTTTAGCAGGGGGAGTGGCGGCCGTGGCAAAGCCACGGCCCGGCAAAGCCCTGGGGGGTCGCGCTGCTGTTGTGACGAGACTGAAGCGCACGGCACTCTTAAGAGACGCTTCAGACCGGAGCGGCGGAGACGGGCGGAAACGGATCAAGCGGAGTGCCGGGGAGCCCTTAGAGGATGTCGGATCAGAGAAGAGCAGCAAAGAAGAAGCAAAGGTCAAAGCAGAAGAGTTAGAGACGGGGCCAGTCAGTATGGGTCAGGCCACCGGGGGTAAAGGATCTTCTGACGTTCCGGCGGATGCAAATCCTGCGGAACCGTATAGAAATCAAGGACCCGAAACGAAGCTTTTGGAGCGCTGGTTTGAAAAACAAGTCCTGAACGAAGACGAGTGTCCTATGCTGGTGCGGGGAAGGGTTTTGGAGGGGCCTCTGTGGGGCAAGAGAGTGACGCGCCGGCTGACGTACAGAGTGCGGTATCATGACGGTCGAGAGGAGGAGACGACGCTTCGCCCCAGTGAAATTTTCACAGAGGCGCCGGCAACGGAAAAGCAAGAGACGGCGGACGGAACGGAAACGAAGGAAACGGAGCATCTGGCTGGTACAAAGGAAGCCTCATTCAAGCATCACGGCGGCGCTTTTGCGAATAAAGTACTCGGTGAATACAAAATAAAGAAGTCCAATGTGGCGCCAGAAGAACTGAACGGAACGGAAGGAGCGAGCGGAAAGGGAACGCCGTGGCGCGCGCGCGAGGTGCTCTGGTTTTGCGAGCGGCTGTGCGCGCAGTACGGCGCGTCGGCCGCGGGGTTCAAGGACGCGTGGCGCGCGTACGAGGCGTCCGAGCTGCCGGAAGGCGTCCGGATCGAGTACCGGAAACGGAAAGACGGAAAAAGAGAGGACCGGAAGTACACGTACGAATACCGAATCAGCTCAAGAAAACGTTCAAGACAGACAGTCTGGTCAAGCTCCAGCAGTTCTTTGACGATAGGGAAGGCGGAAAGGCGGCCGCGGTGCTGAGCACGCGCGCGGGCGGCCGCGGGCCGCAAGTGTCTCCAGCCGAGGCCGAATGTGTGCGCGCGCGCCTGGAGAGGGAGGGGTGGAGAATGGATACCAGGAAACGGGGGGAGGGAGGCGTCAGTCCAGGTAACCCCAGCGGATCTTTGACCTGCGCAAGTGCGTGCGACATTCTTGATTCTTGATTGCGAAAACCTTGCATTAAAGCGAGACGTTTCAAGACAGCTTTGGGATGAGACTCAAGAAACATAAGGGTAAGCCACATAACAATAAGCTCCGACTAACTTACGAAAACCTTGACCCAAAAGATACCTGCTCCGCAGCCCTACCCACCTCAACCACCATACTAACCCTAACCGTCCCAGTGCGTTTACATCAACGTTATCTCGGCGTATTGATGATTTTATGAATTGGATAGTCTTGGGGCCACATTAGCTTCGTCGCTAGCTTGCGAGGGTGAAGAGGGTCACTTATGGACGTACCCGAAGACGGCTTGTTTGACGGCCTCTTCTGTAGATTTCTTTAAAGAAGCACAAGTAGCTCATATCTTTGTGACTTGAGGACTGCAAAGCAGCCAGGCCTATGCGGAGGCTTGACGCTTCATGCGTCCTTTCCGAAGAAGAAGGCTCGACGAATTTCAGAATCCTATTTGCCAACCTCCGTTCCGTGCACTGCCCCCTCGCCTTCTAAAACATGGCAACGAATGACTTCCGCTAGATCTCGTTTCTTCAACTTTTCAGGAAAGATTGACTACTACTACGTGGGCCCATCCGGCACCCCTCGGTTCCGGTCGCTCGTGGAGGTACGTACCGGAGTTTGCTGCCAAAGATTGCCCTTGCAGTGTTGGGAATCCTCTTCGCAATGACTCTCAAATCCGCAAGAGACAGGTTCGCTCACGTCAGTCTCTCTTGTTGATGCATTGTCCTTGGAAGAGCTCGAGATAGGCGTCGAGATGATGGGGCTTCTTCTCTTCGTCTGTAGCTCTAGAACGCAAGTACACATCCTTGTATGCTCCATGGATACCTGAAAGAGCTTGATGCATTTCCTGCATCCGACCAGATTTAGCAGCAAAGTTTCTTTACCTCCGGCTGTGCACTTTTCGCAGGTCCACGAGCACTTTGAGAGAGTCGACGAGGCAAAACGAGCAGAAAAGGCAGGGTCCTAACAAGCGACTGGTAAGATTCTCGTCAAAGATTGCAAGGAAGTGGCGGTACGAAAGCTGGCCAAGTTGACTTTCTTGTTCACAACTTGGCAGTTCGTATCTAGGTTCCAGAGTTTCTGATGCGGTATTTGATCGGGATGCTACGTCGATAACCGTTCAAAGTCCTGTCAATTGCAAAGGTGTGTAGCCTTTTTCCCACAGTCTCGTTTGAGCTATAAGGCCGTTGCAAGTGCTCTAAAAAGACCGGAATCATTTGCGTAGCTATTGATCACCGCACTCGGTATCGCGTTGCATGGCTTCTTCTGACCGTCGTGAATGGGCCATATTCTCTCGCTAGGCAGCAGGCCAAGCGGGTTTTGATACGTTTGGCTCCAAGTGCAGGCAGCCTATGAGGTGATTAGACAACTTTGACGTGAATCCGCCGGCACCAGACAGCCGTATCCTGGTCTGGACAACTTTTGAAGCATCTGTGTAAGGAAAGAGTTCTCTTCCTTTAACGAGCTAGGAGAGAGAAGCGCTTGCATTTGAAGGGACCGAATGCTTGTACATTTCACCGAAATCTGGCCAACTAGAAAATCGTCCGCCAGCATAAGACAGAACTTTGTAGGAAAGCAATAATTGTTTTCCTCTTGAGATTATGGGTTTAGCGGGTCAAAAACAGCAGATAGAAAGCACTTCATATCTTCCAAGCTAGAGGGGTGTACATTTGCAGACTTCGAAGTTTGAGAGGGACTCGGAGAGAAACTCAATACAAGATCCTGGGCTTCTTTTCACCCGGGTCAAATCCATGTCAGCCCTGTTTGTGTAAACAAGCAGCTAGGCTCGGCCTGGAAGAAAGCACGCTGCCTGGTTACGTCCTATTGATGCCCCAAGCGATGGCAAGCTACCAGTTCCCAGGACAGAGCCTCGCGAGTAGGATTTTTGTGGTTAAGCTTAGAGGTGGCAAGGCTCTCGGACACGAGAAGCGCAGTATACAAGATCTTGAATTGATACTGCTGATGCCCATAAGGCCGTGGAATCCATGCGCATGATGAAAATTGCGAAGTAAGGAGGACGACTCTTCACCATTTAAAGCATATCTTACATGGCGATATTGGGCGATCGAGTGAACATCTAGCAGCTGGAGGGGAGGATCCTTTTCTGGTCCCTGAATTGGGGAGGCCTGTCTCCTCCGCCGATCATCAGCATTGTCCCCCCATTATCGGAGGGAATATTAGCCCTTAGTGCATCCAAGCGGGGGCGCACGCTTGTTTCCGCCGGTCGGAGGGGGAGAACCGGGAGAAAGACTGGGAGAGGAAACCAAACCTCCCTGTGCATGTGCGCGCGGCTACGGTGGCAGTGGCTACCGCCCACGATTGATTGAAGGTGCCCGCCCCCGCGGCCCTGCGGCGCCCAACGGCCGCGACCAGACTCGGACGTCTGGGGCGGCTGCGCCGTCCGACAGTCCCAATCCTTTTTCTCGTACTTAGTACTTTTCTGGGCGCCCAGATCAGATCACCTCATTCGGTGTGCAACCAAGAGCCACCGTCACTTGAAAGTTCAATTGGTCTGGTAATATGCATGCATAAGTTAGAAGACTTGTTCGTTCAATTACGGGCTCTCACTGACAAAGTCAGTGAACAACCTGCATGGTCGTGAGCTTCCCGGTACGCGTACGCCGCTGAGCCTTGGGAACTAGCTTTAGATCTTAGTATATAGAGCGCGCGAGTCATGCACGTCACGCATATGGATTGCATGGATCTCAGATGGTGGTCTCCAAGCCGTGCGAGTCTTCAAGTTCTGTCGTTCGGGACAAGCTCACGTTGACTTTAGAGTCGTGGCTCGATCAGACTATGGCAAAAGAGCAGCTTGGAAAGTAGAATGTATGCACCATCGCGGCTCCTCAGAGGCAAGCCGCCCTCTCTGTATTTCAGCTCTATTATCCTGATGCAGTGCTAAAAGGAGTCCTCCTTATCCTTGACAATCTTGTACCCTAACCGCATGAGGTACCTCCTCAAGAACCCCTGTCGAGCCATGTGCCGTGTATTCGTCTCTGCCTCTATGCGCGAAAGCGGGGCGTGGACTCTTCGCACGTGCCACTCTTTGTAGACCCGCCGCGCGATGAGGTCGCTCGCGACCGCATCCCACGCCGCTCTCAGCATCTCCATGTAGGCCTGCCGCTCCGCTTCCCCGACCATTGTTCCCCCTTTTCGCCGGGCCTCCACAAGTTGCGCCTTGTGCAATGTGTCTGCGACTTTCAACACATCTACTAGTACGTCTGGCGACACTCCGTGCTCTGTATTCCACGAAAAAATCACTTTTTTCCCTCCTGCCGTCCCGCGTGCCACTCCATCTTCGGCGGAAGCCTCCCGAGCCGACGATGCCGACCCCGTAAGACGTAGCAGCTTCTCTTTCAACTCTTCAACCGACTCCTCCGCCGAGTCGCCGTTCTCCGACTCCTCGGTACCGCTCGTACTTTCTCCCGCTGGTTTCTGATCGTTACCGCCCTCCGCATCATTACCGCTCGAGGAGACCTCTGCACTATCCCTGGTCCACACCTGGAGCCGATCCCCACACTGCGGCCAGTGAGGCAGTTCCACTTCCTTCTGCAACTTCCAACCGCCTTCCTTCAAGCTCCGCTCAAACCGCGGCCCCGCCGTTCTAGAGATTTTCTCGCCTGAAGAGGGTTTGCTTTCGAGGGGCTCCCCCACGTAGATGAGCGTCGACCCTTTGTAAGCGTTCAAGGCTTCCACGCCCATGCTCTTGACGTCTTCCGGGGATGATTCGTCGGTCTGCGACAAGAAAGGTAACGGACACATTGGCGTAGAAGAAGAAAAGCACTCTGTGCTTGAGCAAACAGGTGGATAAGCTTCCTCTCTCCTATAAGGATGTACATATATAAGCAAGGTTCGTCGCGTCGTTCCGAGTTTTACTTCTCTCGATTAACACAGCTTCGAGAGCACTATACAATGTGGATCTCGTGTGCCTCAGCCCGAGGAGTTCTGATTATGAGCTATTTTCAAGACGAAACAACAGGGGGCTGAAGTGCTCAGGGGTCAGGAACGCAACTGTCATCTACTTGACCAGAGGTCGATCTTAAGCTTTTCAAAGGTGACACACTTCTGGACATATTTCAAGAAGAGGGAGGCAGAACAAGGAGAAGACAGGACAAATAACGAGCCACTTACCTCGTCTGGGGGCCAGCACAGGAGTAAGGACCGCTCTGGATGGCGTTCAGCGGCTTTCGGACCGCCCTCTACAGAAGCGACACGAATGTTAGCCATCTGGTGTCTGAGAAATTCTGCATGAGTATTCCGACCGCTCAAGCAGAAGATGTGTTCAAAATTTGATTGTCGAAAATGCAAACCAACGGCTCGAAGCAAAATGCGTAGAGCTCAAACAAGTCTGATGCTAGATTGTTCCTGGAGGCAACATTGCCTCAAAAAGTGGTCTAGACGCCGAAGGGTGTATGTTATCCAATACTAGCGACGACAACCTTTGTTTCTTTTGAGCAGTTACAATCCGCCCACCACCTTGATAAGCGGTGCTAGCCGAAACGCGGACGCAGATCCGATTCTTGTGCCGTCCCCAGTATACGCGTGCTCGGGCTCGCCGGCCACTGCGCATGCTTCAGCGACTGCTTCTCTATCTCCCAAAGTTATTCCAGGGTGCTTTCTACAAGAAGGGCCTATACAAGTGTGGCCGTTCCTTTGACGCATGGATTCTCTCTTCTCACCTTCGACCCAGCCGAACCCAAGCCTCCGGATCATTTCTACGTCCAGATTCAGCTCCAACTTCTTCGGATACTCGATCCGTTCCGCCAGAGCGCTCAGCTGCTCCGGAGTGACCGGGGAATGGTGCCCGTTGTAGCGCTCGTGCACCGGGTCCCGGTCAAACGCGCGCACGCTGACGTCCCGCTCCTCGAGGAGCGCCGCCCAGTATCCGCTGCCGGCGCCAATCTGCAGAGAGTACGTTGGGTTTGTCAGAGAGATCAAACCTGATTTTGTCAAGCCAAACCTCGATGTGTTTGTCCATTTTACTCGAGTTCGTCGGTTTTCCTGGTGCAGGAAAGGACTGAACAACCCGCGTCATTGTCGGACGCTTCTGTTTGGGAAGCAATTCGGCTCGCTCTGAAAGGAGCCGGGATTGCAGGGTGGCCCCCTGAATGTTTCACGAGAGAAGGGAGATAAGCCAGGCTCTTACAAAAGCTTCCACGACCTTCTGCAGCTGTTAAGAGAGACGTTCGATCTAAATCCTCTTCAAAAATGACTGACAGAATGATGAGTGCAAATCGACTATTCTGCCGCCGTTTACCACCATAGCCCCTGCCTTGATAACCCTCATATAACTTACTGTTGTCCAAGTCTCTAAGGTTCAGAACGACAGGTCCGACATCCTTCCTCGGCCCCGTATCTGAACGCAACCCTTAAGCAGCCAAGAAGAGCCAGATAGCTCTGTAGAAAGGTTTAAGCGTCCTTACCTCCACCACGCCCTTTGGGGAGCACTGCTTGATTGCTTCCAGCGCCTCTTCGGTTGGGATCGCCCTGCAAAAAATGGCACGCTCGACTCACCTCCACAAACAATGACCTCCGTTGCCTGATTACAGAGCTACGAAAAATCTTCAGAAATACCTAGACTTCAGAGACACCCGCCACTGCACATATTTTGAAGCAATTTTCAACCTGAATGCAAACTGGTTCCAGTCCAAATGTGACTCGAACCGGAATATCATATCCCCCATTCTAGCTCAGGTGATGTCTGGACCCCTCTTGCCTCAGTTGACTCGCAACCGTTTTGAAGCTTCATCCTCAGAAGTTGTCCTGATCCCGATTACTACATGCCGGATTAGCAGCATCCGGAGCATGAGGTGTCAGTCTCACCAGGCAAAGAGCTTCCTCATGGGAACAATCTGCAGGTCATGGTAGGCGCTGATCAGCTGCAGCTTGCTCTGCTGCAACTCCCCGGCCATCATCGCTTTCACCCCAGGCTCTACCCCCTCGCTGCTCTTGCGGCTCCAGGCGTCAACTGCGCAAAATAAGGAAGCATGTGAGCGGACAGCACTAAAGCTCCTGTGTATCTCCAGATTCTCCTAGATTAGTGTAGAGAAGTCTCAATGAGTCAACTAGACTTGAGTATTTGGACTCTCAGAATGGAAGTGACTTGCTTTGACTCGCGAGAATCAGCTAACATAAATACAACCTGTCAGCTTGTCATTACTTCTGCTGCCTTCAAAGAAAAGTAGCTGATTGACAGGGGCCTGAGAGCAGCAGGCGCGATAGTTTCAGGGCAGCACAGGAGCTCCAGTGTCTCAAGTAGACGCTAGGTGCTCTAACAAGTAGTAAAAGTCAAAGTACTTTACCAGAGGACTATCTCATGAAATATAGTACTAGTGCAGGACGAACCTGTGTGACTTTGATGCCAGACCGAACGTGAAAGGATCTATTGGGGTCACCAGGCAGCAGGGGCACTGAGTTTGCTACTGACTGGCTCACACTGACAATTGACGTACAAAATGTTGCTGAGCCACTCATTGGCAATAACCACAAAGCGTTGGAGGAGTCGCGATGCCCTTGGCTCAAAACGTTGAACTGAAGAAGTTGCAAGGAACCGACCTTCACTTCATTCCTTTGCAAGAAAGTTGAGCCTTGATCTCGGAGCAGATTCCTGAGCTGAAAGATGAGCAGTTGGAATGAGCTTCGAAAGAAAACTCACCGTCATCAAACGTGAGCTCCTCTAGCGCTTTCAGCTCCGCCAGTCTCTCCTTGTGGACATTCAGATACTGAATGCTGCCTGTCTTTGCACCACCCTCGGAAAGTCTCGCCCCCGACGCAGATGTGTCCGTTTTTCTCCCAACTCCAGAAGCAGAGGCAGTAGAACCCAACGCTGTTTCCTCTGCTGGACCTGTTGAAAGCGGCCCAGCTGCTTGTAACCCTGACTGCCACATCCGCTGCTTAACTAGGTCCAATGGCGTTGTAAATGAGCCAGGTTTGCCCTTGCCCTTTTCAGGAGGCTTCACCGGGGCCGTCTTTGGGGCATCACTTGGACTCTCCAGGGCGCCTCCGTCTGACACTGCTTCGACCACCTTCCCATCGAGCCCCAACTCTCCTCCTTGGCTCTGAGGTTGAGTATTTTTGCTGGATGCTTCTTCTTGCCTTGAACCTGGAGCATCTGAGAATTGTAAGTCGCCGCTGCTTTTGTGCGCCCCCAACCCCTCCAAATTGACTGTTTGCAAGAAGGCTGCATGGATCGCACGAAGCTGCGAGACTTCACCAGCCAAGCGCCCTCTGAGATGTAAAGCCATCCTTTGGTTAGATGACCTTAGGGAAAGCTTTCAAGTGAAAATGAACCCACTTTGAGTCGAAGGGCTTTAATAGAATCTGCTTTCTTAATTTAGAAAGCTGTACGCCACAGCATTCTGCATTGAACCCACCTGGACCGAAACCTGTCAGATGACTAGAACAGTCAAAGCGCAGCCTGGAGGCTCCCCCATTGCAGTTCCACGGACTCAGTGGACCTGGACAGAAAAGTGGTGGCGGGATCTCTGCTCCTGAACAAACCAAGATTGGTCACTTCAAGTTGGTGAGAACGAACTGAGCGCAATGTGGCCCATGCTGAGCGTCATGTCCTGCGAGCCGTAGATGATCATTAGCTTCTATCGACGGCCTATCAATGTCGATCTAGCCCTTCAGAGAGGAAAATTGCACAATCGACGGACACAGTGCTCTCCTTCTGCGCATCCCTTTGTGTACCAGAGAAAGCTGCCATGCAAGCTTGAAGTTGAAGCACTTGAGTCAGCATTCAATTAGTGAGGGAGGCGCATGTATGGAATGGAATGCTGACTCGGAAGCTAAGGAAAAAAGGACAGCTTCTCTAAGTCCTCCTTTTGATGGAAGCCTTGACGGGCAGCGATGGGCCGAAAGCTTGCCGCCGCCCTGGTGCTCCTTGCAGCGTCTCGTCTCCCCTTCATTCAGCACGAGGGGAAGCGGACAGCTGTTGAGGAGATGAGGTCGCCGCATTTTCAATCGTCAGTGGCAGCTATCCTGAGTCGACTGAAGCTAGAGATCCTAAAGCAGCGAGCCAACAACAGAACCGTGGAGCTGCGAGAGACTGCCACCGCTTCATGGGGCGTTCCTAGAAGCTTCCAGACCGCAAGAGATTTGCTGAAAGATTCATCTGGGAAAAGTCTGGGAGAACAGGGTAGCGCAGATGCTGCTGCGAAAGAAGAAGAGGTGGTGGAACAGAAAGGAGGGCCGGAATGGCTGCGGCGTCTGGGGTTCGATGCCAGCGAATGGGGAGCAGGAAAAGACAATGAGCTGGCGGATATTATCCTGAGGCATCTGGGGCTCCAACAGCGGCAAGACGCGTCATCAATTAAGTCCGCACAAGCTGAGGCAACAGGAGCAAGCTCTGAAGAAGAGGAACTTAACGAGGACAGTACCAGTGAGCTCTTTGCCATTGACAGCGATGGAGACGGTAGAATAGAAGCTCTTCCGGAGGCTGGAGATGATGAGCGGAAGCTGGAGAGGGGAAAGTTGGACGTGGTGAAGGATGGGTACGCCACTCTGAAAGAGAAAGTGGGGCTGCAGATTTTCCAGGACATTGCAGACCCTGTCATTGGACTGTACAAGCGAGCGATTGCAAAAGGTATGCGCTGTCATGTGTGCTTCATTCAGAAAATGAGTTTTCAGTTTCTGACTTTCCGGGCTTTCAAGTTGGACAAGCTTGTCGTTTGCTGTTGCTGATTGACCCCCAATTACATCTACTTCTCTCTTCTGCTCTGACAGGCAATTTCAAAAGCTTGAAGAATGCTTTCGATGACCTTTGCTCCGCACACCAATGTTGGAACATCTGAACTTCTTGAATGCAAAGGAGATTGGATTCAAGGAGACTATTTTAGCAACTACTGATACAGGGTGGCTAGTGAACATGCACCATGTTGGCGAACAGATGCCTGATCATGAGTCTGGATTCTGGCCACCTGCATGCACCAATTCAAAAGGACAGCCAGAAAGTCTGCTCTCAAGGCAGATTGTTGAGCTTGGCCATTTCACCATCCTCTCCCTGTCCTCACGCCGTATTTCCTCCTGTCTACTGTCTACTGTCTCCTCCTGTCAGGGCTGGTTACTGATTAGGAACATGCTTTGATCTTTCGCCCTTCTGAAAGCCGAGCGCATTTTAAGTTCAGCTACCACCCTCCTCTTTCGGTTTCCAAGCTTAAAGACTTCCCGGGTCTATGTCACCCAACAGCTTGCTTTCCCCTTATCTCGAGAGCGTGTACTACTCTCACTTTCGGGGTCCTCATTCCCGCGTTTTTCTTCCCAGGCTCTGAGCTCGAAAGCGTGGCCAACTTGCGAATGCTAGCGGACATCGCCTCTTCGATGCAAGCGACAACCGCAGGGATGGACCCCTGGTCGCTCTCCGACCTTACCTTGGGCCTGTACCTGCTCTCCCTCAAGCACGTGGCAGAGGGTGTGCAAGACACGATCCCAGGTAGCGTGAGCTCCATGCACCACGCTACTGCGCTGTGATATGCTTCGAGTCACTCAAGTCATCAGAGGCACACACACTGATTGAGCTTCAAATAAGTATGAAGAGTTGGAAGGTCACGATGCGAGGCACATTCGACACCGCCGTGGGACGTCAAATCACCCCCTTTTAAAACAGGAACGTGGACCTTCCTTCATACTCGCATCCCGTCTATCCTGGTTTTGGAGTAAGGGCCCTTGTCCCGGGCGTTAACCTTTGCCATTTCCCTACAACCAGAAAATGTAGTAGGATGAAAGTCTGCTTTCTTGTTTTAACCCTTGACTTTCGACACTCCAGGCGAAGTCGTCGAAGACCGGGGCGTGGCGGAAGACTTTCTGTACCATCTCGAGCTGGCCCGTGGGGCGTATGCGCAGGACGCAGCGGGGCTGGCGCGTGTGAGCATGCTCCGGGAGTGTCGTGTGGCCAAGTTCAAGGCGAGGGTAAGTATCGGCACAAGCAGGAAAGTGAATGTTCCAAGTAAATCAGCAAGCGTTGTCGAGGTTTTCGAGTTGTTGCATCAGACCATGACAGTCCTTTGGTACATCGGATTTACGGTAATCTACCGGCTGTATGGTTTCTATCTTCGTAGTGATGAAAGGAGACATCAGCTCTTGCGGGGCTTGGATGGAGGCATTCTCTTGAGGCCGAGGTTCTTTCTCTCGTTTGACAATTGAAGGGAAGGACGCTCTTCGCTTCGTCAGGTGGAAAGGTAGTCGACGAAACAGAGCATAAGAATCTTGCCTTCGCAAGATGAAGCTGACTGTATTGAAAAGGTTGTTCTCTGGAGTGGACGCCTTTTCATTCTGCAAATAGGCGGTCCACAGCATGTGGCCTTCTTCTCTCATCTGGTCGCTGCTCCCTTGCATCGTCACGACTTTCTTCCGCTTGAGCAGGAAATTAAAAACCTTCATTTCGACGACTCCACTGGACTCTGAACTCGTGGATGGTGACTAGGACGGGTTGTGTGACATAGTGGCTTAGGACGGGTATGGCCGCAAAGCGGAATATCCTCTGATTAAGGATTACTAGCATACTACGAATTTTCAATTCACAACCTTGTAGAACTTCCGATCCGCTAGCTTGAGATGAACAAATTCTCTTCTGGCAGGCCACCATCCTGCGCCCCGCTTACTATATCGCAGCCGACGACCGGCGGCGGCTGATCATTCTAGGGATTCGCGGCACCACGCAAGCGCACGACCTCTTCACCGACCTAGCGACCGCGGGGGAGGAGTTCCTGGATGGAGGATTTGCGCATGCAGGGATCCTGCATGCGGCTAAGTGGTTCGTGAAGAACGAGGCTTCAACGCTCAAGAAGCAACTCCAGCAGAACCCGGTGAGGCCCCACGAAGGATGTGTCTCAGCCTGAACCCCCTTTGACATTTGCATCGACTGCGTTCTTCCGGGACTACTAGCGTGCATGATTGTCAGGAGTCATCTTCATGTGTTTGGAATTTCTGGACACGTAAGTATTTCACTACGATATATTGGCTTTGAAAGGATCCATGCATGAGTGCATGATCTTCAGTCATAGGATTCCTGAAGTGACGCTAGAAGAAAGTGATGCATCCCCCTGGAATCGAACATTCGTAGATTATTTCCGATTCGCACGCGAAGAAAACGTGTTTGCATGTGACCGCTATTTTACCCTTGTAGTTGCCGTCGTCAGCCCGCTCAAGCTCAAACTCCTAACCGACGTCTTTTGCATTTTGGGCAGGGATACGCACTGCGCCTCGTCGGGCACTCCCTCGGGGGGGGCACCGCCGCCGTCACAACCATCCTCCTCCGGGATCAACCAGACCTCGTGGGCGTCCCCCCGGATAAAATCTCCGCTGTCTGTTTCTCCCCACCGGCGTGCCTCTCCCGGTCGCTCGCCGACCGCACGAGCGCGTTTGCGCGCACGCTCGTGATGCAGGATGACGTCATCCCACGGGCGAGCGCGCGCGCCATGGACCGCCTCCGGCGCGAGGTCGAGCAGACCGACTGGTGGGTCTGTTGAGAGAGCGGTTGACGTCACCGTCACGTCATCGCCCCCTTTCTTTCCGTTCTCTCAGGTTGCCAACTCCGTTCTGCCAAGTTTTCAGCATTTAGCTCAATCGATCTCGGATGGTGCGCAGCACGCGTCATGGACCGACTGCGTCGCTAGGTTGCGCTCACCGACTGGTGGGTATTTTGATGCCGCTTGACGTCACCTTGACGTCAGCGTCCGCTTCGTTCAAACTGTTCAATTGTCAAATCTGGCGCTTCTCGGTTTGAGTAGGGCGCGGCGCCCTTTGTCGCATTGCCTTCGCGACAAGGTCTCACCAGCCAGTGAGTCTTGTGAGCATCACCGTAACGCCAGCGTCCCCTCTGTTTCCGTTTTTTCATGGTCAAACATTCCATTTTCGTCGTCGGGAAGGGTGCGGCGCCACACGTTGAGATTGCCCAGTGACTGAAGATCGAGCGCACCGTCTGGTGGGCTTTCTAAGACCGGTTGCACCCTCTGGAGGGTCTTGAGAAGCCGGTTGAGAACGTCGCCGTTGCGTCAGCGTCCCATCTGGTTCCATTTTTGCACTGTTAAGTGAGGCGTTCTCCAGTTTCATACGTTGCGCCATGGGCACTTGCATCCCCCGCGAGGGCGAGCGTAAGAACGGTGGGCTTGACATCAACGTAAAGTCAACGTCCCCTTGCTTCCTCTTCTTTCACTGTGAACCGTGGCCTCAACCCGTTCTCAAACCACTGCGCCGCACATATTGTGGAGTGCCTCCGGGGTGGGGTCGAGCGAACCGATCGATGGGCCTTGAGACTTTGATTGATGACGTCACTGTAACATCAGCGTCCCTTTCGTTTCCTTTCTGGACTGCTTTGGCGCTTCAACATTAGCAAACGCGAATGAAATTATCGCTGGAGCAGAGTAGGATTGAGAGGGGTGCCGATGGTGTCTTCTTATTTGAAATTGGTTTCTCTTTCAAGCAGAGCTCGTGAAGTTCCTGATTCCTTTCCTCCTCCCTGCGGTCTACTTCCTGTTTGGTATATCTTCGCGTACCACAACAACGCGAGTCGCTGTGGCTGTGGGCTCCTTTCTTTCAAATCTTTCATAATTGCATGATTCAGAACCTTGAGAAGTTTGCCTCAAATGTTTGTCGCTTAACTCGCTACAATTGCTTGACACAGGAACGTGGCCGGTCCGGGGGAGAGTCTTGCAAGCCTGAGGGGCGTGGCGAGCCGTCATTTGGAGTCGCTCCAGCCAACGCTGCAAAAGCTGCAAGCGGTTGCAATGGATTATGCGCCTGCCGTGCTCGCGAGCAAGCTGAAAATTGAAGTCGCCACAGGTGAACCGACCCAGCCCGGGGCCGAGAAGCGGGGCAGGAGACCGGGAGACAACTTTGCTAGGGGCGATGAAATGGATTCAAGAGATAGACCGGTAGGAGCCGACGAACGGATAGCTGACGGACGCGAGCGGGGTAGCACTCGGGGCGAAGGTGCGGAGGGGGCCGGGGGGGGAAACGAGGCCGGATCGGAGGGGTCTGGAGGCGCGGAAACTGCTCGGGGGGAGTGCTCGGACGAAAGGGACCGGGCGGGGCGGGGCACGGACGGGCAGTCGGTAGATAGGCAAGCAGGAGACGCGTCAGAAAACGGCAGAATTGACGGGGATGGTTCTAACGGTAACCAGAGCCCTGCCACAGGTCCGCAAGAGGAGCTGTTCGCGCCTGGGCGATTGTACCACCTTGTACATAAGGACAAAGAGAGCAGAGCCCGGGACGACGTGAGCGAACCGGCCGCGAGAGTGTACAGTTTGATTCGAGGAACGGAAAGAGCACGCTTTAGCAGGATAGTGTTGTCCGAGTCCATGTTGCGAGATCACGCGAGCAGAGAGGTGTATTGGGGCCTCCGGGAACTGCTGAAAGTCATGGCGTGACTCATTAAGCCGCGCCCGGCAGGTAATTTGCCCACGAAAGGAACAGTCATTGGACCACTCAGTTGATGACACGCGTTTAAAAGTATGACTGCGATGCCAAATATGACAAAAAGTGCTCTTATATCAAGTCCAGGGCACGCACTAGAGCATCCGTGCTTTTGATTTTCATGCATTACGTTAATTCTTCTGATCGAAGACGCCAGATCGAATTGGGATCGATCAATGTGATCCGTTCCTGGCCGCGGCCAGCGGGTCTGTGCGCGGCCCTTGCGGGGGAGTTCGAAGGTCCGGCCATTTGAACTCATGCCAGTGATACCGTACCGGTTGGCTGGGCCGTTTTGATCATTGCAGTTGGCTCCTGCTAGGCCACAACGGACTGAAGCCTGGCGCGAATGCGAAGCTACTAGTGAATGCGACGTACTGCATGGCCGGCACATGTACTCAGCGCTCGGCTTGGCCCGAATGCATGGTCACAGATACAACATGCAAAGTTCATTTTTAGTACGTTGAGTTTTTCTCCTTCAATGAAGGACGCGCGGCGATTAGCTCGGATCTAGCTCATGAATGAGGTTATGGCTGACTAAACTCATAGCAAATCTAGGTCCTTAAACGGAGCCCGGAACGTGCAGGCTTTCGATCCTGTTGGAGCTAGCTTCGATGACGTACAGTGCACGACCTCCTGCAGGTATTAAGTCCAAAAGTCCTGCCATGCTTCTACCTCAGCCCAGAAACATATATGCATGATTGACTATCTAGTCATTGTACGTATCTCCTTTAACTGGCTTGCATGCCTACGTTACAACGACGTACTACATTTAACCCCGTGCTTGATCTAAACCGGCTACCGTCATCACTGCTGCGCGTATCCACGGTTTACTTATGTCAAAGGTACAGACTGCAAGACAGAGTCTTGTCGGGCACTGGACGCAAGAACGCTAGGCTACCGTCGCTGCGCATTAAGCACAATATATAAGTAGGACAAAACCGCTCGCAGATTCGCGTCACTAGTTCCTTTGATCTCCAAAATGGTTCCAAACTTCGAAGCAGGCCGCGCAAGCGTTACGCTGCAGCCCTGTCAATTGCCCCCGCTTTCCCTTAGCGGTTGCGTTTTTCCTCCTCCTTTATCCTTCTTAACTTTCCCTACCTCTCTTGCCCTTCTCCTTCTTTTCTATCTTGCTCCCCCCTTCCTATTTCTAGTTCTCTTTTGCAACCGTCAGGTCCTGACTCCTCCCTTGCATTTCCCTTCTTTTCTCCACCCTTTTTTCCTCTCTAACTCCGCCGCACAGTCGCCAAACTAGTCTTCCTTGTTCTCGTAGTCGGGCAGCTCAAAGTCCAGGATGGCCTTGAACTCTGCGCGCGCGCTCGCCGCCATGTCCAGAATCGCAATGTCCGTGTCGTCCTCGTTGAACGGGTCCGCGAGCGCGTTGGACAGCTCGCGCAGGCCGAGCGTAACTAAAGCGGTGAGCGCCATGGGGAAAATGCCGTAGAAGTAGGACGAGAACACCTGAACGAGAGTAAACCTCGAGAGTATAGTGGGTAAGATGAAAGGGGCGTGTGCTCGCTCGTTGGCGGACGAAGCGTATGTCTAAGCACGGCTTTCCGCACGTCAGCCTAAGGTCAGCAAGGCCTGTCGGAGCCTACTTTGAAAGTACAAGAGAACGAAGCCAGCCTACTGAACATCGGCCTACTCTCGCAGAACTGCAGACCAACAGAGAGCGTAAACGGAGGCCACCACTGAACATGAATCTCAAGAAAGGTAATAATGAGCCAAGATAATAATGAGCTCTGACTAAATCTAGAAACCCTAACCCACAAAGATACCTGCTCCGCACCCCGTACCCGCCCTAACCACCAAACTAACCCTACCCGTCCTTGTGCGGTTAACTTATCATTATCCTGGCTTATTATTATCTTCTTGAGTTCCATTCACTGAACGTGCTCGGAAGTGGCTTCTCTTTGTGCCTGCCGAAGGGAATGTTCCGGTCGTGATACCATATACCAGGGTTCATGCCCTCAACAAAGAAAATTGCAAATCTCCAACTAGGATCCGCTCGATTGCAGGCGGACTCGAAAACAGCAGCGGAATACGATTCGAGCCCACCTTAAGAAGCAAGGGACCCAGCAAAAGAGGCCCGACTTGGAACACTCTGTAAGCCAGTCCGCATTTGACAGGCGCTTCTCACAAACTTGAGAATCCAGGATCGGGGCGCGAAACGCGAACCGCGATTACCTGAGTGTAAGCCAGCAGCAGCAGGTATCCGATGGCCATGACGTTCAGCAAGTGGTAGAACGCGAAGGGAACCTGCAGCCAAAACCAACGATGATACTTGCCCGGAACGTATTCCCCCGTCCCTTTTTCCACCCCCAAAACCAGGGGGGCTGCAGCCCCCCGAGCCCCCCCGCTTTTCCCTCTTGCGGCATTTGTTCCATTGCACGTGACTGATCGACAAGTTAGCGTAAAGTAGGTCAGAATGGACTAAAAGCTCTTGAGTGGATGAAATATGAGACGAGTGCCAATGTTTGTCGAAAATATTCGTCGATGTGAGCATCCTCTGTTTGTAAAGAGAGGCGCAAAACAGCCTGATAGATAGCATATACTTGCACGCCTCAACCCCCTAGATACTCCATTTGGGCTTCAAGTTCGTTAACAGGGATGGTCCATACTCATCCTGCACGGTTTCCGGTTTGATTCCTGCTTGTGATGCCAGCGCGATAAAACCCACAGAGAAATCAAACGGACAAAAAAGGATTTTAACACGCTTCCATATAGCTGTAGAGCGCAAGTGATTCCAGGACGTCATGGGATCTTGACGGGGGGTTAGGCCGGGCTAGAAGAACACGACACAAATTTGACGGGTTCCAAGAGTTTAATGTTTCGGACGTTTTCGGTCTTGAGGGACTGCAAGATTTACACTCTCAGATTGTCTGGAGCTTTTGGTCTTCCAAGATCGAGAGCCATAGTGATTCTCGGCATGTTGGCGTGATCTACTACCAGAAGTGCCACGTCGCTTTCCGTTTACTTTCGTCAACAAGACATATTCTGTTCAGATGGAATTGAATAGACAGGCGGAACGCACTTACCGGCATGCTTGCGTACTCATTGAGAATGCCCACATGTCGGTTGAGCCCGCGAATGTTCGTCATCAGCCGGTCGAGCGCCCGATCGCTAATGTTCCCGCGCTGCTGTTCTCGATGAAGCAAGAGCTGGATCCACTTCGCGATCTGCGGGGATTGACCAGTCTCGGACTTGGTTATAATACACCCATTGTCTTTTATAGGGACGGGTGCGGTTACTGGGTGGGAACGGGTGCGGAGCAGGTAGATGTTCGATCCAAATTTTCAGAGTTAGCTGCTTGTTCTAAGTCGCATGAGTGTTCCTAAGGCTTTTACAGCATGATCCTGCGGGGGAGCAACTGAATGCCTCAGTCCAGTTTGTGTATTCCTGAGTTTCTCCGCTTTAGTCGTCACCTTTTCGCTCTTCGGTCCGAACATCTCGCCGCGTACCCTCTGTCGTGTCCTCGTTTGCGCCGATCGGACGGTGGTTGGATCCAAAGTGTGATTGAATCCGAATGGTGAGTCCTCAAAGACGTACGTACAAAAATTACTTGCTATAGAACAGCAAGAATTTGAGAGAACGGCCTTCGCAAAATGCAAAATTGAACGCAAAGAAGGAAAGATCGAATCCAGCATGAAATTCACCATGCCAAAGGGCTTGGCGTGCTTTGGGATGTTTGCGATCTGCTCCGCCTCCTGGGGTGTGAAAAAGCCCTCCCTCCTCAGGTAGTCAAACACCCAGACGTTGACCTGAACGCGCCGGTAGTGCGGCAGCCAGGCAAAACCCAGGTACATCTTGGCAATGATATACTTATACAGCCTGTGACGTGTCGCCTTCGCCCCGGGGCACGTGCCGTCGTCGAACACCCCGCGCATCGCGCGGTGGAACGCGCGTGCGTTGCGCACGATCTCGCCGCAGCACTCGTACTGCCGGAAAAACCTGCGCGGGGTGCGGCCGGTTCACATGATAAGGTTTGCGCGTCAGAGAGAGTCGAAAGTTTACTGAAGAACGAAGGCGTCTCGAAGTGTTCTTGGCATGTTAGTTTTGCCGAGATCAATACCAGGAATTCAGGTGTTCTTGATTCGACCTTTTTAAGGTGTTGCCGCCAATCACGTATAGCAGTTCCGGTTCTTCAGCTGATAAGGCCGGTATGCTCAGACGGTATCCCGTTCTTATTCGAGGCACATTGTTGAGGGCTTTCATTATAAGAAAGTCTGCAAGCGGCTCGCAGAGGAAGGCCCGGTTCTCTGACGGCCTCTGTCGATAACTCAGCCGCCTCCGCACACGCGTACCTGTTGTATGACTGCGTCGTCTGGAAGACGAGGCAGAACGAAACCAGCGTCCCCAGGAACCCCGTGTAAGTCGAGGAGCGCAGGAAAGGCCAGTCCGTGTGCTTGACGTTGGTCGTGTCCGTACGAGTGTGCTGGAACCCCATTCGGTAGTACATGACGCTCAGAAAGACGTGTACGGACATGATGAGCCAGAAGGAGTAGCTGAACAGCACTGCGCGGACTATGGTTCCCGAGAGGCGGAAAAGGAGCCGCAGTGGAGTGTTCGCGTTGTATAGGAGCACCCCGGGGGGGATCTGCGCGGGAAAGGGTTAAAGGCGCGCAGGGTTAACTTAAACCGTCGAAACGAGGCTCACCATCGGTATGGACAAATCTACTTGATTTCGCATCAGAATTGGTCAACGGCGCACGATTTCAATGAGCAGGCGTTGCGTATGTAATGCTCTGAGAGTTTGCACGGGAGAGGAGGTTCTTGGCCGCACAGCGTTAGGAGGTGCGTTAAGGAGAGGCTAAGAAGCGGGAGTGCTCCGGGTTTAGCGCTCGCGGCTTGCGACCTTCTAAGATTCAAGGATTTCTGGGTATGTAGGGTTGGCCTGATTTATCCAAGGCAAGTGGTCAAGCAGTTCAGAGGAGTTAGGCAGGCATTGGATATGCCAGACCTTGGAATTAGAAGCCCCGTTTGGATTCAACATGTTATGACAGAAAGTTGATCCAATCTTGGCAGTCCCACTCAAGATTCAGCGGAAGGTGCACAAATGGGCTCTCTTGTAAAGATGTAACAGGCAGTTTGTGAAAGAAGGACTATCATAAGGAAGTGAATGCTGTTAAAACTGCCTGCCGACATTCGAGTTTCCCTTCATCATCAAGTCACATCTTGTTGGCTCTGGCAGGAAGCCTCCAGTCAAATATGATCACTTTGACCGAGTCTGAAGGACTTGGGATGCAGAGTAACAAGGACTAGGGAGGAGCAACATCCTCCTATATGGGCCAAATTGAAGCTTTCAAGAAGCACATATGGAGTAGGCAGGTTTCACATCATGAGCCCATAACTGGGGTACATTCTTATAGTCCTTGTCTAAAAACAAATCTGTAGAATGGCAACTCTGGAATCTGGTGAAAGCTTCAGCGTTCCGATTTGAAGGTCTCCAAACTCATTGAGTAAAGGAATGGAGAGGTGTCCAGCCAAAGAGCCGGTACTCTATATGAACTCTTCCACCTCGCTTCATCTTTCTCTCCCTCTTCTTTATCTTTTGCCTTACTGGCGTCGTCCCTGATCACTCTCAGCCTCTAAAGATATTTGGATTGCTCAGCAAGTGACCCTTCACTCACCCAATCCCAAAGCTTATTGCCTTTGCAAGCTATGCAATTCCCAACTTGTATTAGGGTAGTACTATCAGGGTAGTATATATACGTCAAGTCAGCTGTCACTCTTTACATCACCAGGTCAAGCGAGGGGTCACAAATCTGGTCAACGCTCACCAGTCCTGCTTTCTTGAGGGGCTCCAGATCCTTGAGGAACGGATTGGGCTTGCTCAGGTGGAAAATGTTGAGCCCTTCTGTGGCTGCGAGGGGGATCACCCCCTCCTCTGACAGGTGGGCCCCTTTCTCCGGCATCTCAACTTCCACGTGGCTCGCCTTCATTGGCTCCTGCCCATTCATGCCGTGTGCTTTCTCAGAAAACATCGATGAGAGAAGGGGACCGTCCCTCGCTGCACTTAGACTTAACTCTGCAGCTTGCTATTCTCCAAAAGTACCGCCGGGCTTCTAGCCGCCAGCTATGCTTTCCTGCTGAGCTTTTGAATTGAGCATGAGCGTGCCCGTGGCGCAACTAGATGCAAGATTGAAGACGTGTGATGATTAATTTACTTGGAGTTCCTATAAGAAGTTTGGAGTGGGAAGACATGTGATCGATCAATTCAAGGAGTACGGATCCGGTTGCAGTGGAAAGGGACTTCTGCTCCCGGGATAGCGTGAACCATGAAGCTCACCTGAGCAAGGGATGTGATAGGTACTGCTAGCAGAAATTTCCTGTGAATGTTCAGATCCGTCTGCACAGAGCCTTCTCTCTTGAACTTGAAGTGCGACAGACTCGCAGAGTGCCATAGTGTATCAGGGGCGGCAGTAGTACCTACTCATCAGTGATACCTACTACAGTACTGTACTATGCAGCTGCTGAGGTAGACAGGCGGATATCGATGGCCCGTGAATTAATTCACCGACCGGTAGCTAACAGTAACACGACACCACCAAGCGAATCATGATGACGACGTACCGAGCAGTTGTGTGAATACTGTACTGATATACTGACCACCTACTGGCTTAACGTACAGCTGTATATATATACATTCCTTCTCATGAGTAATACCGTATACTGAAAGCTGTCCTCTGGCTAGCTACCTAAGTTATCTGAGATCGAGTGGTTAAAATATTGCTAAGGTAGGCCGTAGATAAAATAAGCAACCTAATTACGAGTCATCCTAGCTCATCCTACCGGTAGTCTGGAATAGATATTAGGTACCGGTAGTAGGTAAACAACCAGACCTCATCATCATTCAACTTCCACAATAGGTATTGCATGATCCTCGGACAAAGCTGAATGAAATCTCAATGAAATCTACAATCGACGAGGCTAGCTAGGCACCTAGGTACTAGGTGACCACAAGATCACACTTTTTCGAGAATTAGGCAAACCTTTACCTGACTTTTCAAATTAATAGGAACGGAGAAAAGCTTTCCGGGTGGATTGCTGATACCTACTACTAATGTATTGTACAAGCAAACTTTGCTTTTGGAAATACTAGTATTCACTTCAAATGTGAGCCAGGCTAGTTAACTAAGTAGCTTCGGATTGCACTAATGATTAAAACCGGACGTACTGTCATCATCTCATGCTACGATCAATCTCTGTTAAAGAGAAGAACGTCTGCGTTCAACTACCGTACAACTGATCCGTGTCGACATTGACTACGCATCTATCAAGATTCAAGTCTTCCGACACGGCCAATCACAATAACAGAGCAGTACATGAGACTGTACAGTGTAGAGTCTAGACATGCAAGGCCCATAGACGTCCGACGAAGGTGTAACCGTACCTAATCCGCCGATTGGGCGGCCGTTTTACCGGCAAGGATACGTAACTTACGGTCGGCCCGGGATATTCCGTAGGATGACAGTAGGATGACGGTACTCGGACTCACTCCCAACTTACTGGAGTCCGTAATTTGACTTCATGCATCATACATGCATGATGCGACTGAGTCGCGGCCGAAACCCCTACAGGGCTGCGGCCGCGTCTTCGCCGCTCGATTTCACTTGAGGGTACGTACCCGTGCATGCCGCCGCGCGCATGCGAACGCGCGAGCCACGCGAGCATCGGCCACGCATCGGCTCTCCAATTGTCGACTCTTCTATCCTCTCTCCCTCTCAATCAACGGTGTGCGTACCTAGGTATACCGGTACATACCCAATACCGATCCACAGGCCTGGGCATGCGGGTAGACGCTTAGGCTCGGAGAATTGATGCTTGCCAGTTCGTCCAGCTGTCCAGGCTCAGCTCTTCTTGTTCCTACCCGGGATTCAATGCGTCGGTTGCGTCATTGCGTTAACCTGATACCTGTGGACCTGTGGATAGGCTGTCCGTCCCGCATTTATTCCCACTGATCCCACAAATGGTCGCGGCTTATACACGGTAGTTTCGCCAAACCCTTTCAACATTTCAAAGGGTTTCCCATAGGCAGATAGGAGACCAAGTGGTAACAATGGCGGTGAAATGTAGTATACCGTCAACCGGGCGGTAACTTGGCGCAAAACCGAGGCCGAACCCTGACCGTACAATCCCTTGTTAACTGCGGCATAGTGAGGGGATATTGCATTGAATAGTGTGCAATGGGCATTGCCAACCGGTATCAAGTTTTGTGCATCCCCATGTACCTCAATTCACTGAGCTCGGAAAGCTGTCTCTCCCACGAGGCCAGCTTCGAGATCTCAAGAACGGCGGGAAACCTTTAGCAAAACTTCATATGTAAAACAGTGCTCAAGGCCACGTGCCAGCTCTTTTCAATGATTGTCAGAGCTGCAGTTTGAGCAAGATTTGAATCTCAGGACGCGGGCATGCTGATGACGTCGACAAAGCTAGCCTTCTCTTATAACCCGTGCGAATCAAAGATATGGGGCGGAGTGCATATTCGCAACTTGACATGTTCTTACATTCTTGAAACAACTTCTCGACGACTACGGATCTAGCAACCAAGGAACCGTTACTGCATGCATGGTGCACTATCTAATTGCGGGCTGTGAAGCGGCCAACGTTCGAGTTTCCATCGATAAGATGAAAACTACTAGTGTCACTGCTACTCAGAACGGTGCTTCTTCTATCAGTCATGACTGATCCCTGTTGAACGATCATGATTGAACCCACTGCATGTCTTCCTGTTGCAGAGGTGTAATATTCGTCGTAGCATGAGATACATCAGTGCACTCCATTTACCATCAGTACCATTCAGCCTGCAACCCGAATCGAAGCTACAAGTTCACTTAAAGAGTGAGGCAGGCGCATGCACACTTCAAGTGAATACTTCCACTTGAACACAAGCAGTAGTGTCAGGACTCCGGCGAAGCTTTTCTCCATTCAATTGAAGAGTGATGATGTTGAATTGCCTTTTTGAGAACGTGTCTTGTGGTCACCTAGGTGCTAGTAGCCCGATAGCCTCGTCGCGTGCTCGTCGCTCGAACCGATCAAATGAAGAATTCGTACAGCACTCTCTGGGGATGCAATAGTGGGTAAATTGAAGAAGTCTGTTCGTATATTCATCTAACAGTGTAGGATGAGCTAGAATGAGTTAAAAGAGTAAAAATGTGCTTGTACGGTACCGTATACCCTTGCATTAACCACTCTCACACTCTCACCAGTATTGGTATGAGTCACTTATGAAAGAAATGTATACGTATGCAGTACGCAAGGCCGGTAGCAAGTCGGTAGTAAGTACAGTAAGGTAGTCACACAACTGCTCATACGTCGTCATGATCATGCCGGTAACTCTCGTGTGAGTCGTGACTCGTGACCTAACGGGCGTGTGATGTAGGTACCGTGTACATATTAAAGATACGAGTTACCCGGGCAGTTCAAACTAAAAATCTAACCCAAAGCCCCCGCTGCGCACCCTAACCCTTTCTAACCACCATACCAGCCCCACCCGTCCTCCGGGTGCATATCTTAGATCACACGGCTCTTTAATAGGTAGGTCACACGAGAGTTAATATCGGACTCCGGAGTGTCTCGATCATGATTCGTTTGGTGGTGTAGTGTTAAATATTGTTTAAGCTACTGGTCGGCGAACTAATTTACGGGCCATCGATGATAGAGTCCGCCTAGGTAGTATCTACCATAGGTATCAAGTTTACGACGCCCAAGGCTACGACGCCCAGGCCCCAAACCCGCCCAAACTTGCTCACGATTCGACTTAGGCTGACGTGCCACTGCTTTTGCCAGCGTGGCCCACTTGAACCCTCCGATCCATGTGTAGCGGATGTCATTTGACGGTTCAGGGCTGGACCCTCACCACGCGCTATTTTGTACCGGGGGGAACAATAATTTCAAAGCAGATTTTAATCTGCAAAAATCACCGAGCATGTCTTCGGCAAAGACATGCGGCCCGGTGAATTCGGTAGTACGTCCGCGGTAGACTCAACGCCTTAGGTACGCAAGCCTCCAGGCTCGGTGGACATCTCCAATCTCCCGGGTGCGTTTTATGGCTCGCAACTCGTGTACGTTGCACGACCGGCGCCACTTTGCGGAGGACCGGTTACGGGCCTCGGATGACGGGCCTCGGCCCAGACTGGCCGCCGCTGAAACGCTGGGACCTCGACACCCAATGTTGTCCTTGGAAAGAGGGGGGGTCTTACGCCGAATCGCAACAAAATCGCTGCTACTTTTGGGCAACGTAGCCTTGGGCGTCGTAAACTCTAGCTTGATATACTTAGGTAGGTATCTATCTATCTACCTACCTCAGCAGCTCCAATGCTCCATATATAGTACAGTCGTGGGTATCAGTACTGCCCCTACCTATTATACACGTCTCCGTCGCAGTTCAAGAGACAAGGCTCTGTGCAGGGATTTGATTAGGTAGTCCTACACCTGTAAGAATGCACAATATATACAATTCGATACTCTGACAATTTAATAGTGTCACATCCCTTGCTTCTAGCTGGGCGAGCTTCATGTTTCATGCATCGAAGCAGAAGTCGCTTTCTCTGACCGGATCCGTCCTTGATCGCGGGTCCTCCACTCCAAGCTTTTCATCGACTCCAAGCTATCAATGACAATGTCATCCCACGTCTTCCATCCAATGCATTTAGTTGCGCCGCGAGCATGCTCATGCTCAGCTCAAATCCTCAGCAGGAAAGCATAGCCCTCGGCCGAGAGCCTGAAGAGCCCGGCGATACTTTTGGAGAACAGCAAGCTGCAGAGTGAGTTTCAGAGCAGCGAGGGACGGTCCCTTTCTCTTGGCGGTGTCCGCAAGGAAAGCGCACGGCGCAGTGGGCATGGATGGGCAGGAGCCAATGAAGGAGAGCCACGTGGAAGTTAAGATGCCGGAGAAAGGGGCCCACCTGTCGGAGGAGGGGGTGATCCCCCTCGCGGCCACAGAGGGGCTCAACATTTTCCACCTGAGCAAGCCGAACCCGTTCCTCAAAGGATCTGGAGCCCCTCAAGAAAGCAGGACTGGTGAGCGTTGACCAGATTGGTGACCCCTCGCTTGACGCGGTGATGTGATGAGTGACTGACTTGATGTATACCCTGATACCAGTTTGAGAATGGGTAACTTGCAAAGGCAATACGCTTTCAGATTGGGTCAGTGCAGGTTTACTTGATGAGCGCTCCATATGTCAAAATAGGCTGAGGGGGACTAGGGACGACGCCAGAAAGGCAAATGATAAGAAGAGGGAGAGAAAGATGAAGCGAGGCGGAGTAGGTCACACAAGGCACCGGCTCTTTGGCCGGACTCCTCTCCTTTCCTTATTCAGTGAAGTAGAGAAGTTTGATTTTGAGGCCTAAGTCTCACCAGATTACAGCAGTGCCCCACTAATCATAGCGGCTTTTCTATAGCGTGTGTCAGATAGAGACTATAAGTGTGAAACCCGCTTATGGGCATCATTGGAGCTGGCTGTTTCATATGCCAGTGTGCTTCTTGGAAGCTTCAGGTCGGCCCCTATAGGAGGATGTTTTGTCTCCCCATCTCATGTACTTTGCATCATCAGTCCTTCAGGCTCGGTCAAAGTGACCGCATTTGCCTGGAGGCTACCTGCCAGCGCCAATGACAAACGATTGAATCCTTCAAAAAGACTCAGATGTCATCAGGAACTTAATTAGCATTTACTTCCTTATGGTCCTTGTATCACAAACCACTCCTTACATCTTCACGTAGAGAGCCCATACGTGCCCCTTGCGCTGAATCTTGAATAGGACTGCCAAGACTGGAGTGTTTATCCAATATGACATATTCAAGCCAAACGGGGCCTCTGATTCCAAGGTCTGGCATATTCAATGCATGCCTAAATCCTCTGAATTACTTGACCACTTGCTTTGAATATATCAAGCCAACCCTAAATATTGAAAGGTCCTTGGGTGCCCTGAATACTTCAAAGGTCGCAAGCCGTGAGCGCTCCCTCGAAGCACTCCCGCTTCTTAACGTCTCCTGAACCTTTGCTTTCAATCATATCCAATCCTGCAGATCCTCCAGAGCATCTACAAAACGCCTGCTCATCAAAATATTGCGTTGTTAACCATTTCTGTCATGGAAAGCAGATTTGTTCAAACCGATGATGAGCCTCGTTCTGTCGATTCAACGTAACCCCGCTCTTTAACCATTCCCCGCGCAGATCCCACCTGGCGTGCATGTATACAACGCCAACACCCCGCTGCGGCTCCTTTTCCGCCTCTCGGGGACTGCAGTCCGTGCCGCACTGTTCAGCCACTCCTTCTGGCTCATCATGACCGTACACGTGTTTCTGAGCGTTATGTATTATCGGGTGGGACTCCAGCACACGCGTACGGACACAACGAACGTCAAGCACACGGACTGGCCTTTCCTGCGCTCCACGACTTACTCCGGGTTTCTGGGGACGCTGGTCTCGTTCTGCCTCGTCTTCCAGACGACGCAGTCATACACAAGGTGAGCGCGAGCGGGGGCAGTTGAGTATATTGACAGAGGCCGTCAGAGAATCAGGCCGTCTGAGGGTGTGTCTTCCTCCATGAGCCGCTTGCAGACTTTCTTATAACCAAAGCCCTCAACAATGTGTCTTGAATCAAGAATACCAGATACCTGGATCAATCTCGGCAGAACGAACAGACCAAGCTCACTGCTTCAACATTTCGAGACGCCTTTGTTAACACCTTCGTCCCTTGGTGAACCTCCGACTCTTGCTGACGTGTGAACCTTGTCCTGTAAACCGGCACCACACCTCATGCAAGTTTTTCCGGCAGTACGAGTGCTGCGGCGAGATCGTGCGCAATGGCCGCGCATTCCATCGGACGATGCGCGGGGTGTTCGACGACGGTACGTGCCCTGGGGCAAAGGCGACTTGTCACAAGCTGTATAAGTATATCATTGCCAAGATGTACCTGGGTTTTGCCTGGCTGCCGCACTACCGGCGCGTTCAGGTGAACGTCTGGGTGTTTGACTACCTGAGGAGGGAGGGCTTTTTCACACCCCAGGAAGCGGAGCAGATTGCAAACATCCACAAGAACGCCAAGCCCTTTGGCATGGTGGGTTTCGTGCTTGACTCCGTTTTCCCTTCTTTCCATCTAGTTTGCCTTTTGCAAAGGTTGTTCCGTCGTCTAGCTGTTCTACAGCTAGCAAGTGGTTTTCGCACCTACGTTTTTGAAGACTCTTTTTGGATCCAACTGCACGGTTGAGTCCTCAGCTTGGATCCATTCGAGACGGCGTGAATGAGAAAACGACAGTAAAGAACGCGGCAGGTATTCGGACCGAAGAGCAGAGACTGCTGGAAGGTAGATCATGTAGGAGTCCAGAATATTGAGGGACACATTCAGTGGTTTCCCCCGCAAGATTATTCACTAAAACAATTAAAATGTGCCCATGCAACTCCAAAGGAGAATCTAACCTATAAGAAACCTGAACTCGAAACACCTACCAGCCCGCACCCGCTCCCCCCCGTAGACCCGTTTAACTTCCCCACCCGTCCTAGTTTCATAACCCGAGGTTATCATAACCAAGTCCGAGACTGGTCACTTCACGCAGATCGCGAAGTGGATTCAGCTCTTGCTTCACCGGGAGCAGCAGCGCGGGGACATCAGCGAGCTGGCACTCGACCGGCTGATGACAAACATTCGCGGGCTCAATCGACATTTGGGCATTCTCAACGAGTACGCCAGCATGCCGGTGAGTGCGCTCCCTATCTAGTTCTACCCTGAACCGATAAGAATATGTCGTGCTGACAAAAGTAAAGGAAAAGGACGCGGCAATTCTGGTAGTGGACCACGGCGACATGCCGGCAATTGCCAAACACTCTCCGTCTCGGAAGAGCAGAAGATCCGGACAATCTGAAAATCAAAAGCCCTGAAGCACCTCAAAACCGTACACGTCCGAAACCTGGAACAACCAGTCTTAATCGTATCGTGTTGTTTAAATCCGGCCTAACCCCCCATCAAGATCCGATGACCTGGAATCACTTACGCCCTACAGATGACTGGAAGCTTTTTAAGATTTCTTTTTCGTTTTATTTTTTATGTGGTTTTCATCGCGCTGGCGTCACAATCAGGATTTAACCCGGGAAAAATGCAGAATGAGTATGAATCGTCCCTCTTCACGAACTTGAAGCCCAAATGGATTATCCAGAGATTTGTGGCGTGCAAGTATCACTATCTATCAAGCCGCTCCGTGCCTCTCTTTACCAACAGAAGATGCTCACATCGACGGATGTTTACAACAATTATCGGCACTCGTCTAGTATTACAATCCGCTCAAGAGCTTTTAGTTCATTCTGATTTAGTTCACGCGAAGTTATCGATCAGTCACGTGCAATGGAACAAATGCCGCAAGAGCAGAAAGCGGGGGGGCTCGGTGGGGCGGCAGCCCCCTCGGTTGTAAGGTTCCAAAAAAGGGACGGGGGATACGTACCGGGCAAGATTCCTCGTCGGTCCTGGCTGCAGGTTCCCTTCGCGTTCTACCACTTGCTGAACGTGATGGCCATCGGATACCTGCTGCTGCTGGCTTACACTCAGGTAATCGCAGGTTACGTTTTTGGGGTTCCGATTCTGAATTTATAAGGTCGTGAGTAAGCGCTTTGTGTGCTTTGTTCCGATTCTGCGGACTGGCTTACAGAGTGTTCCAAGTCGGGCCTGTTTCTGCTGGGAAGTCTTGCTTCCGGAACGTCGGCTCAACCTCATTCCGCTGTTGTTACCGGGTCCGCCTGCAATCGAGCGGATCCAAGTCGGAAAATCGCACTTCTCTTTTGTCGAGGGCGTGACCATGGGTTAAGGTATGACGACCGACCCACGGCTCTTCGACACGCTCGAAGAGAAGCCACTCCCGAGCACGTTCAATGGTGGCCTCCTTTCTGTTGGTTTGCAATTCTGGGAGACAAGGCAACTCAGCCTTAAGTATGCTGGCTTCATCCTCTCGTGATTTCGAAGCAGGGCTCCGACAGGTGTTGCTGACCTCAGGCTGACGTGTGGAGAGCCGTGCTTAGGCATACGCTTCGTTTGTGAACGAGCGAGCACACGCCCCCCTTTCATCTTACCCACGATACTCGCAAACGGAATTCGATCTCGTTCAGGTGTTCTCGTCCTACTTTTACGGCATCTTCCCCATGGCGCTCACCACTCTAGTTACGCTCGGCCTGCGCGAGCTGTGTAACGGCACGACTGCGCACCGACTTCTGGCTGCGCGCCAAACTCGCGGCCGCGCATCGTCCGTTATTATACGCTATCGACTTATTTAATATATCGAATCACTACGCGACACGTGTCTGGGTTACTGCTTCACCGCGTGACCGTCCGATAAGACCCACGTGCACCGCGTGCGAGGGAACCGTCCGATAAGCTTTCGAGACTAAGCTTATGGCCGGCCGAGCACCGAAGCTTCTAGGCCGAGCACCGAAGCTTCTAGGCTGACACTTCGCGCTGCAGACTCAGACT